ATACCTTGCATCCTTGTTTTCTTATTTCGGACCTTGTTAAAAAATCACTTTAAAGTCACCTGTATAGCTATAGGGTTCTTTTGATGGCTGCATAGTAGTCCATGCTTTGGATGTACCATATTTTACTCAACTTCCCTATTGATGCATGCTCATATTTGTTATGAAAGATGCAATAAGCAATCTTACATATATTAAGCAATCTTATATATGCACTTAGTTACTGATACATTTAATATATTATAAGGGATGATATGGAGATCATATGATAGAGTCCCAGAAATCTGAATGTATCTTTATTGGCACTTCACTGATCAGTAGTGATTTTGAGCATCTTTATGCTTGGCCATTAGGATTTGTTCTTGTGAAAGGTTTTGTTTATATCTTTTGTCCATTTTTCCATTTGGTTACTTTTTCCTGCTCTAAAAAACCATATTGGAGATATTAGTCCTTTGTCATCTTAAAAGTATTTTTCCCCTAAATCTTCTTGTGTATTGTCTTCGTTTATTGTGTTTTTGTATATGGTGTTTTCAAAAATGGTTCAGTCAGTGCTTTTATATAAAAGATTGAATATCATGTTTTGGTCTTTATGAAAAGTGACTTTGGATGTGGTGTCTTTCCTCATAGTAGTTTTTTAATGACTGAGTCAACCCAGTGATGTGGGCTAATTGTGAATGTGAACAGTGATTAATTAGTTAACTACAGATTTAGGGAAAATTCTCCAGAAAGGCTTGTTGAACCAGTTGAAAGCCAGTTGGCTGGCTTTCGTGAAGGTATGGTATACTCTAGGTCTAGTAAACTTCAGCATGCATCAGAATCAGTTTATTAAAAAATATATTAGTCTTCCTCACCTCCATCCCACCTAACTCCTGAGTTTCTGATTCATTAGGCCTGGAGTGGGCCTCAGAATTTGCATTGCTAAAAAGTTCCCAGGTAATACTGATACTAACCTGCTGGTCCAGGGAGAACCACTGCCTAGTCTATTCTGTTGAGTAAAGTTACAAACTTTTACCAAGTTCTTATAATTCCATCTTAGAAAGCGTCAAGCCTTTTTCCTGATGTCTGAATATTTAGCAAATCCTGTCTAGTGTGAGGTAGTGTTGTATATGCCCCTGTGGCATAATGAATATAGTTATTTATGGGATATCTACTTAAGTGCTAGGATATTACGGTAACACTACCAGGTAGGTGAATACCATGAGGCTCAGAAGTTACTTAGTTATTTTTGGACAAAGTCCCTGGGCTCCTTGCTCCTGCTAAAATGTGAAGAATAATATCTGCTCTTCCTGTCTTAGGCATTTGGAGATTCTATGAGCACGGTCATGTTCGTTTTTTTAAATAAAAACAAGCTTACTTAGTACTTGAGAAAGCAAGATAAATAGATAATAATAATAATAATAAGGACAAAGAACTAGTGTTATTCTGAATAGTACTGACTAATAAGTACCCTAGAATCTTAACATTTAATATTGATTTTGTTGGAAGCAAAACAAACTTGTCTTCCTGATAAAAATATGTGCTTGGTGTTTTAACTTTGGAAATGTGTACAACAAAATTTATCGTAATTGTGTATCTACTCATTTTGGTATATTTTCTTAGTCTTTATCAGAAACATTTCTTTATATTTCGTATAATGGTACTAGCTCATAAATATAACAATTCCACAGACTTTCATGAGTCACGTTTGAGTTGGCAGGGTGTTTTAAGGATCTCAGCTTACCAAAACTTTCTAATTAAAGGTGCTTGTTTTTTATCAGGTTGCAAAAGTTGGCAAGAAAGATTTTGTGGTGACACTAATAAAGGTAGTCTGAAACAATTAGTTGGAATAACAAAAGAAACAAAAGGAATATAATTGTGTAGATACACAGCCTTTCAAGCTTATTCTGCCTTGCAGATTCAGACTTTCGGTTTGACTTACCTGTCTGTTCTGTGTAGCATCAAGCCTTTCTACCCTCATCCTTACTTTATGGTTTTCAGCAAATTGCATGTGTCTTCGTCTTCACCAGCTGTCCTGGGAAGAGCCAAGAAAATATCGAAAATGTAATGAAGTACTTATTAGGTATTAAACCATTTTATAAAGCTGTAGTAATTTAAATAATGTGGTAATTAAGGGTGGGATTGACCAATCAATAGGTTCCAGAAGCAGATCCAATGTGTAGGAATCGAATTTATGGTTAAGATGGCATTTCAGATTAGCAGAAAAAGAATGGATTATTCAAATAAGATGGTGTTGTAAAAACTGGCTCACTCTTTGGGAGGCAATTAAGCTAGATTCTACCTCATCACAGTAAAATTAAGATGTAATAAAAAGCTAAAATGTTAAAAACATGAAGTTATACAAGCATTAAAAGAAAGTATAACTGCATGGTTGTATGCTGCTTGACGTGGCAAGGTATTTTCAGGAATGAGACTAATGCCATGAAAGAAGAAATTGATTCCATTACAGTATGATTTTATACCTTCTGTATGTGAATATTTTAAGTACTGTCAATTGTGCCATCTATGGTTATCTCGATTTACTTCACATTTTTCTTCCTTCTTAGGTAATTTCCAGTTTTTTTCTGTGGTAAATTATGCTACAGTGAATATCTTTAATACATGAATATTTGGCCATATTTAGCACCAGGTGTTTGTTACCTTTTTTTGGGTCTCACTCTGTTGCCCAGGCTGGAGTTGGCAGTGGTGCAGTCTTGGCTCACTGTGACCTCTGCTTCCCAGGTTCAAGCCATCCTCCCACCTCATCCTCCCTAGTAGCTGAGACTGCAGGCGTAGACCACACGCCTGGCTAATTTTGTATTTTTAGTAGAGACGGGGTTTCACCGTGTTGGGCAGGCTGGTGTCAAACTCCTGACCTCAGTTGATCCTCCCGCCTCAGGCGTGAGCCTGTTAACATCTTAATGAATGTCGAACCTTGTACTTTACAAATTCTTGTCTCATTACCTTAAACTTGCCTAGTTGTTTTAAACTTCTGATTATTTTTTAGAGTTCTGATAGACTTGAATTCCGACAGTCAGTTTATTCACTGTTTTTGTGAAGGCGTGGGCTTATGGAGTTCCCTATTCTGCCATTTTCACTGACATCATTCCTAGTAGAACATTCTGTTTTTAAACAGCTGCGAGTGGGGGATGTACATATCTGTGTCCAGGCAGACTTTCTCACTTAGGTTTTCACTAGAGAAGTAAGCCTTAATGCCCTAAGGTATCCATTATTAATGTAGCAAAATGACTTCTCTCTTGTGTGTCTAAGGTGGTGCTAGTTATGTACTCTTCTTTGGAGAATAAAAAATTACTCACCATATTCTGTGTTTCATACATGATACCTGGATTGAGAAACGCTGCCAGTAGGTCAAGTGTAGTTTAAGAAAGCTTATTTCTCATGGGATAGTCAGGTGATGGTTTTTTAATTAATTAATTAATTTATTTACAGGTTTAGAAATTGCATTCTATAGTATGTACCTTTGTGAATGGCACCTTCGGTGATTTACACTGTTTGTTTTTGAGACTTCTTTGGCAAGTAGTGATATAATAGCATTTAACAAAGAGGAAACAACTTAGATGTAGAGAGAGAACCATGCTAGTTCATGGTAGCAGCCCAGATCTGAGGTGATTGGGACCCACACTAGACAGGAATAAAATGAAGACACAGAATATAAGTAGCATTTTATGCTTCAATCATGCCAGACTTAAAAACATGATAATTCTTGGCTGGAAAAGGTGGCTCACAGCTGTAATCCCAGCAGTTTGGGAGGCCAAGGCAGGAGGATCACTTGAGGCGAGGAGTTTGAGACCAACCTGGGCAACATAGCAAGACCCCTACAGACATTTTAAAAATGTAGCCTGGTGTGGTGGTAGCATATGCCTATAGTCCTAGCTATGTGACAGGCTAAGGCAGAGGATCCTTTGAGCCCAGGAATTTGAGGCTGTGGTGAGTTGTGATTGTGCCACTGCACTCCTCTGCAGCCTAGGCAACAGAGGGAGACTTGTCTATCTCTCACACTCTCTTTATATATAGCTACATATATATAATTTTTATTTTTATATATTTATATAAAATTTATATATTTATAATTTTAAAAATTATACAAAATATATCTTTATATGAAATGTTTTATATTTGTAATATAAAAATCTCTTTTCAGTTTGACGTGATAAATTAATAAATTTGTTTCAGATGATACCTCATTTCTTTCACTTTGTCAATTGTTTGCCTGAACTATATGCCTTGCCCCACAAGGCAGGGAGATATATATTTTTTACATAATAAATACATATTTTATGTAATATATGTAAAATAGTTATATATATAATTTAAAAATAAAAATACGATAATGCTCTTGATGTTAAAGTGATATTTTAAAGGCTGTTGAAGATGCAGGCTAGGTAGTGAGACTATATGACAGTAGTTTTGTAGTTAGAAGCCATTTGAGCCATTCCCCCATTATCTCAGGGGCTTGTTGATGAGTTTTTAGATTTGAGTGGCAAAGTACAGTAGTAATAAATAAGGCAGAATTTTCTGCCTTGTAACTCAGCTAATGTCAAAAAGAGAGGAACTGGAAAGTGTGATTCCTCCCTAGTGCAGAAGGTGAGTAGGCAGAGCCTCAGGCAAGGCCTGATGGGACATGACCGACCTGTCAGCATAGGTGACTACAGGGGTGTGGAATACAATGGCTGGCAGTTGCTGCTTGAGTTCTTCCTAGGAGCATCCTCACTGAACAGTGAAATTAATCTCATTGAAGAAATCACCTTTAGACAGACCATCTTGCCTTGAGTCTTAAGTTCTTATTTCTGTTCTTTTTTCCTCTTGTTTGACTTTCACGTTGGATGTCTTCTCAACATTATGTTCCAAGCAGCCACACACTCTTAAATACATATATATATATATTCGTATGTATATATACATAGAGAGAAAGAGAGCTAAGGTCTCACTCTGTTGCCTAGGCTGGAGTGCAGTGGCGCAAAGTCACCATAAGCACTGTCTTAACACTATCTTTTTCCTTTTTCAAGAGCTGGGGTGGAAAGGAGAATGGCTTTGGACTTGCAGAATGTTGCAGAGACTTGCATATGATGGTAAGTAACTCTTTGGGATATGGGTGTCTTTTGACAGAGCTGTTTTCCTCTCTATGAACCTTACTTTACAACGAATTGTGGTATATGAAGTGGCTCCTTCACATCAAGACCTTTGAGGAACCTAAGATCAGTTCAGACATAGCTGAGCCACATCTATAGGAAGCAGTCTATCAGTGCTTGGGCTCTTGATGTGCTGGCGTTAGATGATAAATCTGAGAAAGAGTGTGTGTTCATACCCAGTTCTTGAGTAGGTAGCTATATTTGTTGAATTGATTTTAATGTGATTTTTTTTAAATCCCAGAAAGTATGTTTGCTTGCATTCTCACATTGTATCAGAACTCTGGACAGTGTGGTGTGATTTAGGAATGGCTGCTTGGGGAGCAATTCTACCATTAGGTTTATTGAGAACTTACAATGTTTTATGTGCTTTCCTTGTTTATCTCTCTGCCTTTTACCCATGCTTAAGTTATTAGCTCAGGCCATCCTCCCTTCTGCTTTGGTATGTTGATGTGGAGCTACAAAACACAATTTGGTTTTCAGTAATTATTTTGCATCTGGAAGCAACTGTATTTTCCATGTGGAATTTGTCTTGTCAGTTTGTCATGTTTAGCACAAATGGCTGCAGTGAAATTTAGCGTATTTATCTTAGCAAGCCTTTTCCTAAAAAGAATGGCTCTTTTCTGGTCTCAGAAAACCACAGATTAGATCAAGTTACTTTCCCACGTTAGCCGGCATACTTTTCTTTAGTGATTATTTTATGAAGAGATAATCGGGTAATATAGTTGGCGAGTGTTGTCTGTTTAATAATCAAAATTACATAAATCTTGAAGTATATTCAGAGTTTGGAATTCTAATTATGACAACATAAAGGTTGACGTGTACTTTAAAAGGAAATTTTATATATATATATATATATACATACACACACACACACACACACGGTAAAAAATTCAGAGTATAAAAAGGTATGCAGTGGTAACTTTTTAATTTTCCGGAGGCAACCACTGCTAGTGGTCTCTTTCAGTGAGATGTTTTAGTGGGCACTCCGCTGTTATCTTATTTTTGTTCATCATGTAACTTTTCTGGAGTTAAAGAGAATGTTTTTTCAGGGTCTGATTTATATTGTCTTGGTGTCTACCTGTGCAGAAAAACATACCATGAGAAGTGGTGTAGAATGGTATAGAAGGAAAGTGTTTGAAGAATTATGAAGACATGCCTATGAGGCATACTTTGAATAAAATATTTCAGAAGATAGATACAAGGTTTTCGTAAGAATGTTCTTTTCCATTCTTTAGCTGGTTTCTGAACCCTGGTATTTGTTCTCTATCCTTTCTTGGATTCTTACTCATTACTGCTTGGCAGTCTTGCCCCTCTTTTCCCCCTTGGGAATAGCCACAGTCAAAATTGATCTCTTGCAAGAAAGGGAAACTAGAAATTTGTAAGTATGAAATGCAAAAGGTTTGGGAGCTCTGGGCTCTATCCTTTTGATTCTGTTTGAAAAGTCTCATCCTATCTGAGCTCTGCTCTCAGACAGACAGTTAAAGGCACTGTAAGTACTGAATGTACTGCTTGTTCTTCTGCCACAATAAGTTGAACAAGTGGCTAGGACTTTGAGGGAAGATGTGGGGGATAATATTTATAATCAGTTGAAACTCAATGTCTGATTCTTTGATGTGCTTTATACACAGAAATATCCACCCAGTGCAACTACACTACACTTTGAATTCTATGCAGATCCTGGGGCCGAGGTCAAAATTGAGAAAAGGGTGAGTCTGATTCAGATTTGTTCCGACAAAGTCTACAGTTTACGGTAACTGGGATTGCCTCTTCTAGAACTCATCAGTTAAATGAAGAAATGGTTTTGAGCTACACTGCTGCCCTCGCAAACTATAAATATACCTAGCAGCTCCTCAGGAGTGTTAATTGCATCCCCAACTCTGATAAGGTTGGGTCTCATGTTGGGGGCTGCCAAAATATGGAAGTCCCATCCGTTATGAGGCACTGCTATGACCTATGTGCTTTTCCCACAGTCTCTGAGAATTCCAACATGTAGTATAGTAGTATGAATGGTGATGGCTCAGGTTTCTCTACTTAGGAAGCCTGTAAAAGTCTTTATATATTGTGGATAGTGTCCTGCTTAAATTATCTGGTCATTCTGTATTGTTTGAGGAGGTACTAAAGAGTTTGGTTTAGAAGTAGCTTAGTGAAAATATAATTTCTCTTCTACCTATACTGTTAAATAAATAAATAAGTAGTATTTCTAGATTAATTGCCTTGAAAGCAACTCTAATACATGTTCAAAGAGAAACTATTTTCATGAATTCAGTCTTTGCTATGAATACTGAAGCTATGGAGATTAAGTCAGTGGAGGGTTAGAAAAGGGCAAAGAAGAATGTGAAAGGTGCCTGGCTATGTGCATTATAGTTTGATACTACTGGTTTTAAAGGAGCTTTCCTAAGAATATATATAAGATGGATGTTTTGGAGGACTCTCAAGTTACCTTGATTTTAAGAGCATTCACTTAGGCTTCAACCTATCAGGTGACATCTTGGTTTTCAGACAGCCCTTGGAGCTCTATGGCAGGGGAAGCTAGAGTGTTCAGTGACTCCTTACAGCTCTCTTGTTTTTTTTAATTTTAGACAACTAGTAACACACTACATTATATTCACATAGAGCAACTTGACAAGGTAAGAGGAATCTTTGACTCTTGGCTGGTTTCTTAATGTTTGGTTCACCTTTTGTTCCTAACTATCTTTTTTTCTAATGTAGATTTCAGAAAGCCCTTCTGAAATCATGGAATCTCTTACCAAAATGTACAGCATTCCTAAGGATAAGCAGGTATGATTTGGCTTTAAAATATCCACAGGATGTGGTTGTTATCTAAATAGATTGATGTGTACTGGGGTGGGAGATTGCATAGCAGAAAGAATGTCAGCTTTGGAGTCAGACCATGGGCAAATTGTTAGCTTCTCTGAGCCTTAGTTTCCTCGTCTTTTATGAGGTTAACACTTAATAACTTCCTAGGTCCTTATGAGGGTTTGAGGAAAACATGAACTACCTCACTGTGAGCAGTTAATAAGTGGTGGTAGCTTTCTCAACACTTTGGATACCAAAGGAGAAAACGTTTAGTTGTGTTGTTTTTTGAGTTAGCTCTCATAAAGAGTATTCACCTTCTTCATTGATGTTTTTAAAACGTAGGTCTTATCTCTCTACAGATGCTGTTATTTACACACATACGATTGGCCCATGGCTTTTCTAATCACAGGAAGCGATTGCAGGCAGTTCAGGCCAGGCTGCATGCAATATCTATATTAGGTAAGAGAAGAATACTTTAATTACCAGGCCCTATTAGACAGTTTGGGCCTGATTTGCTTTGAACATTCATCTTTGTTGCTATGAGTCCTATTATAGTTACCTAGGTAGCAACTTAAATACTTCCACCCCTCCCAGTATTCACTGTGTTTATTCATTATCCTTGAGCTTCTTAATGTTGGACCAGAAAGAGGGTATGATGATGTTCATTGACATCATGTCACCTGGGTTTATTCTTGGTATTCGTCTCTTTTTTTTTTTTTTTAAATGGGTATGCTTGTAGCTATCGCTCACTGTCCCCCTACTCTTTCTCTTGCCATTGTCTCTTCCTCCTCTCTCATCCTTTCAGGGGTGTCATTTTGAAGTAAGTCAGAAAATATTCAGTAGTCAATACTGTGTATTTAACTTCTTTTACTGTGGCACAGTAGAATGGAAAACACATGGTTTTGGAATCAGTCCTGTACTCTGGCCCTGATTCTGTAGATTATTAGCTACATTTATCTTCTCAGCCTCAGCTTATTTGTTTAATATTGAGATACTGACCGTAGAGGTTCGTTGGTCTAAAGATTAAATGAAAACCTAGAAAGCAATCTAGCACAGAACAAGCACATAGAAGGTATAAAATGGTAACCATTGCTATCATTATTGATGTTCATTATGTTATTACTTGCCTTCTCTTTTAAACTATGAGTTCCTTGGCATGAAATTCTTGCTCTTTTATGTGTACTCATACCTAGCATGATTTCTGGCATGTGAGTGGGTGCTCAGGAAATCTTTGTTGAAAACTAAATGAATATGCCCAAATCCCATTAGTTTATGCTTCAGGGTACTGTGTCCAGTATTACCTCATTGTGGAATTCATTGAATGTGAATTACACACATTCTCAAGTTTTACTACAGTGTCACACGAATTTCTGACTTACTCTGCAATGGTCCATAAATTCTCTTCTTTACAAGTGTTTACAGTAAAAGCAGAAGCATAGGAAGAGGCTAAAATGGAAATCTTATATCCAAGGCATAATGAAGTTATATTGAGTAGTAATGTTATGAAAAATTAACTCAGAACTTTTCCTATTTCCATCCCCCAAAATTCTTTCTCGAGACTGATAATACCTTTAGTAGCGGAATCTGTCAGTTTAGTGTCTTATTTAGAGCTTATCACTTGTATTTGATCCAGTCCTTCAGAATTTAATTTGGTGATGATTCTGCCCTCCATTGCTGGTTGGGAATGGAATTCTTCCCCAGAACCTGTAGATACCAAAAAGTTTGTCATTGGGCAGTGGCTTGACCACTGCCTTCTTGCCTAAAGTGTTTGTTTCTCCTTTTGCAGTGTATTCCAATGCCTTGCAGGAATCAGCAAACAGTATCTTGTATAATGGCTTGATAGAGGAGTTGGTAGATGTCCTTCAGATAACGGATAAGCAGCTTATGGTAAGTATTTACAGGTTGAGTAACCCTTATCTGTAACACTTGGGGCAAGAAGTGTTTTGGACTTGAGGGTTTTTTTTGGGGGGGGGGATGGATTTGCATATACATAATGAGATATCTTGGGCATGGGACTCAAGTTTAAACATGAAATTCACTGATGTTTCATATACATATTATATTCGTAATCTGAAGGCAATTATATACAATATTTCAAATAGTTTTGTCCATGAGGTCAGGTGTGGAATTTTCCACTTCTGGCATGCAGGTATTCCCAAAGTTTTGGATTTGGGAATATTTCAGATTTTTGAATCAGGGATCCTGCATTAATGTTGTCTGTATATCAGGCTTATGCTTGTTTGCCTTTTGGTTTTTCCCAGAGGGTTAGAAAGAACTCCCAGTACTTCCCTCTTTGGGTATTAAACTGCAAAACTAACAAATACTAGGTTTTTCATTGTTGCTCTCAGCAGACCTCCATCCCCTCAAGCAGTTACCAGTGGAATGACTTAATATTTTAAAGTTTGGATATTAGCGACTGGAACTTGGTTCAGTCGTCTTATTATATTTAACACATTATGTGTTTACCTTGTAATTTAATAGGAGATTAAAGCAGCTTCTTTACGAACATTAACATCAATTGTCCACTTGGAGAGAACTCCCAAACTCAGCAGTATTATTGACTGTACTGGAACTGCCTCCTACCATGGATTTTTGCCAGTGCTTGTAAGGAACTGTATCCAGGCCATGATTGGTAAGTTTTGATGGTGATTATCTTAGGCAAGAAGAAACCTTTGCCCTCTGCCTTTGTCTTTTTTAACATCCTGCCCGCTTAACAGCAATTTTGAGCTTGTTTTTGTTCTCCCTCTCCCCACCTCCCTTGTAGATCCTTCCATGGATCCATACCCTCACCAGTTTGCCACTGCTCTCTTCTCTTTTTTATATCATCTGGCCAGCTATGATGCTGGTGGTGAAGCCTTGGTTTCCTGTGGAATGATGGAAGCCTTATTGAAGGTACCGTATGGTTTTTTTTTTTTTTTTTAAACTACATGGAGAAATCAATGAAGGGTATAGAGATGCAAGTTTGGGGTGTTGCACAGTGAGGGCAAATAATATAAGAAAACTTATCCGGAAAAAGTTATACTTAACTGGAAGGCCAATTTGACATTCTAGTTAATCTCATTAACAACGTTTAAGAGTAGCTACTTCCATTATTGAGACTTTATCATAGTGTAGAATGGTCAGGAGGTCATGGGTTCTGCTTAAAACATTGCCACATGTTATCATGCCTTTACACAACCATAGGGAAAATATATGTCAAGGTACTTTGTAAATTGTTTTGTAGTAGTAATAGCCTTTACTATGTGCAGAACACTGAGCACCAGCTTTTTTTCCCCTAAATATCTTACTTAATCCTGCAAAGTAATTGATGTCCCCATTACCTCAGAGGTTGAGTCGCAGAAGTCATAGAACTGTCATTTGGCAGGCATCAAAAATAAAACATGCTTTCCCCCTATACTGTGCTGCCTTACTGAGGCCCCAGACTACATGTATACAAAAGAATGCAATTTTTACAACTTTGTGTCTTTATAGTTCATTGTTTTTGCCTCTTTTTCTCCCTGATAGGTCATAAAGTTTCTCGGAGATGAACAAGACCAGATAACATTTGTCACCAGAGCCGTCAGAGTGGTTGACCTTATCACCAACCTGGATATGGCAGCTTTTCAATCCCATAGTGGACTTTCTATCTTCATTTATAGACTTGAGGTATTATTATACAAGGAATACTTTGCATAGAATTTAATACTCAGAGCTGAACCTAAGGATTGTCCTGATAACCCTAAAGAGCTGTCTTACCTCTCTTCTGTTTCTAGAAATCAACTGTGTATCTGCTTGCAGTATTTTTCCATTATAATAGTCTTTAATCCCTGAAATATAAATATATACACTTGATTTTCTTACAACTTTTCTCTTGATTGTAGCATGAAGTAGATTTGTGCCGAAAAGAATGTCCATTTGTGATCAAGCCAAAGATCCAGAGACCCAGTACTACACAGGAAGGAGAGGAAATGGAAACTGATATGGATGGTAATTAACAGTTATTAAGTCAGTATTTTTGTGCTTGAGATTTTTTGTCATCTCACCCCAGTTTTCATTCTTCCTCATAAATTCCAAAGTACACAATTCACTTGAGTATATACTTTAAGCAACAAAAAATTTTTTTCTATGTAAGTGATTTGCAAATTTGTTTTTCACAAGGATAATCAGAAAAGAAAGGTACGAATTGTTTGGAGTAGAGATGGGAGGTAAAGCAGATGCTATAGCTGTGATGTTAATCTGTTTTGTTTCATCACATTATTTTCTTATGTATTTCTTACTGTCTTATTTCCACTAAAATTCAAGCTCCATGGGATCAGGATATTGTCTTTTTCACTGCTGCAGTGCCTGATAACATCCTAGGTGTTAGAAATATGCTTGGTAGAGAGAGAGAGAGACTCTAAAATGGGACCTTTTAAAACTTTACCTATTTTGAGAAGAGAAAGGAGAGGTAAAAAGGTTTTTGGGTAGGCAGAAACATCCCTGAGGCTGGCACATCACTTGAGCCCAGGGGTTCGAGGCCAGCCTGGGCAACATGGCAAAAACCCTGTCGTTACGAAAAATGCAAAAGTTAGCCCGGTGGGGTGGCATGCACCTGTGGTCCCAGCTACTTGGGAGGCTGAGGTGGTAGGATCATCTGAGCCTGGGAGTTTGAGGCTGCAGTGATTTCAAAATGTAAATAGTAGTTTATCACTAATAGAGCCTTAAAAGATTTTATAAACTGTAGTAAATGATTGTGTATCTTATACTCAGTTATTCAAGTGTATAAAGTAAAAATGAATCGTCACTTACCTACCATAGCTACTAGTTTCGGTGTGGTTCTTTCCAGGCTTTTTTATGCATATTCAAATACATGTTGATGTTAAGTATGTAGTGTTTTACAATGGGAAGATGAGATCATAAACATACTATTCATCTTGCATTGCTCATTCAGTGTTTCATAGACATTCTTCCAGATTGGAATATTGAGTATTAATCTTTTCATGCTTTTTATGTTTATTATTAATTACTCTCTTGAAAAGCTGTACGTGTTTGTCTACTACCAACTAGTAGTATATGAAATTGCACATTTTACTTACCACTCTCCCCTTCTTCCCCAATTTGGTAGGTGAGAAATATTGAAGGACTTCTGTAGGATTGTTAATTTACACACACACATATATATATGTGTATTAATACATGCAACTAGTGATATATTTTCATTTTGGGGTTCAGTATTCCTGATCTTCATTTTTATATTCATTTCACATTAATGGAAGAAATTTTCTCAAACAAAATTTTTCTTTTTGTGGTACCTTTTATTCTAGTAAGTTTCTTTATCATAATTTGTACTTTAGTTGCAGATGTGGCTATGGAAAGCAGTCCAGGCTCATCCATCTCTATGGAGCACAGGCTGGATGTTGAATTAAGGGCATCAGGTTCCAGCAGCAGCACTAACATCTCTTCTGGCCCCAGCCCCGGTCCCAGTCCCGGCCCCGGCCCCGGCCCCGGCCCCGGCCCTGGCCCCGGCCCCGGCCCCGGCCCCGGTCCTGGTCCCGGCCCTGGCCCCGGCCCGGGCCCTGGCCCCCGTCCTGGTGCGTACACACATAGATGTGCAGTCTTTCACAGTGGTAGTTATTAAACTATTGAAGAAGGCGGCTTTAGTCAGAACTTAAATGGTACATTTGGAGGTTAGCATCCCATGACTACTCATGCTCCTTCACCATTCTGGTGTTCCATTTTCTTATATTAACATGTCTTTCATAGCATTTTATACTTTTCCAACAATTCGTACATTGATTATCAAAACAGTCATGTTGGAGGGCAGATAATATCCAAAATGGGAACTGAGTGAGGTAAAAAAAAGTTGAACCTTTTTACTTTGTAATTTTTCTTTTTTACTTTAGACTTTTAATTTTAGTATTGGTAAAATTAAAAGTATTAGTAATTTTTTCAATTTCAAAGCTTAATTAAGTATTCTTCCCAAGATTCAGAGACCTCACTTCGAATGTCTTCTAATTTTATTATAGTGTATTTGGGTCTGTTAAAATTTTGTTTTATGTGCTTTGATCATTGTTGTTTAATGGCCAACTCTGCATAATTCTTTTGTCTTTCTTCATTGCCAGGAGCCCAGTGTATTCCACAACGAGCAGCACTTCTGAAATCCATGTTGAATTTCCTCAAGAAGGCCATCCAAGACCCTGCTTTCTCAGATGGCATACGACATGGTATTTGATTCCAGATAACTTTTTTTGGAGGATATTTTACTCTCTAAAAGATTGGTTCTTGTCACACTGTTCTGGCACCTGTTGTTCTACAAGGCAGTCTTTGGTAAAGGCCATGCCATTTTCGCTAGCTTTTAGTTGTTTTTTGTCACTTTTCCTGGATGTAAGGGTTGCTTAGCTGTTTTCATAATGATTTACCATGTTTTCCCCCCTCTCCAGCTTTTGACTCTGTGCTTAATTATCTTATTACCCCTCCCTGACTCTTAGGTGTTTGTGTTCTTTTTTTTTTTTAACCCATGTTAGAAAGCCTATTGCATGGACAAAGAACAAATAATAAAATAGTAGGAGACAACTAGGGGCCATTAGATTAGAATTAACACAGGCTTTGAGGACCACAGTGTGATAATACATATCACTCAGTTATCCCCACTCCTCACACCTTTCCAAACTAATCATATTCTCCGTAATGTTCACTTTTCTCTTAGTGATGGATGGTTCTCTGCCTACCTCCCTGAAACACATCATCAGCAATGCAGAATACTATGGCCCATCACTCTTCCTCCTAGGTAAGTGGAGTTGATAGTTGGTTATAACAATTTGGGATAACCTGGCAGAGCTTTCTCTCTGTGTATTTATTTACTTACTATTTTATTTATTTATTTATTTATTTATTTATTTATTTATTTATTTATTTTTGAGACAGAGTCTTACTCTGTTGCCCAGACTAGAGTATGGTGGCATAATCTCTGCTCACTGTAACCTCTGCCTCTCGGGTTCAAGCAAGTCTCCTGCCTCAGCCTCCCGAGTAGCTGGGATTAGAGGTGCCTGCCACCATGCCTGGCTAATTTTTGTGTTTTTAGTAGACAAATGTGAATAGTAAAATCCCACAAGGAAATAAAACACAGAGAGGCCAGGCATGGAAGCTCATGCCTGTAATCCCAGCACTTTGGGAGGCCGAGGTGGGTGGATCACCTAAGGTAAGGAGTTTGAGACCAGTCTGGCCAAAATGGCAAAACCCCGTCTCTACTGTCTACCTGGACAGTAGACAAATGTCAATAGTAAAATCCTGCAAGGATATAAAACACAGAGAGGTCGGGTAGATATCTGTCTTATTGGTGATGCAATAAAGAAAGGTCAGAATTCAGTTTTAAGTAAATATCTATTTTCTGGGTGCCAAATATACCTTCATTTGTAATAAGTAGCATTATCATACATTTGGCTTATCTGTGCTAGAATTCTTAAAACGCTAAAGGAATTAAGTTGGAGACGTGGAAACAGGGAAAATCTCCTTGTAGTGAGCACTGTGTTTTACATTTTGGGGTGTTGGGGAGACTATTTTTGGCTACTACAACTTAGATACTTCGTTCCCCCCTTGCTGAAGAAATTTGGGATTTTTGTTTATTAACCTTGTAGCCTTTAATCTTGCACAATTCATTTATTAGTACATATTCGTTTTGTGTGGTTTTTTTTGTTGTTGTTTTGTTTGTTTTTTTTTTTTTTTTGAGACGGAGCCCTCACTCTGTCACCTAGCGCAATCTCAGCTCACTGCAAGCTCCGCCTCCCGGGCCCACGCCATTCTCCTGCCTCAGCCTCCAGAGTAGCTGGGACTACAGATGCCCACCACCACACCCAGAGAATTTTTTGTACTTTTAGTACAGATGGGGTTTTACCGTGTTAGCCTGGATGGTCTCAACCTCCTGACCTCGTGATCCACCTGCCTCGGCCTCTCAAAGTGCTGGCTCACAGGCGTGAGCCACTGCCCCCGGCCTTGTTTTGTTTTCTTAGGATATTCTACATAGTCTTGCCATCTGCAAATACATTTTTATTTTCTTTATGGTCTTTGTGCCTTTTTTTGGTCTTACTGTGTTAGGAAAGATTTCTGATACAATGCTGGATAGAAATGAGAATGGGCCTCTTTGCTTTGTTCCTGAATTTAGAGGGAAAGCATTTAATATTTTACCATTAAGAATGAGGTTAGCAGAGGTTTTGTGTTGAAGGTTTTGTCAATTTTATCAGGTTGAGGAAGTTTTCTTGTGGTGTAGCAACTCCACCATGCTATGGAAAAGCTCTCTGCCAAGGTTAGGTTCAGATGGCAAAATTCAGACAATAGTTCTTTGGTTTTTTGTTTTGTTTTGTTTTTAAGATTTGTTTTACAGGTGGGGAAGTCTCAAGGCCAGGGGCAGGGAGAATGCCTCTCTTCTGGGAGAAAGTCCAGAACAGAGAGAAAGAGAAAAGGAAGTACACAGGCAATTTTCAATAAATGGGAAGCTTAGAAGAGGCAACAATTGCCATTGACAGGGATATTGTTTAAAAGAGGGAGGCAGCAAGAGGATATAGTGCTTAGGTGCTGGGGTAGTGGTGAGGAGCAGGTGAGCCCTATGAGGATGATGCCAGAAGTGAAGGGGACAGGCAGGAAATGAGACTTAGAGCACTAAATCAAAGGTCAATGAAGGTCCAACTTCCTTCCCTATGGTTTTCTTAATTCATCCCTCACATTTCAATCAGCATAGCAACCTCCCAGTTTTCCTGTAAAATGCACTTGTACTTGAGAGAGACCAAATTTGCAAAGCCAAACCTAAATAGACTAGCCATTGTTATTTTAGCTCTCTAAATGATAGTACAGAACCTTTCACTCCAGGTGGAAGGAGATGGCTCAGGAAAGACATAAGGGAGGTCTGAGAACCTCTTGGAGTATTTTAATAATATAGTTGGCTGTTTGAGTTTCTTTTATTTTTGTTGAACTATTCTGGATACCTTTTCTTTATTAATGATCATGCAATGGGAGGTCCCTTTAAGACACAAGCACTACCTTGAAATCCCAGTAGGTAGTTTCATGCCAATCTGTTATCGACTGTCATAGTAACTAAACTGCTTTGTCCCTCATTGAGGGCTTCTAAGGCCTGAACTGTTTGGTTAATGTGGTCTTCCAGGAGTTACAACATGTCTGGGTAACCTCTATGAGTTGAATCTGTGTTACAGAATTGGAAATACCTAAACTTGTGCCCATTACACCAAAGATTCTGATGAGGCCCAGAAGAGGTAAAAAGTGCTCCCTTTTGTGGCAAGACCTGATAAAACAGCTAGACTTTCTAGTTGGATTTGAGGTGCCCTGGGCACTGAATGTCCATAGTACATAGGTCAGCTTGTATGGGTAGAAGGGAACAGGATCACTGAATAGAATGTATAACCCTGCTGAGCAGGAGTTGTAACACAGAAGAATCAGTAGACCAGGAGGTTGGAAGGTGAAGTTTCTAGGGAGTAAATTTATATTAGGGTGGACATTCTCAACAGGGGGGCATCATTGTATGTACTATCAGTTGGTGGCAGAGGCTGGGAAAAATATGAAATCCTTAAGGGGGAAGCTAATGAGGAAGCACCCTGAGGTCACGATGTCCTGCTTATAATTTCACACTCAAACTCAATATTCTGACTCCTTCTCCCTCACGTGTCCGACCTCTGGCTGTTTCTTCTGTGCCACTTTTAGCCACTTGTATTTCATTTGTAGTATCCCATGTAACTTCCCTCAACTCACCTCTCCTCTTTCTCACCTCCTGCCTTACCCCTCATGTTATCTGTTCGGGTCTGTTTGTAGCCTATGCTAACGTCGTCATGCTTATGATTGACTGCTTAACCAGAGAGTGTAGCAGGTAGTCAATATGAGTATTGAAATCCTCCAAGGGAGCAAGATACAGTTGTATAAGTGGCTGCCTGGGCTAGGGTGTCTGTTAATATTGCTGGAGGTTTAGTATGTAGGTGGCATTTTGTGTACCTAATACATAGATACGATCTATCAGGTTGAGTGAGGGGAAGCAGGAAATATAGGTAGTGACTGGAATAGTGAAATTAGAGTGTAAATAGTGAAAGTGGAGTGTGGGCTGGCTGTCAAAGAGTTGATGGGGCAGTGGAGTTATGAAGAGTCATATGGGGGCAGTTACAAGGGCATTTACTATCTTGAGGGTGTCAGCATCAAGGTTGGGACTGTCAGTTGTGCTGAAATCGTCATCTAGGATGCTTTGGTATGCTGTATAGATAGAAGCCCTAGGCTCACACTTGAGAAATTATTATAAAAGAGTTGTAGAATAATTTCAGATAGGGAAGCTGCGGACTGATTACCCCCAAACAAGTGGGATCACAGTATGGAACAAAAGGAGCCCAAGAATTTTGGCATTGAGCTGGAGTAGTAGTATCCCAGACCCAGGCCATGAGCCAAATGAGGTATAGACAGGCCAACTAGAGCCAGAATATTCCACAAAGATATTTTCAGGCCTGTGGTGCATAGACTTTTGGCATGTCGAAATGCCGGTTTATTATGGAAATCACAGGCATTGCCATCCCATATCCTGCAATAGTCTCCCATTTAATACCTCTGTAATAAGGTGGATCCAGAACTAGCTTCCTGTCTAAGAATGTTGGTATTAGGAACTAACTTAAGATTTTTCTTTCCTCTTTGGAGGAACCATACAGTTGTGTATGTGGACCCAGGCAGAGAGACCAAGACCTTCATTTCCTACGAAGAGAGATCTCTAGTTAGCAATCCTTTAAAACCATCGTATTAGGAAAGGACTTTGGCAGAGACCTTCTGCATAGTCTTAGAGGGTGAGGGCCCTCAATTTTCTGTGGGTCCCATCCTGTTATCTACTTTCAGTCTAGGCGCCTGTCCACCATGGATTGCACCAACATCAAATGAGGAGGTGTCGTTAAGTGAGAGGGATTCTGTTTGGGTATTATAGACTCATAGATGGAAAGTATCTCATTTTGAGGCTAGAAAGGGAAAAAAGGAAGCACTAGTCGTGTTTTTTCAGGATGTCATATAACTAAGGCAATCGGCAAAAGAGAGATCCATTTAAGAGACCATTGTCCACTTTGTAAGTTTAAGAGAGCATCGAACAATCCATTATGCTTCTATTAGGCCTGCTTTCTGTGAACAGTAAAACAAATGGGCCAGGCACTGGCTCACACCTGTAATCCCAGCACTTTGGGATGCTGAGACAGGCAGATTGCTTGAGCCCAGGAGTTTGAGACCAGCCTGGGCAACATGTGAAATCCTGTCTCTAAAACAAATAAATGCTGGTGCGCTACTCAGGAAGCTGAGGTGGGAGGATCACTTAAGTACTAAGGTTGAGGCTGCAGTGAGCTATAATTGCGCCGCTGCACTCTAGCCTGGGGAACAGAGTAAGACCTTGTCTCAAAAAAAAAAAAAAAAAAAAATGAAAGCTCCAAGGTGATGCCTTGTTTTAAAAGGTCCATGCCCAGACTGAATGAGCGGTAACATGCATACCCTGGTCAGAGTCGGTGTTACCAGAAGCCCAAAGGGAACTAACTGAGGCCTATAATGGTGGTGTTGGCAGTGGTTTGGCAGGAAGGATAAGCCAAGAATAGGTCTGTATAACAATCAGTTGTGAGGGCGTAGCGATTTGTGCCAGCAGATTGGCGGCAGTGGCCCAAAAAAATTGATTTGCCAGTGAGAAAAGGAGTGTTCACGTCTGGTATGGTGAGCCCCCATTGGTGTTGATGCCAATGGCAAGACAGGGCACAAAGAACATATTGGGAGGCTAGGGTTTGAGTAGGGCTAGTGGCATGGGGATGCAGTGGCGTTTGGGCCCAGGGATTGTGATGACCTGCCTGCCTTTACTCCTCTCCCCTCTCCTCCCCTCCTCTCCTCCCTTCCCCTCCCCTCCTCTCCTCTCCTCTGTAACCTTGACTTTCCAGACTCTCTTGGATTCATTTTCAGTTCTATTGAAGTCCATCTGTGGGTAATTTTTAAGGTGTTAGACTTCTCTTTCAGAAGTTGGTGGCTGTTTTCTTCATTGTATTCTAATGCTACATTATTGTAGATAACCGTGGTGTCAGACTGGTTCTTGTTCTTATCTGTGTATATTTCCTGCTGCTTCTTCTTTTTTTTTTTTTTTCCTATTTCTCTGATTTCTTTTCACTTTCTCCTGGAAACCCTAATTACCTTTTTTCCCTTTTTTAGTTGATTGGTTCCACACTGAGCTGATTGCTCTGTGCGTGTATATACCCTTTAACTCTAATTCTTGGTTATCAGTGTTTTTATGTAGGGGTCCCAGTGCACAGTGTCGTTGCGACCTCTTTTTTTTTTTTTTTTTTTTTTTTTTGAGACGGAGTCTCACTCTGTCACCCAGGCTGGAGTGCAGTGGCCGGATTTCAGATCACTGCAAGCTCCGCCTCCTGGATTCACACCATTCTCCTGCCTCAGCCTCCCAAGTAGCTGGGACTACAGGCGCCTGCCACCTCACCTGGCTAGTTTTTTTGTATTTTTTAGTAGAGACGGGGTTTCACTGTGTTAGCCAGGATGATCTCGATCTCCTGACCTCGTGATCCGCCCGTCTCAGCCTCCCAAAGTGCTGGGATTACAGGCGACCTCTTAATAAAATAACAGGTTTGTTGTCTTAGTAATTGCTTGTAGAACACTAATTTTAGTTTTTAAATACTCAATTTTAGTGGCTCTATAGAATTCATACATTTCTACAAATGTAAGTCAATCGAGGGGAGTGTCATATACCAATAGGAACCCCAAAAAGGACTTAAATTTTTCAGAATTTTATAGCCCATGAGGGAATCCCAAAGGCCATTGGAAACTGTCGGTCCCCGGTAATTACTACATATCTGCCATTCCCCTAGCATGTGGGATAAAGGAGAGATGCTATATTCACCAACTTGAATAGAAAATCCTCTGGTTTCTTTTAGATCTTAGGCATTACCATAAACAAGTTTGTTCTATATACATGGTTTATGGGTGTTGTATGTATATTCCTCTTTGTCAGATTTTTAAATCAAAGTTATTGTAGTTATTGTAGTCTTATGAGTTGGGAAGCCTTGTCTTAATTATTCCTGGAAGGTTTAATAAAACTTTTGGCTTGGTGCCTCTCTGTTACTTGGATTTTTTTTTTTTTTTTTAACTTTTAAAAATTCTAGAACGGGCGCGGTGGCTCACGCCTGTAATCCCAGTACTTTGGGAGACGGAGGCAGGCAGATCGCCTGAGGTTAGGAGTTCAAAACCATCTGGCCAATCTGGTAAAAACCCCATCTCTACTAAAAATGAAAAAGTTAGCCAGGCGTGATGGGCGCCTGTAATCCCAACTATTCAGGTGGCTGAGGCCGGAGAATCGCTTGAACCCAGGAGGTGGAGGCTGCAGTGAGTTGAGAGTGTGCCACTGCACTCAAGCCTGGGCGACAGAGTGAGACTCCGTCTCAATAAAAAAGAAAAAATTCTTGTTATTGGTCTAATCTGCTCTGCTGTCACTTCCTGAGATTTGATTTTTATGACATTTTCTTATTAAACTATACATTTCACTTGTTGGCATACACTTTGTAGAATATATTTTTCTGTATCTAGTTAAATCTCCTTTCTCATTCCTCACGTATATTACTGCTCTTTTTTCTAATTTATATTATTTCACTTGTTGGCATACACTTTGTAGAATAAACTTTTTTTTCTGTATCTAGTTAAATCTCCTTTCTCATTCCAAATCTATATTACTGCTCTTTTTTCTAATTTATTTTGTTGCTTTTATTTTCCATAGGTTTATAAGCTTTTCCAGTGTCTTCACAAAGCTAGATATTGGCTTTATCTTTTTTGCTTTTGGTTTCAGTGAATTCTTTTTTCTGTTAATTCTTCATAGCTTGTTTGGTTACTTTTTAATAAATGCCTTAATGCTGTACTATTTCCTCTTGAGTAGAGTTTTTCACATGTTTCAGAAGCTTTGGTAGTTATTACTGCAATTTCTAAATATTATAATGTCAAGAACTGGTCAGATTAATACTCAAGGACTCTCACATTGCTGATGATAGTTTAAAATTGTTGTACGAGGCAGTTTATCTATTTTCATCAGTTAAGCTTGCATTTGCTTTAACCCAGCAAACCTACATCATAGATTTTTTTTTCCTGTTAAAAGCAGACAAAAACGGATATGTGTTTAGGTTTATCATTTTCACAGTTGAGGAGTGATTTCTATACATGTGGTACATGCGTTTAGTGGAATAGTAGGCAGCCATTCAAAATGAATGGGTCATTGTATCGGGAGAGTACATTATACAGTATAACAATTGTGGGGAAAAGCAAGATATATAAAACAGTATAACCTCATTTATGTAAAAATATGCCCATAAAAATCCTGGAAGTGTAGTCATTAGATTCTTTATAGTGATGAATCTCTGATGGAACAGTATTACGATCTTTAATTTCATAGTAAGCACAAGGGTTTAAATTGCTATACATTGAGAGTGGTTTTTTTTTTTTTTTAAAGCTTTTGGTGTTTTGTTTTCAATTCCTGTGAGGAATCTCTCAGTTTTCCATATTTTCTCATCTTTTTTTAGCTACTGAAGTGGTGACTGTGTTTGTATTTCAAGAACCATCACTGCTCTCCTCACTCCAGGACAATGGATTGACAGATGTCATGCTGCATGCACTGCTTATCAAAGATGTAAGTCTTTTCTGCTACTCGGTAAAGAATGTCTTAGGGAGTTAAAATCCTCTCTCTTCTTGGTGTAGTGTTGAATCTAATTGGGAGCTGGTTGTCAAAATTCCTTCCGTCTCAGCTTGATACGCATGGCCGGATTTTCCTAGCATCTACACTCTTTTAGATGCATTCAAGTTCACTTTGTTTTCTCTCTAGGTTCCTGCTACCCGTGAAGTCCTTGGCTCCCTCCCAAATGTATTCAGTGCACTCTGCTTGAATGCCCGAGGTCTTCAGTCTTTTGTTCAGTGTCAGCCTTTTGAACGCCTCTTCAAAGTTCTTCTGTCTCCAGATTACCTCCCAGCCATGCGGAGGAGGAGAAGTTCTGATCCCCTTGGTAAGTTGTTAAGATTTATTTTATAGTAGAAAATTGATTTAATTTGCAAAGAAACTCTTCCTTGATCTCTCTCATCATTTTACTGATTAGGTTTGCTAAGTTTAATGGGGATTATCATCATACATTCTATTATAATTCGGAAGGAATACTTCATCTTTAGCTTCTCTGCTCATAATATTTCCATGCTTCTCAACAGTTCACCATTGCATTGTCATGGTACTGGTAGAAAACAGGTATTAAGAAGCAGTGGTAGATTTCCAGGTTCACCATCTAGTCTGCAGCAATGAGAAATATGGAGTCCTGAGGTGTTCATCTGGTAATCTGGTGTTCTAATGTCCAACTCTCTAAGATAACGACACATGGATAGTTTTTTTTACTCAGTATACTTGAGACCAGATCATTGAGAAATTATTAGCAAGAAGGTAGGGCTCCAGAAAGATTACAGTTTTCAAAAATGTGCTTTGTACTTTTCAGCCACTGCTGTAGCATTTAGACACTATCATTCTTAACTGGAGCAGCCAGAGGGTTAATGGTTTGTACATCTTTCTTCTCTCTCACTCTGTAATACTAGTTTAGATCTTGACAGCAGAGATTGCCAGAGTAGAGTGCAGCACACATAGTTACTTTAAAATAGTTTACTAAACTGATTCCTTCCTTTTCCCCCGTAATTTGGGGGATAGGGGCTGGGTGTAAATTCTTTAAAGAAGCTGTGGCATTAGAAAATCACAACCAAAAAAAAAAAAAAAATAGAAAAAAAAAAATCACAACAGCCTGGCCTGGCACGGTGGCACACACCTAGCACTTTGGGAGGCCAAGGTGGGCAAATTACTTGAGCACAGGAGTTTGAGACCAGCCTGGGCAACATGGCCAAATCCCATCTCTACAAAAAATACAAAAATTTCTTCAGGCATGGTGGCGCACACCTGTAGTCCCAGCTACTTGGAGGATCGCTTGAGTCCAGGAGATCGTGACACTGCACTCCAGCCTGGGTGACATAAAGTCTTTTAAGAAAATCATAACCAGGCTCAGTTTTTTCTTTCCACCTTATGTTGGTACAGAAAGGAGCCCAAGCTCTATTTTCTTCAGTCTTTCTAATTCTAACAGTTCATTTTTTGCCTTAAGGGGATACTGCATCCAACCTGGGGAGTGCTGTCGATGAGCTCATGAGACATCAACCCACCCTTAAAACAGATGCAACGACTGCCATCATCAAGGTAGAAAGTGATAAGGATGTGATCATGAGCACGAGAGAGCAGAGAAGGGGAAGGTTTTAGAAGATTTGGCCTACTGGATGTCATTAGGATTCTTGGGCTATAGCTATAAGAGCATTATGTCTGCCTCATTGTTTCCATGTCCTTAGGTTGGTCCTTTATAAAAAAAAAAAAAAGGTTGTCATTTTAGTTCATCTTAGAAAGAAGTCTCTGTTAAAAGTTTTTTAGCTGGGTGCAGTGGCTCACGCCTGTAATCCTGACACTTTGGGAGGCTGAGGCTGATGGATCACTTGAGGCCAGGAGTTTGAGACCAGCCTGGACAACATGGTGAAGCCCCGTTTCTATGAAAAATATAAAATTTAGCCGGGTGTGGTGGCGTGTGCCTGTAGTCCCAGTGACTCTGGAGGTTGAGACAGGAGAATCACTTAAACTCGGGAGGAGGAGGTTGTAGCGAGCTGAGATCATGCCACTGCAAGACTCTGTCTCCAAAAAAAAAAAAAAAGTTTTTTAGGTCGAGAATTGTTTTCCTTAAAAATTTTTTTCCATTTAATGTAAACCTCTATATAATGATTTCTTTTATGTATTATATGGACAAGCAGACATGGCTTAGATTAAGTTTGTGAAGTGTATTGCCCTTTCTAGTCTCTGTTTGTTGATCCCTGTGGCTGCCCCCGACCCCGCCTTATTAGCTCTGCCAGTTTCCTTTTAGAATTGTTATTGAAACTAGTATATAAGTTCCTGGTGCTTGGTGAATTGGGACAGGGAGTCAGATTTGTCAGTCGCTTATACAGCCCTGTGACCCTCAACAAATTACTTAAGTTTGCAGCACGTCTCTTCCCTTGTTTATAAAATGGAATTAATGACCATATTCTGGGAATGCTGTATATAACATGTGTATGAAGTGTTTGGGCAAATATACAACACATAGAAAATGCTCTAAATATGTTATCTGTCTCCTCCTCCCCATTCCATGATTACTAATAAGTAATCTTATTTCCTGTGCCTTTCAGTTACTTGAAGAAATCTGTAATCTTGGAAGGGACCCCAAATACATCTGTCAGAAGCCATCAATCCAGAAGGCAGATGGCACTGCCACTGCTCCTCCCCCAAGGTCTAATCATGCTGCAGAAGAAGCCTCTAGTGAGGATGAGGAGGAAGAGGAAGTACAGGCCATGCAGAGCTTTAATTCTACCCAGCAAAATGAAAGTGAACCTAATCAGCAGTAAGTGTTTACAAAACAGAACCTCTAGCCCTGTAATCTTGGGCATGTTGTCACCTCTCTAAGTCTTAGTGAACACTTTCACCTATAAAACACAAGAGAGTTGTATTAGATCATTTTAAAGTTCTTGCTGGTTCTAAGAGTGTATTAGTTTTTCCTTTTTTGACCCTTGTGTGTTATTTGTGCTTTGGTATTTAATTGTATTAGTTGCCTTAGGAAGTGATCTTTTTAAAAAAAAAAATTATTTATTTTTGATTTTTATTTATTTATTTTTTTGAGACAGAGTTTTGCTTTTGTTGCCCAAGCTGGAGTGCAGTGATGTGGTCTCGGCTCATTGCAACCTCCACCTCCCGGGCTCAAGCAATTCTCCTGCCTCAGCCTCCCAAGTAGCTGGGATTATAGACACCCACCACCACACTCGGCCAATTTTTGTATTTTTAGTAGAGATGGGGTTTCACCATGTTGACCAGGCTGATCTCGAACTCCCCATCTCAGGTGATCTACCCACCTTGGCTTCCCAAAGTGTTGGGATTACAGGCGTGAGCCACTGCACCCAGCCAGGAAGTGCTCATTCTGTTTTTTTTTTTTTGAGACGGAGTCTTGCTCTGTCGCCCAGGCTGGAGTGCAGTGGCTGGATCTCAGCTCACTGCAAGCTCCGCCTCCCGGGTTTACGTCATTCTCCTGCCTCAGCCTCCCGAGTAGCTGGGACTACAGGCGCCCGCCACCGCGCCCGGCTGGTTTTTTTGTATTTTTTAGTAGAGACAGGGTTTCACCATGTTAGCCAGGATGGTCTCGATCTCCTGACCTCGTGATCCGCCCGTCTCGGCCTCCCAAAGTGCTGGGATTACAGGCTTGAGCCACCGCGCCCGGCCTGAAGTGCTCATTCTTAAAAGCTGTTGATGAAATTGAATCAGAATTTGGTCTATCAAGTTAATGGACTTTGCACAGAGACCTTATTTTCCCTTTGTTGATTTAATATTCCACATCATTGACTGCTTGATTTTTTTCAGGCACGTGTGAAACACATTGTACTTTTGAAGCCTGTCTCCTAAGAAGTCCTTAAGGGGTGTGTGAGGATTTGTTGTTGCTTGTTGTTTTTTTAATTTTTGTTCATTTTGTTACTATTTGTTCGTTCCAGATTAATTGGAAGGCTTTGGAATTTACTGTATGACTGTAAACAGTCAAGAATTGAGTTCTTAGATGGAAGCAGGGAGTTTGCTTAAAGGCTGCTGACTGTTAGGATGTAGTCCACCAGGCTCTTTGAGCAGTATTCACATACCAGGGATGAACTGTAACTCTATACCTGTAACTTTTAATCACCTGCATGCTGAAAATGGGATTGATCCTTCTGGACAGTCATGTACTCACTCATTCAATAAGTACTCTTTTATTGTGTAGGTAAGTCATTCTGAGAAAAGCTTGAGCATTTTAGGCACAGATATGAATGCATTTGAGCTGGTCCTGAATGGTACCTTGGAACTTAAAATTTAAGGTGGAGTAGACAACAGGAGCAAAGGCCTAGAATCCAAAACTGGTATGTCCTCTTGGAACTCTAAATAGTAATGAGCCTGTGGGTATCAAGTGTTTTAAGGAGAGGCATTAACTACTAAGTATATTACTTTGTTGAACACATACCTTAGCCTGTCTGAGAAGGCAAACCTACCTTCATTCTAGCAGTACCTTTTGTTCTCTTTTAAGTGTTCTTTTTCTAGAAGAGGAGGACACCCTGGAAGAAAGCATGACATTTTTTTGTAGACCGAGTCTTAGTGCTTCCTTTGTCACACCCTTGAATGTCAGTGACCCTACTGGAGTGGGGTTCCTTTTCCTGGCTACAAATAAGGGAAAATTTTAAGACGTAGGTGGTAGTGGTTTTAAGTCAAGCTTATAAATATTCATCTGCATGTGACTTCCCTACCTGGACGTTTTCCAGATGCCTTACATCTGATGTGCCCAGATTTCAAGCTGTCGCAGTTAATCAGCATTTTCTTCACTACCCTCATTTGTTTACCCTCCTTTCCTTTCTCGGGATATCATGTATCACTGTGTTCTATCCACAGCCATTCCCATTCCCATATCACCTCCTTTTCCATCCACCAGATTTCTGTAAGGCCAGTTCAAATGTCTTATTCTTGAAGGAGTTTTTTTTGTTTTGTTTTGTTTTTTTTGACTTCCAAATGAGAAGTCAATCTTGTGTTCTCCCAACAGTTTTGTTAAAATTATTCATACATGTTAATGGTTTTCCTCACTCACCTATAAGCTCCTCAAGAGCAAGACATTGCCTCATTCACCAGTATATCCCTATCACTTTGTATAATAGTAGGTAGTCAGTAAGTTTGTTTATTGAAATGAATAAAGAGCCTTAAATTAAGAATTCCTAGAGTCTTAAATGCTTGGAGAGCTAGGCCTAATGAGACGTGAATGAAAATGAAGAGAAATTAGAAATATAAACCCAGTAGCATTAATATTCTACCATAGTGATATTTATATGTAACTTCTAAGATGCAGAGGACTCTAGTAGTTACTGTACCCTAGTATCAGTAGTTTTCTACATTCTGAATGCTCATCACTACCTCATTTGCATGATCCAAGAGTCTCACAGATGTTGACACATGTATTTTTTCACTTCTACGATCTTCAGAAGCCTAGATTGGGTCACTAAGTAAATTATTAGGGCAGGAAGAAAAAGCAAGAGACTGTCTAAACTCAGCTTCATTTTGAAAACCACAATATATTAATAGCAAAAGTTCTTTTTATCTTCTATCCCAGGCAGTTGTTATGGGGGAATTTTGTACTTTCTCACAATATGGTAAAAGGGCTTAGAAAAATTGGGAATATGTGTCACGCTTCTCCCCATAAGTCTTGTCCATCCCGTCCTCTAAATTCAAAGTTCTTCAGTGGAACTTCTGAATTTCTGTTTCCCGTGCTCTCATGTTTTCCAATGCCTTACCCACACGTAAAATAATCACGATTAACTCTTATCTTTATTTTATTTTATTTTATTTATTTATTTATTTTGAGATAGAGTCTCACTACATCACCCAGGCTGGAGTGCAGTGGCACGAGCTCAGCTCACTGTAACCTCCACCTCCCGACTTCAAGCAGTTCTCGTGCCTTAGCCTCCTGAGTAGCTGGGATTACAGACACGTGCCACCATGCCTGGCTAATTTTCATATTTTTAGTAGAGCTGGGGTTTTGCCATGTTGGCCTCAAACTCCTGGCCTCATGTGATCCACCCACTTCAGCCTCCCAAAGTGCTGGGATTACAGGTGTGCGCCGCCGCACCTGGCCAATTTAACAGCAGTTTAAATTCAGGTATGATTTCCATAGAGATTCTGCATTTCCAGTTTCCCTGCCCAAAACTGAGGCAATTTCCCTGTCCCAAAATCTTACTTCTGTCATCATATTATTATGTCTATTCCAGAATATGTTTAAATAAAATGATCATATAAAGTCTTATGTGTATATTATATCTGACGTATATATCTTCTTGTATCTAGCTTCTTTGTTCGATGTGTTTTGGAGGTTCATCCGTGTTATTGCATCTGTCAGCAACTTGTTACTTTTCATTGCTGAGTAGTATTCTGTTGTGTGATAATTGCGTAGTGATTATCCATTTTCCAGTTGATGGACTTAGGTTTCTGGGTTTTTTCCAGGCTTAGACAGTACCCTTTCCTTTTTTTTTTTTTTTTTTTTAAAAAAAACACAAAATCAGCAGCTAGTATTTGCAAATGGCGTTTGTATTTACTCTTGAAACACATGGTTTTGTGCTGGAGATCTGGAGTATGGAAACTTAGGCACTATAGTCTACCCCCAATACATAGGGTGCCTTTCTACATTCACTCATTCACCACAAGTAGTTCTAAATACCTGTCTTTTGCTCCCTTTCTTCTGCCTTCTAAATTGTTTGATCTCAGAAAATCTGATATTGCTAGGGATGAATATACTTGCCAGTAAGTAACCAGGGTTTGTAGTTGATGCATCACGGTTCACTTTGTGGTTGATTCGATTAGTGTGCCTAGCTTACCACCCACCACTCATGAGCAACCTGAAAGAAATGGGCTATGTAAAGTCTTTGTGATCGTTAGAACTCGAATAGCAATTGTTTGGACTTTAAAGGTAATGAGTCCAGAGACGCAGTTGTTCCCTGAAATGTCGCCCACTGGGAGGGCTCCTTCATCAGAGTGAGCTGTCTCCTCAAAAGCTGGAGGAAGCACCTGACCACGCCCCCACCCCGAAAAACCCCATGTACATCATACTATGACACTAAATTGAAATCCTCCTTTACTTTCTGGGTATGGGCTGGGGCTCCACCACCATAAATACAGAAAATTGACCAGAGTTTGGCAATGTGTATTTGTTTGGGGAAAGGGAGAGAAACAGGAAGTTTAGGACTTTTCTTGAAATCAGTTGGTAAGTTGAGTCCTGTTGGAAAGAGTTGATCATTTTGATTATTCCTGTACGGCTTCTTGGGCCTGAGAGCCAAAAGATGAGGGTAAGGAGAAAAGTGGTACTGAACAAATTTATTCCTGGAATTATATTAAGAACCACTATTGGTTTGCTTTCTCTCTGTTCTTCTCCCCAGTTTCCATGTAGCAAATGAAGGGGGTATATAGGTCTCATTTGATTTTACTACTTAGGCTCTTTGCCATCATATCTGGCTTCTTCAAAGGGTTCGGTGTCTCTGGGCTGGATCCACACTTGCACTCCTTATTGATAGAGGTGGATCTATAGGTAATTGATATAAGTAACATGGAATGCTGCAGTGGTTCTGAGGAGGAAATTAAAGTTTTGTGGTCTTCTCATGGAATCATTTCAATCTTGCCTTATAGGTATACTTCTTTTCTACAAAGTTCTTCCCCACATTTTTCATTGAGGAGGTTCACAACATCCTACCCAAACCCTGGTTCTGGGTATTTTTGTCACTGAAGTCATTCATAATGCCTCTCCACTCTCTCCTGTTCTAAATTCTGCTGCCAAATGTTCTTGTGCCTGGCAAATCTTTGTTTACATTTTGTCTTGCTTAGAGATGAGAACTACTAGCTTCTTGCCAACTTTCTTGTCTTCTTCCTCTACCTCTCCCTCTGTCTCTGCCCCATCCCACTCTCCTGCACCCTGCCTAAATCTGTTTCAAGGGCCTGTGTCCAAAATGATCCATTTTCTAAAGTATTTGTTCCTTCCTGGGGTTTATCTTAGAGGTAATATTTTGTTTCATCACAATATACTATATGTGTAGTTTTTTACATTGAGCTGCATTTTCTGCAGCTATGGTATGTTGTAGCCTTCTCATCTGCTGTGCAGTATTGAAGCAACTGAAAAGACAAAAGACATGATCAGTTTTTCGATAGTTCAGGAACTGTCATGTGCAAATACCAATTGTTAGGCCAAAGAGGCCTCAGGTGTATGAATCTTTGAACAAAATTAAATTCTATTTCCTACTCTCCATAACTTTAAACGTGATGCAAAAACATCATATGATGTTTAAGTGTCTCTTTAGCCTCTTTCTTCAAGCAGATGTTGAGTCTTTTAATTGAACTTATTTTTAATGTTTTCATATGGATAAATTTCTCCAACAGTAGTTTGCCAAAGATAGGATAGTTTCTCTTGTGATGTATACAAATGTTGAGTTTTTAAAGGCTTGGTTTTCCCCTTTATGCTTTCAACCTTAGTCAGGCTAGGAAAGGTAGATTCAGGATTGATTTCAGCTGTTCTTTTCCTGTGGTATATGAGTCTAAAGGCTCATCTCTACCCCATAAGCCTGGGAAGTAAAGGCTGCAGTGAGCCGTGATTGTGCCACTGCACTCCAGCCTGGGTGGCAGCAAGACCCTGTCTCAAAAAAAATGAGCAAATAAATAAATAGAAAAAGACCTAGAATTTTATGCAGTACCTCTTCTCTGTTCTCTTAATATTGGTATTGTGAATTTCTGTGTAACTCACTCTTTTCTCCCCTAACAGGGTTGTTGGTACAGAGGAACGTATTCCTATTCCCCTCATGGATTACATCCTTAATGTGGTAAGATTCAACACAGGGCAAACTGAGTAAAGGTGTATGTATGCTTTTCTGGAAAATGTGTAGTGTTATCAGAGTCCAGTAATTACTGTATTCATTTTATTTGGAATCCAATTAAGAGGAGAAAGATGTGCCACCCTTTTGTTTTTGTTCTAGACTGGTTTGCCAGAAATTAGCCAACATGACCCCCATTATTTTTTATTCCGGACTTTTTTGTTCACTGTTACCATTCTTCATTAGAATCCAGACAGGATTCTGTAACAGGTTTTGTTTTGCCAGTCTGGTACGGACTGATCATCCCAAATCCAAAATGCTCCAAAATTTGAACCTTTTTGAGTACCAGCATAACACTGAAAGGAAATGCTCACTGGAGCATTTTCAGCCTGAACCGTATAATGCAAATATTCAAAAATAAAAAATCTGGCCTGTAATCCCAGCACTTTGGGAGGCCGAGACGGGCGGATCACGAGGTCAGGAGATCGAGACCATCCTGGTTAACACGGTGAAACCCCGTCTCTACGAAAAAAAAAAAAAAAGATACGAAAAAACTAGCCGGGCGCGGTGGCGGGCGCCTGTAGTCCCAGCTACTCGGGAGGCTGAGGCCGGAGAATGGCATGAACCTGGGAGGCGGAGCTTGCAGTGAGCTGAGATCCGGCCACTGCACTCCAGCCTGGGCGACAGAGCTACACTCCGCCTCAAAAAAAAAAAAAAAAAAAGAAAAGAAAAGAAAAGAAAAAAAATTAAGAAAATAAAAATAAAAAATCTGAAACATTCATGGTGCCCAAGCATTTTGAATATGAGATATACAACCTGTAACATGTTTTCCAAACGTGTCCAACATATATTTTCCCCTTTTTTTCCCCATTACTTCTGGAGTATCTCACCAAAAAAGTGAAGAGTTTGAATTTTCCCAGAATTGTTTACCAATAAGGGAGAGACCTCTTAGCATTTGTTTTAGCCTACTAATCACTTCCAAGACTTCCAGAGATAGTTTCTCTTGTGCCTGTGTGTTTATTGCCCACATTTTACTTTTTTACTCTTAAAAAAATTCTATTTGAAACAGACTCTTCCAGAGATCAGCGTTTCATTTGCATTATAGGCACATTTGGGGGAAATTTTCCATGATGTTTGCCTGCAGGAGAAAGGCAGGCAAGGAGCACTAAATAGCAAATTAAGAGATTAGACATGATTGTACCACTAATTCATAATGTGGCCCTGAGCAAGTCACTTAACTTCTCTGTTATCTCAAATTATCTGACTCTTGGTGTGCTTGAAAATGTAGATTGGGCAGAAATCGTAGATATTCTTTACTTCCTGGATGTTTTAGAGTCCGTATCATACATCTGGTTTATCTGAGGTTTTGATACCCTAGAAAACACTGATATCATGACTAGAAGGCTACCCCATCCTTATTCCAGGCTGGCCTTTTAGTTCCACCTGTCAGGCTCTAACTTCTTTAAAAAATTTTTATTACCTAGATGAAATTTGTGGAATCTATTCTGAGCAACAATACAACAGATGACCACTGCCAGGAATTTGTGAATCAGAAAGGACTCTTGCCTTTGGTTACCATTTTGGGTCTTCCCAATCTGCCCATTGACTTTCCCACATCTGCTGCCTGTCAGGCTGTTGCAGGTGTCTGCAAATCCATATTGGTAAGAAGCATCTGGCCAAATGTTTTCATTTCTTTTTGGAAATCAATTTTGCGATACTTCTGTATATATGTTTTTACTGTGGTCTCCCTTCAACTAAAAAATAATGAATAAATTTGTGTTATGTTGTATAAGTGAATTTTGTGACTAATATATAGTGTGCCATGTTATTTCTCATTGAAAAGTCAAAGTATTTTTTCTTTGTTCATCAGTTTGGTATGTAGTTCTACATCATTAGAGTTTATTGGAGGGAAAAGTGTATCTCCAAGAAAGCTTTTCTAGTTGGGTTTTATTAGTATGTCACCCTTCTTTGTTATAGGTGCTTTTTTAACACATTTTATGTTTATGGTTATGTTTAACCATGTGTTTTCCTCCTCTTTCAAGCTTGATAGTCGTGTATTAATCATAATTGACATGTAGTTCATTGCCGATATTTAATTCCCCCCTTTTCAAGCCCGATAGTCATGTATTGTAAGCATAGTTAACATGGTAGTTCATTGCTCATGTTTTGCCAAAAATGAAGCTTCTTTATTTTTTCATAGTGGTAAACTATACATAACATGAAATGTGCCATCTTAACCATTTTGCAGTGTAGAGTTCAGTAGTGTTATGTGTATTCATATTGATGTGCAGCCAATCTCCAGAACTCTTTTCATCTTGCAAAAATGAAATTCTGCACTTGAACTTCTCATCCTCCCTTCTCCCCAGCCCCTGGCAACTACCATTCTACTTTTTGTCTCTAAATTTGACTACTCTAGGTACCTTATATCAGTGGAATCAGAAAATATTTGTGTGTGCGACTGGCTTTTTTCACTTAGCATAATGCCCTCAAGGTTCAACCATTATGTAGCATGTGTCATAATTTCCTTCCCATGTAAGGCCTAATAATATTCCATTGTGTGTTTATACCACGTTTTGTTTATCCATTCATCTGTTGGTTGACACTTGGGTTGCTTTCACCTTTTGGCTGTTGTGAATAATAATGATGCTGTGAACATGGATGTACATATAACTCTTTGAGACTCCACTTTTAATTCTGATTTTCCCACATCCTAACCAATACTTATTTTCTGTTTTTTGATAATAGCCATTCTGGTGGGTAGGAAGTGTATCTCATTTTGTTTTTCACTGGCATTTCCCTAATGCTTAGTGATAACGAACATATTTTCATGTGCTTGTTGTCCATGTATATATCTTCTTTGGAGAAATGTCTATTCAAATTCATTGTTCTTTTTTAATCGTGTTATTTGTTTTATTGTTGAGTTGTAAGAGTTGTGTATTCTTATACATATATTAATACCTGATATTAATCTCTTCTCAAGTATATGATTTGCATATATTTTTCCTGTTCTGTGAGTTGGCTTTTCGTGGTTGTCTTTTGATGCACAAACATTTTTAATCTTGATAAAGTCCAGCTTCTCTTTTTTTGTTTTTGTTGCCTGTGTAAACACCTGTGATTTTAGTGTCACATCCACTAAAACCATTGCCAAATCTAGTGTTTTGCAGCTTTCCCACTATGGCTTCTTCTAAGAGTTTTATAACTTAGCTCTTATATTCAGGTCTTTGATCCATTTTGATTAGATTTTTTATATGGTAAAAGTCTGTCCTTTCCTATTGCATGGTCTTGGTACCTTCGTCAAAAATCATTTGACCATATATATGTGAAGATTTAATTCTGGGCTCTCTATTCTGTTCCATTGGTCTTTATGTCTGTCTTTATGCCAGTATCACAGTTTTGATTACTGTAACTTTGTAATAGAAATCAAAAAGAGTGAGACCTCCAAAAATTTTCCCCCAGCTTGTTTTGGCTATTTGGGGTCCCTTAAGATTTCATATAAATTTTAGAAGGGATTTTTCTATTTCTGCAAAACAAAAACAAAAAACAGCATTGGAATTTTGATAGTGATTGCATTAAATCTTTGAAACTCCTTTATTAGCTGGGCTGCAGAGTGTAAGTAATTCCTGCTGAATGAGAAATCCATTTGCTTACAGACTTGGAAAGATCCATAATTGTGACGTGACTTCATTTAGTTTATTTTGTTTTACTCTTTGAAATACTGAATTAAATGCTCTTCATCAGAGAGAGAGGAAAATATCTTTATCCTACCTATAAGATACTGTGGAAGGATAGATAGATTTATTAATAAAACCATAGGAAGGCACATGATTTCTCCTACCTTTGCATGGCAAGTGATGGTGTTTTGCTGTCAGATTTTTCTCCAGACTTGAGCAGAAATCACAAGGGACGTATAATCCTTGGGTTGTCTGATAAAAACAAATCGCCTACCTGATTCCTATCTCAGAATATTCTCTCTTGTTTTAAGAAGAAAAGAACAGTGTAATAGTGATTCTCTTCCATGCTTTGGAACTTTGCCTAACATCGTTTCCTATCAAGCAAAATTTGGAATTAATCCTATAGTGTAGAGTCCTTGCTGTAACAGTATTCAGTTTGACCGTCATAAGCTTTTAAGTGTTATTGGCTCACCAAGTTTGAAAGTAGTATGTTGCTCTAGAAACAGATGTTAAGTATATTGTACCTGACTTCATATTTGGGTTCCACCATTTACCAGGTGAGAGACCATGGCCATATCTAAAATCTGGGAGACTTCCATTTAATTGTCCACTTCCATTGTGACTATTAAAAGACATGAAGAATTTGAAGTTCATTGTATATTAACACTTTAATTATTCTTCCTGTTTCAGACACTGTCACATGAACCCAAAGTCCTTCAAGAAGGTCTCCTTCAGTTGGACTCCATCCTCTCCTCCCTGGAGCCCTTACACCGCCCCATTGAATCCCCTGGGGGCTCAGTGTTGTTGCGAGAACTGGCTTGCGCAGGCAATGTTGCTGATGCTACCCTCTCAGCCCAGGCCACACCTCTGCTGCATGCACTCACTGCTGCCCATGCCTACATCATGATGTTTGTTCATACTTGCAGAGTTGGACAGGTAAAAATAATCTTAGGGGTGAACATATTAGTTTAAAGGCAGTGAAATATTTAGAGCATACACTTAGCAGGGTTACTGTGCTTGAAAGGAGGTCTGCCTGAGGTAGCAGCTAAAAGAACAGTTTAATTTAGGATGAGACTTTTTTTCACTGTCAAAAAGTTGAGTGACTGTATAATTTATTATGTGAAGTGGACTTTCTTGAGAGCAAAACAGGTTATTACAGACAAATATCAGTTGGGTATTCATCTGGCCTTAGTACTTTCTAATCTTTCCACGAGTCCTTATAGGTCTGATAATTGGATGGCATAGGTAGGACATTTTACCAAAGAACATTTAAATCAATAGTAATTAACAAATTACTAAAAATTTTCTATGTATCAAACGTTTTGCCTGCAATCCATAATCCATAGGTCCAGAAAGAAGGCATTTTGTGTATGTCCTCACAGTTTTACTACATTTATTCCTCAGATAATTGATTATAAAGATTAATGGCATCAACATTAAACAAAACAGGGTTCAACAGTCCTGTTTTATGCTATTGAGCAGGAGTGTGTTCTCTGTTACTTGTGAATCGATCAAATCTGAAGTAAAAAAAAAAAGCACAATTATAAACAATTTAGAAAATTAAATTACTTAAATTTTAGGGATTGATTTTTATGACTTTATTAAATAAAATGAAAAGGAAAATTTAAGGAATTAAATAAATCTAGGTATTTACTGAAGTAAAGAAATTGGATGGAAATAACAATACCCCCACCAAATAATTTAGAAAGTAGTTAATGAACCTGTAAAACCGTTTCTTTGATTCAGAAAAAAAGAGTAGCCTCTGATACCTTTCTTTTACTTCATAAAAAACAATGATAAGGGATGTTGTGGAAATAATTTGTAAATGTTGTAACAGAGTACCTTGTGGAACTGTCGTCTTGAATGTGGACATTTTGATGAGGTGGATAACTCTGAGAATAGCAATGAAGAAAAATCCCTTATTCTTAGAAAACTATTGAAGGTCTTTTTTTTTTTTTTTTTTTTTTTTTTTAAGTATAATTGTTAGAAAACATCCCAAAGGTGAAATTCTTGTTATGATTGCAGAGTGAAATTCGTTCCATCTCTGTAAACCAGTGGGGCTCTCAATTGGGTCTGAGTGTTTTGAGCAAGCTGAGCCAGTTATACTGTTCCCTGGTGTGGGAAAGCACTGTCCTCCTCTCTCTGTGTACCCCAAACAGGTAAGAGAATGGCTCTCTCTCTCATCACTTTGTTATTTAAGTTCGGTGAGCCTGGAGGATTGCTTTGGTTGGGGATAGGAGGGTATGGAAGAGAGTTCAGAGGCTTCCTTGTCCTTCCCTCTTCCCAGCCTAGGAACTTGTTGACAAATTGTAGCATTTTGTGCATCTTTGATTTGATATACCAAGTATGCTTTGTCAGCGTGGTAGAGGTTTAAAATGTGTTCCTGTTATTAGCCAGATATAAAAAACTGAGTTGAGGCCGGAGGCAGTGGCTCATGCCTGTAATCCCAGCACTTTGGGAGGCTAAGGTAGGCGAATCACGAGGTCAGGTGTTCAAGACCAGCCTGGCCAACATGATGAAACCCTGTCTGTACTAAAAATACAAAAAATTAGCTGGGCGTAATGGCGGGCGCCTGTAATCCTAGCCAGTTGGAAGGCTGAGGCAGGAGAATCGCTTGAACCCGGGAGGTGGAGGTTGCAGTGAGCCCAAGATCATGCCACTGCACTGCAGCCCAGGCGAAAGAGTGAGACTGGGTCTCAAAAAAAAAAAAAAAAAAGTGTTGGAAAGCTTGTGGGGTGCTACCTCAGGAATTATAGATGCTTTGTTACATTCAGTTTAACCTACCTCCTATTGGAGGGATAGTGTCAGCCAAGCAAATTAGAGACCATTTATAATATAAGAGGTGAACTATCAGTATATATATATAATTTTTTTGCTCAGTATTTCTCTTGTTGCAGCCTACCATCTGGGTGTGAATTTGGCCAGGCAGATATGCAGAAACTGGTTCCAAAGGATGAGAAGGCAGGTACGACCCAGGGCGGAAAAAGATCAGGTAACTCTAAGAAACTAAAATGTTAGTCATTTGAGTTTTGTTCCTATGTCTTTATAGGTTTATTATGAAAATTTTTAGTTAGTTCTATCATCCATAGTCTAGTTTTCATCCTCTCACTAATTTTTAGTCATTTCCTGCATAAAGGCGTATACATAATGGTAAAAGTTAGAAAATGTAGTTGAAAGAATTACCCATATTTCTGCCACCCAAAAAAAAAAACATTTTGAAAGTGTCTGCCCATCTTTTTTCTCTGAGTGTATTTGTCAGTGTCTTAGATAAAAACATTCGTAGATCTCTTTCTTCACTTACTGTTAACTACCATATAAAGGTACACGAATTAACTATTCCCTGTTAAGTTTCTAATATGCTGGGTTTTTTTAAATGAACATTTTTGTGTTTACTTTTCTGCAAATGTAAGATTGATTCCTACAAATTATTGTATCAGAGGGTATTAACAAATAATTTTTAATGTGGCTACTAGAAAATTTAAGTTATATATGTGTTTCACGTTATATTTCTATCGACAGTGCTGCTTTGTAAAGAAGATTGCTTTTATGTTATCTCACAATAAAAAATCCAAATTTTGGCGAGGCTCAGTGGCTCACGCCTGTAATCCCAACACTGTGGGAGGCCAAGGTGGGCAGATCACCTGAGGTCGGGAGTTCAGACCAGCCTGACCAACATGTAGACACTCCGTCTCTACTGAAAATACAAAAAATTAGCCGGGTGTGGTGGCACATACCTGGAATCCCAGCTACTTGGGAGGCTGAGGCAGGATGATCGCTTGAACCTGGGAGGCGGAGGTTGCGGTGAGCCAAAATCGCGCCATTGCACTCCAGCCTGGCCAACAAGAGCGAAACACCATCTCAGAAAAAAATAAAAATTCCAAATTTCAGTAAGTAGAAATCATACACAATTTTCTGACTCTAATGCTACAAACATAAAATGAATACGAGCAACTTTTCCAGAATGTTTTTTCTCCTGTGTTCAGTATCAACGAGGAAATTAAAAAAGGATAAACTATTAAGAAAGCAATGAAGGTAATTCTGTGTATCAAAATGCATCAGACCAGGCACAGTGGCTCACACCTCTAATCCCAGCACTTTGGGAGGCTGAGGCAGGTGAATCACTTGAGCCCAGGAGTTTGAGATCAGCCTGGGCAACATGACAAAACCCCATCTCTGCAAAAAAAAATACAAAAATTAACTGGCCATGGTGGTACATGCCTGTAGTCCCAGCTTCTAGGGAGGCTGAGGTGGGAGGATTGCTTGAGCCCAGGAAGTTGAAGCTATGGTGAGTCATGACTCAACTCAAGCCTAGATGACAGAGTGAGACCCTGTCTAAAAAAAAAAGTCTCAGATATGCTTAAAACTTGTACAGAAATTACTAGAAAGGGAAATTTCTAAGGAACTAATAAAGCTGACATAGGCTTAGAACCAACAAACAAGGACTTATATATGACAGCTGATTATTGTGAGGGATGGGATAACATTAATAAAGTATAAAGAAACCTGACAAAATGAGAATCTCAAATTTAGTGAAAATATACCAAATTTAACTCAGGGAAAGAATAAATTTACTAAGAACTGAGAATGAAATTAGATTCACTGTCAAAGAATTGCCTCTCTAACAGATATATTTTTTCTAGCAATTTATTTAACACATTTAACAAAAATGACTCAACTTCTCCAAAGTTTTTCTGGAATGCTAAGATTAAAACTTGGTGAGTTGTTTTATAAGTTTGCATAAAGCTCATTCTTAGATCTAAGAGCACACATATACCAGAGAAAAAGACACATCTCACATTCATATACATAATTCTTAAATGCTAGGGAATAAAATTCTCCAGTGGCAATCTGTGATGTCCAGTTTGAACTTAACAAGCTGTAACATTCTAGTAGGGCATCCACATTGACAGCACTGGGCACTGTGCACACTGTAGTCCATGTGAATGGTACCCCCTGGGTTGAGCTGTGCCTATAACAGTCTTCCAAGGTAGCCCTGGGTTAATACTATTCATATGCTGTCATTTGAAGATGTCAGCATTAGGTACTTAGAACTCCAAACAGAGGAGCATATCAGTACAATACTTGGGTTGTGTTTTTGTTTTTCAAATTTAGGAAGCCATGGGAATTGAAAGAGTAACAAAAACTGTAGGTAATCTTTGTTGGTACTTCTCAAGGAACCAGGTGAATGTTGGCTCTACATTGTCCTATTGCTCCCCTCTTATACATCTGTAGATGGGGAACAGGATGGAACAGCTGGAAGTATGGATGCTTCTACCCAGGGCTTATTAGAAGGCATTGGGCTAGATGGTGACACATTGGCTCCCATGGAGACAGATGAACCTACTACTTCAGACTCTAAGGGCAAATCTAAAATCACACCAGCAATGGCTGCCAGAATTAAGCAAATCAAGCCTTTGCTATCAGGTGAGTCATTCTCCTTTCTCCTACCTTTTCTGGCTTTCAGTCCCTTAGTCCTGAAACAGATTGACTTAGAAAGGCTATGTTGTTTCATTTAAGGAAGTTTAAAACTTCTGTGACTCATTTTCAAGTGTCCTTTGTTGAGTGGCTGCTATGTGACAGGCTTTGTAGTAGCTGCTACAGATACAGAGATGACCGAATCCCTTCTTGAGAGCCATATCTGCTACCCTCCCTTGTTTAATTTCTTCCTCCTACCTTTCGACTGTTGCATATTGCTTCTGCTCCTACCATTTCACTGAAATGTCTCAGCAAGGCATCTATAACATCCTTGTCCTAAGTCCCTTCTCACTTGTCTGCCGCATGGTAGTTGACCCACCATCTCCATCTAGAAATATTCTTCCTTTGGTGTTTGTGTTATTAAGCTATCTTGATTCCCTGTTAACTATCTGGCTATTCCACCTAGTCTTCTCTTTTTGTGTTCCTTGAACATACCTGGCAAGAGACATAGTCTGATAGGTGTTTTATATTAAAGTCACTTTGGCAGCTTTATTGAGACTATATTAGCAGCATATAAAACTGCATTAATGATTTGCACTGGTCTGTCTTTGCCCATTTTTTCCCCCTTTAATGTAATACCAATGTTTGGGAACCTATTTGTGTGTTCTTAAATTGTCGTCACTTTCTGGCACCTTAATTTAGTGGAAAATGGAGACCTAACTTAGAGGAATCTGGGGCCCTTCGTGAAAGCAAACAGAAAATGGCCTTTGGTGTTTCTGTTTGTTATCTCAAATTCCCATTGCATTTTACATTTTACTCTTAATTAGTTTAATTCTCCATTTATTTTAATTTGAAAATCTACCAACGTTATCTTCAAAGGAAAATTGACGGTGCAAGAACATGTACATATTTCTCTCTCCTTGCTTTGTCATACTTCTTTGATCTTGGAGCATTCAGGGGTTTCTGTGTGAACCCAGTCCATGTACTGTTTCTCTTTGGTTACTGGCCTTTTGCCATCCTCTTGTCTTTGGACTACCGCCACTTTGCTATCTGTTCACCTGAAAGCAGTGGTGAGAAAGTGTAAACCCAATGATTGGATTCATTAGGTTTTCAAGTCCGGGTATATCCATCTCCGTAGCCTATTCCCTAATTAGGATAAAGAAAGCTTAATTTGGATGTAATAGGAAGAAGGTTCCTATACTGCGTACATTTGAGCTTATTACTAAATTTGAGCAGTATATGTAACCTAGGCTCAAGTAGAACCTGTTTTTACACAATGAGTTTATATGTGCATGTACATCCTGAGAAGACATAGATTTAACCCTTGAACAACATGGGGTTGAGGAAACTCCTCCACGCAGTCAAAAATCCACGTATAACATTTGACTCCCCAAAAAACTTAACTACTAATAGCTATCTATTGACCAGAAGCCTTACCAATAACATAAACAGTCGATGGACACATTTTGTATGCTATATGTATTATATCCTGTATTCTTAAAGTAAGCTAGATAAAGGAAAATGTTAAGAAAATCTTAAGAAAAAAGTATATTTACTATTCGTTAAGTGGATCATCATAAAGGTCTTCATCTGGGTGGTCTTCACATTGAGTAGGCTGAGGAGGAAGAAAGAAGTGGGGGATGTTGGTCTTGCTGTCTCTGAGGCAGTAGAGGCAGAACAGGTAAAGGAGGTAGAAGGAAAGGCAGGCATGCTTGGTGTAACTTTGTGGAAATACACGGTACTTTCTTTCTGACTTGGTTGCTTTTTCATTTCTCTAAAAATGTGTCTGTACAATACCAATATTTCTTCCACCATTTGCTTTAGTTTCAGTGCCCATATCATAGTAAGGTCCACATCATAAAAGAAGTCAAAAGTATTCTTTAGTAATCAGAACCCTCTACCAGATTGTCTTATGTCACTTTGATTCCTGGCACTGCTTCTATGTCTTCTTCCTCATCATTTGGTATCCGTTCAGAAGCACTCATCTCTATCAAGACATCTTCTGTTACTTGCTCTGGCGTGGTGTCTGTTAGCTCTTGAATTTCACTAAGATCCATATCCTGAAATTCTTCACCCGTCACCTTTTATGCCATATCCACAAACTTGTGATTTCCTTGATTGGCGCTGTCATAAATCCTGTTAAGTTCTGCACAACATCAGGACAGTTTTCTCCAACAGGAATTTATTTCAGGCTTGATGGCTTTTTCTCTAACAATGGTGGCATCTTCAGTGGTGTAATCCTTCCAGACTTTCGTGATGTTCCCTCTGTCAGGCTTCTCTTCCACAGTATTAATAATCCTTTCCTTAGAGTACTGTGTGTAATAGCCTTAAAGCCCCTTATGACTCTCTGATCTAGAGGCTGAATTAGAGATGTGGTTTTAGGGGGTAAGTAGACCACTTCAGTGCCTTTTGTGTTGAATTCATGGGGCTCTGAGTCACCAGAGGCATTGTCTAATGTCAAAAGAACTTTAAAAGGCACCCCTTTACTAGCAAGATACTTCTGACTTCAGAGACAAAACATCAATGGAACCAATCCAGAAAAGGGGTCTTGTTGCCCAGGCCTTCTTGTACAACCAAAAGACCAGCAGCTGGTAGTTTATCTTTCTCCTTCAAGGCTCAGAAGTTAGGAGCTATATAGGTAAGGGCAGTCCTGATTATAAACCCAGTAGCATTTGCACAAAATAGAGGAGTGAGTCTGTCCCTTCCTGCCTTAAATCCCTCTGCTCACTTCTATTTCTTACTAATAAATGTCCTTTGTGGCCTTTTCTTTTTCTTCAAAATAGGGCACTTTTGTCTGTATGAAAAACCCTTTCAGGCGGATACCCTTTCTCAGTGATGTTCTTAGTGGTGTCTGGGAACTAATCTGTTGCCTGTTGGTTGTCAGAAGCTGCTGCTTCTGTTATCTTGACATTCTTTAAGCCAAACCTCTTTCTAAAAATTATCAAATTATCCTTTGCTGGCTTTACATTCTCCAGCTTTAGATCCTTCACTTTCCTTTTGCTTTAAGTTTTCATATAGTGAGTTCATTATTTTCTTGAATTGCAGTAGAATCTATAGGTTTGTCTTTATTATGGCAATCCTGTACCCACATAAACGTGCATTTTCAATATGAAATAAGATTTCACAAAAGTGCAAGCTTTTCAAGCCTGCTGGTGTAGCTGCAGCAGCAGCTTCACTAATTTCCTGTTCTTTGTTTAACAATGGTCTTTACACTAAATTCATTTTTCCTGAAGTGGTGGGCAGTCTGTAATCCACATCAAGCAATTCAACTTTTTCTTGAAGTGTCATGATTTTTCCCTGCTTCTTGGGAGCACTTCCAACATCACTAGTGACACTTCATACGGGGTCATAGAGTGACCCAGATTTATTCCAGGTTTACGGTATTGCGGTAAACATGAAAAACAATGTGAGAACCATGAGAGATCACTACACAATTTATTGGAGAGATGAACTGTTCATGTAGAAGTGCTTAGCCTCACACAGTGTTTTAAGCATATTGTGGTAACACTTGAGCTCACCACAGTATCATGGTTACAGTGTCGTGGCTACAAAATTATTACAGAGTATAATATGTACTAAATTTTATCCAGTTATTCAATTCTGCTTATTTACTGCAAATGGCACCGTATATAAGTGTAAGTGTGTGTGATAAATATTAAATTTTTATAATTTGTGTATATTTTGTGGTAGTAAATGATAAAATAGACTAGTATCTACATATATTTTATACATTTGTGACGTAACTTTTTGTTAATTTTTCAATGTTTTGAGGCTACATGTTTCATCTGGGAGTTTTTTCAAATTGTCACAAATCTCCAAAATTTTCAATATATTTGTTGAAAAAAATTCACACATAAGTAGACATCTACAGTTCAAAACCTGTGTTGATCAAGTGTCAGCTGTACTTTGATTCAGACCTAGCCCTTCTTGTCTCTGGATCATGGTGAAATAACGTTTATTTTTAAAATGCTATGGCAACATTTTCATTTATGATTTTAAAAGTATATTTCATTGTAGAAATATAAAAACAAAATATTTAAAGAGAAGCTGGAAAGCACTCAGTTTTTTATGTGTTTTCTTTTACATATGCTTGTATTTGTGTGCTGCCTTTTCTTTGTTCAATTATATATTGAAAAGCATCCTATGAAATTGAAAAATTGAGATGTCCATAATCTGCCTAATACCTTAAGAAGCTACTTGTAACAATTTTCATGCTTTTCCTAGTTTTTTTTTTTTCCTCTGGGACTGCATATTTTTTGTTGTGATCAGACTGTGTATATTGTCAGTGATCTTTTCTTATCTAAGTGGTTAATCGGTTTTGGCATTTTTAAAGTTCTTTGTAGGCATTTTCAGTGACTTCATCATCCACTAGATATCATTTAACTTAAATAGTGCATGTTGCTGTGTTGCTTCTACAAAAGTGGTTTCAATTTATGTTCCTCTAACAGTATGAGTGCTTATTTGTCTTTTACATTTGATATCTGTTGAGTGGCACATATCTGTCTCCTACCGTCAAAAGTGGCATTTGTTCCTTGTGGGACTTCCTTTTTGGATCATTGAATGTAGAACAAATCCAAGCATAAACTAGGGGTTGTAGGAGGAAGTGGTGAGTCATAAAAATATGTTAATGGTAATGTGTCCGTTGTAATTAAACTATTCTGAGAATACTGTACAGTCTTATTCTGACTTCTGGTTCCAGCTTCCTCCAGATTAGGCCGAGCACTTGCTGAGCTATTCGGACTTCTTGTTAAACTTTGTGTGGGATCTCCTGTCCGTCAGAGAAGGAGCCATCATGCTGCCAGCACCACTACAGCACCGACACCTGCCGCTCGATCAACAGCCTCAGCTCTCACTAAGCTCTTGACTAAGGGGTTATCTTGGCAGCCCCCGCCATATACACCTACTCCCCGATTCAGGTGAAGTTCAGCTTGAGATTGAGGGACTAGAAAGTTACAATTTAAAAAAAAAAAAAACATGTAATTTGTTCCTATACTACTTAAAATGGAGAGTGAGCCACTGAATTTGAGAACTTGGAGGTCCTTTGTTTACCATAGAAAATGCAGTGTAAGTTACTTGTCTTGGTTGTACCAGTATAGAACATGGGTAATATTTTAGGTATTTACCATCAAACTGTATTTCAGTAGTCTTACATAGGTAGTATCCCTTATCCAAAATGCTTGGGGCCAGAAAGTGTTTTGAATTTTGGAATTGTTTGGGTTTTGGAATATTTGCGGAATACTTATCAGTTGAGCATCCCTAATCTGAAATGCTCCCATGAACATGTCCATTGAGCGTCATGTCAGCAATCAAGAAGTTTCAGATTTTGGAACATTTTGAATTTTCTGATAGGGATACTCATCCTGTATTCTTTAGTAGGTGGGAGGTGTCACTTCAGTGTGTAAATTTTACTCTTGCCTTTTACATGAATTTCCTATTGCTTCTATGTCTGCTTTACAGAAGGTTAAAGTTTTGCCTTTTTGTTTTCCACCTTCAGGCTGACATTCTTCATCTGTTCAGTTGGTTTCACATCCCCAATGCTGTTTGATGAGAGGAAGTATCCCTACCACCTCATGCTGCAAAAATTTCTCTGCTCTGGAGGCCACAATGCTCTTTTTGAGTAAGGATCAAGTTGCTTCACAGAGGAGCATTTCTTGGAGTTTGGTCTTTGCTGTGTGCCTTCCCAGCCCACTGTTTTTAAGTACTCTATCTTGTAACAGTGGGATATATAGAAATAGCCGTTGGTTGTATCCTTCAGTGTTCTGGGAAGTAGCCATGTTTGTCTCCATTTACCTTGGAGGGTAGGATTTAGCCTGCCCTGGAGTTGTGTTTATAAGGGTCTCTGCTTTTTCTCGTGTGGCTTCCGGTTCCCAGTATGGGTTTTTAAAATAGGTTTGTCTTTTTCTGTTGTTTCTCTGAATATAATTTTTCTGGTTTTGTTGGTCAGATGATTCCAAGCTGAGTTTCATAGGTTTAGGTTTTTTTTTTTTTTTGGGACGGAGTCTTCTCTGTCGCCTAGGCCGGAGTGCAGTGGCACGAACTCAGTTCACTGCAAGCTCCACCTCCCGGGTTCATGCCGTTCTCCTTTCTCAGCCTCCTGAGTAGCTGGGACTACAGGCGCCCTCCACCACACTCAGCTATTTTTTCTATATTTAGTAGAGATGGGGTTTCACCGTGTTAGCCAAGATGGTCTTGATCTCCTGACCTCATGATCCACCCGCCTCAGCATCCCAAAGTGCTGGGATTATAGGCGTGAGCCACCGCGCCCAGCTGGTTTAGGTTTTTAAGACACTGAAAAGTAAAGGAGGGGAGGTGGAACAAAAGAAAAAAAAATAGTGTAGCTGAAGACTGTCGGACAGGTTAGACGTAATAGCTCTAAGAAGATGGGACATGTAGTGCCAATATAGAGATTGGGGGCCTTTTAGATGTAAACCCCCCTTGCCAGGGTAAAATACTAATATTCTATCTGTCTACTTTTCCTTATTTGAATTTAGAACTTTCAACTGGGCTCTGTCCATGGGAGGTAAAGTTCCTGTTTCTGAGGGATTGGAACACTCGGACTTGCCTGATGGCACAGGAGAATTCCTGGATGCCTGGCTTATGCTGGTGGAGAAGATGGTGAATCCCACCACGGTGCTTGAGTCTCCACATTCACTGCCTGCCAAATTGCCTGGAGGTGTCCAGAACTTTCCCCAATTCAGTGCACTCCGCTTCCTTGTGGTAACTCAGAAAGTGAGTATTCGGTATTCTAAAATCAAAAGAAATTTCTCATGCTAAGTAGTTCCCATTCTGTTTTGTCCTGCATAATGAAATAACATGCTTATTTAAGAACCATTGGATCCAGGTCCCAGATAGGGCTGCCTTATGTAACGGAATATAGACCATTTGAGAATTCTCCGTGATAAACATTTGAACTGTAAATTTCAGATTGGTACTTGCATTAGGCCGTTCTTGCATTGCTATAAAGAAATACCTGAGACTGGGTAATTTATAAAGAAAAGATATTTAAGTGGCCTACAGTTTCTGCAAGCTTTACAAGCATGGTGCTAGCATCTGCTGGGCTTCTAGGGAGTTCTCAAGAAGTTCATAGTCATGGCGGAAAGTTCAGTGGGAGCTTGCATGTCACGTGGCAGGAGCCAGGAGGTGGAGAGGAAGCTACACGCTTTAACTTATTATCATGAAGACAACACTAAACAATGAGGGATCCACCCCATGACCCAAACACCTCCAGCATTGGGGATTACAATTCAACATGGGATTTAGGCAGAGAAAATATTGCAAACTATATCACTACTTCAGGTTGAGTAAAATGCCTCTTCTCTGTGCCTCCTTAGACCCTCTTATGTTGGCCAAGGATTTTGTTGTTGGTACTAGTTGTGGAAGGACTGTTCCATAGGTCTTTAACTTAATCTTTCTGAGCTTTGAATTGAGGCAAAATGATTATCACACACTTTTCAAATTACTTATAGGCAGCCTTTACTTGCATCAAAAACCTATGGAACCGGAAACCTCTGAAGGTATATGGTGGACGAATGGCTGAATCCATGCTGGCCATTCTGTGCCACATCCTCCGAGGAGAACCTGTGATTCGAGAGAGACTAAGCAAGGAGAAAGAGGGGTCTCGAGGAGAAGAGGATACAGGGCAAGAGGAAGGTGGCTCCCGCCGGGAACCTCAAGTCAACCAGCAACAACTGCAGCAGGTAGGGTGCTGGCCTCACACTCCAGGGTCCATACTTTGCACCCAGTGGAGTGTGGTGCTTATGGATCTTCTAAGCTCACACACCACTAAGTCCCTGATCACATTAACCAGGAGACAGTTTTAATTTGCTCCTTCTCTTAGTATTTATTTTTTTTCTCCTGAGGAAAACTTGGAATATAGTCCTGATGCTCTGCACAGGTAATACTCCTCTCAAGCATGTTGATGAGAATTCTCAGTAGCCTCCTGCTGCCTCGGTGGAGGCAAACTGTCCTCAGTTAACTTTCTGGTTAACCTGTAAAGAGAATAGATATTGTGAACCAGATTTATTCTCCAACAAGAGCTTTCTGAAACCTTGGTCACCTACAAAACTTTTGTTTTCACTTGCAAATAAAATGTATAAGGGGCATTTTAAAAGTTGGGAGGCTAGAAAGAGGGGAGGGGAAAGGCACGTAAAGTCCTGCCACTTCCATCTCAAAGAGCATTTTAACGTTTTTTTCCTGGAGTTTGTATGTATGTGTGTTAGCTTTGTGTCTAGAGTCCTGTTCAAATTTGTCTACTATATACACTTGTCCCGTTTTTTAGTACTCTCATTACCAAATTTGGAAAATACAAGACTTTTAAAAGGCATTCATAATTTTATCACGCAAGATAGTCATTGTCTCCTTTTTCAGTCAGTTTGTGCCTAATTTTTACATCATTAACATCAAGCAATATGTATACTTGTATTGCTGTTATCAAGAACTTTTTTTACTAATTGGTCATTATTTTATTGTTGGATGCTAATTTTCTTACAGTTTGATGTTTTAACACTGTGTTGTATAGTTTCCTTATGTACCAATCCTTACATACATCTCATGATTATTGCCTGGTAGTAGAATAACTAGGTCAGTTTTTCAGGCACTTGGTCTGTTACCAGTTTGTTTTCCAGAAAATTGGGACCGATTTATATTTCTTTGTATGAGTCTCAATCTTTTAATTATAATAATTCTGTTAATCATAATAACCATGCATCCCCCCCCCCAACTTTTTTAGAGGATGAAATTGAGAATCTTCTTGGCTCCTTACCCAATGTGTAGCTTAGAATGTTATAGAAGCACCAAACAGAAAGGATTGTTCATTTTACCTAATTGCCCTAGCTCATAAATGCTCTCAGCTCAGGTGAAGTTAGAAAAAGTTATTTCCATCTTGAAAAGGTTCCTTCCTTTTAAAAATGTATTTGGATTTCTCTTATTATGTGATTCTGAGCCCTTGCATTCTTTATGTAGCTCATGGACATGGGCTTCACAAGGGAACATGCCATGGAGGCACTGTTGAACACCAGCACCATGGAGCAGGCCACAGAGTACCTTCTAACCCACCCCCCTCCAATCATGGGAGGAGTTGTTCGGGTAAGTTGGCTCAGGAGCAGTGATTTTCCAGGATATTGGTTTGACTGCTGAAGTCCTTTTTCCCCTTATTATTCTGTCATTGGTCTTCCTTTCTATAAACTGCTTCTCATTTTCAGACATGTGCATGCCAGTATTTTGTTTTCATAATAACAGAAGTTTTCTATCCCCTAGCAGTACAAATTACTATACTTTGTTTTCAGAAGAACCCTCAGTCACAAAACAATAGAAGGAGGCACACTTTTCTAAGATGTAGAATAGATGGTCACATTGAAGCCCCGTTTCTGTACTTAATTTTACATGTGATTTTCCTCATCTGTTCTTGTTTGTAGTAACCACATAAGCCTGATTGGTTTTGACTTATACAAGAGCAGCATTTTGAGCCCCTTCCTCTCTCTTTAGCTTGAGCACAAGATGTCTGATTGATTCCCTGTGAGTTGCGGTGGTCTCGTTTGGTTTCTTTGTTTTGAATGTGTCTCCTTACTGGCTATTCTCTTAATACTCTGTAGGATCTCAGCATGTCTGAAGAGGACCAGATGATGAGAGCAATTGCTATGTCTCTGGGACAGGATATTCCAATGGATCAAAGGGCAGAGTCACCTGAGGTAACTATAGAACGCTGCATCCTAAAGGGCATGGCATATGAATCTTAGTATTCTGTGAACATTGTGCTGTAATTGCAAAGTAATGATAGAATTCAAATCTAAGGGAATACCTGAGAAGAGTGCTAATCCCAGCTTTGCCATCTGTCATTGAGCTACCTTGTATTGACCTGAAGCTTTAAGGGAGACAGATTAAGCATTAATCTTTATTGTAAAAATAAGAGACCCAAAGTGTACTCAGTAAGTGCCATTAGGCTGAACTTGGCTGTATATTCCTAGGTGACAGTTACTTTAATTTTCCCTGCTGGCAGAGAATATAGAACAGTGTCTAGAAATGATTTTGCAGGAGGTAGTATAGAATGCTAGAAATGACTTGACAGTAGAAGTTGTTTGAAGTGTCCCTCCCTTCTACCTTCCCTGTCTTGCCTTAAACTTTGTGGCTGCCACACCCTGGATGAAAGTATCAGCTGCTTGAGGAGAAGGTTGAGGGTATTTATATGGTAGAGCAAATACATTCTCAGAGTCTCTCTTATCTTTCCTCCTTCACCTCTCCTGTGTACTATTCACACTTCCTTCCCTGCTTCCAGGAAGTTGCTTGCCGGAAGGAGGAAGAGGAACGGAAAGCTCGGGAAAAGCAGGAAGAGGAAGAGGCTAAATGTCTAGAGAAGTTCCAGGATGCCGACCCATTGGAACAAGATGAGCTCCACACTTTCACAGATACTATGTTGCCAGGCTGCTTCCACCTTCTTGATGAACTGCCAGACACGGTATACCGTGTGTGTGACCTGATCATGACAGCAATCAAACGTAATGGAGCAGATTATCGTGACATGATTCTGAAGCAAGTAGTCAATCAGGTGAGCTCTCAAGGGGTCAGAAGAGGGGAGTATGTGAAGTGGTTTGCCTGCCTGTGTCAAAACCTGATTTCTGAAAAATCACCATATTTTCATTCTACCTGATAGGGGTATATTCTCTCTTTGGATTATTTCAATCTGGTAATCCTGAAACAGTGTATTAACTACATCACACACACAAAAATGTCTTTAGAAGGGAAAAACAAAGCTCTCCTTTTCTACTTTTCTCTTAAAATGTCCAAAATGTGCCTCACCCTTGAGTCAAGTTCGTCCCCTGGACTAATAATGAATAAATGTTTTTTCCTATGTAACAGCGACTTGAACAACTGAGTCCCCATCCTGATGAATACTTGTGACCTGATATTTGTCCTCTTTTTCTTTTCTCTCATTATGAAATTACTGTATGCTAATTACGGAAGTGGGATAAGAAAGAAATTACCTTAAATCCCCACACCCAGATAGCCAGTTAACATTTCTATTGTATTTAAGTTATTGGAATCTTGTTTTATATAATGGTTCATTCTAGAAGCAGGGAAAGAAATAAAAAAAAGGAAAACTTTTTTCTGAGCTTTGTAAAATAGAACTTTAATGCACGAGAACACAAGTAAAGGAAAACTGGATAAAACTTTTTTTCACAGAAAGTTTTAGTGTCTATTTTTTAACAATAATTCTGAGAGATAATGAAAGATTACTGATGGAAGTATAAGTTGATAGAACCTTTTTGGGGTTGACCGTATGCACCAGGAAGTTTTAAAATATCATTTCCTTTAACTTAGATTTTAGGCTTCTTATAGTCTAGCCTAATAAAGTAATTGTTTAGTGGTGATCCTTTAGTAGCATACATCTTTTGGTATAGATTCTAAATCCCTATGGTAAATATGTTAGATTTACCTACCTTTCTTCAGTGGATGTGTTGGAGGCGGAGGGAGTATTTTAAAAGATTGAGAATATTTTCAGAAACCTCATCTTGCTCTGAGGTTCCATGACTTAAACCTTTCTTTGTTCTTCTAGGTGTGGGAAGCTGCTGATGTATTGATCAAAGCTGCTCTTCCCCTGACAACAAGTGACACAAAAACCGTGTCAGAGTGGATAAGTCAGATGGCCACCCTGCCGCAGGCCTCCAATTTGGCTACTAGAATCTTGCTTTTAACGCTACTTTTTGAGGTAAGTTTTAGATCTTTGGGGCCCTGTAATTCATTTATGAAAGAATTACCAAACACTTACCATATATGAGGAATTGAAGACGATAAAGAGAAGAATAAGGCATGAGTCCTGCATTTCGTGAGCCCCGTTTCTGATAGGCTAAAATGCACATAATTACGTATAAAAATACAGCATTCTGTGTTAGAGTGATGTCAACAGTTTTATCTGGGTTTAGGAAAGTCGTATGCATCACTTTGGATTTATGTGAGAAGAGCTTCTGAGAACAAGCATTAATTGAATTGAGTCAGAATTGTGAAGTGGTAGTTTAAAAGAAAAGTATTTAAATTACTAAAAGAGCTTGGTCATAGAATATTTTTGCTCTGAGGAAACTTAACTGGCAGCCACATAGTAGAGTAGGGTATGCAAATTGAATGTGGTCAGTATTGAGGTAATAGGCATTAGATGGAATCAGATTCCTCTCTCTTTTCCTTGCCTATTTAGTCAGCAGATTATTTGAGGCAAGAGAGTGGTTTGGGCAAGACCTGATCCAACCAACATAGGAACTAGGAGGCAACTGACCTTGGTCAAATGACTTCAATTGTGGCTCACTATTTTTAAAACCTGAACTTAATGAAGGTGAACCCTTTACATACTCAGGAGATAAGTCCAATATAAGAGTCAAACTGTGTAATAGCTGTCTTGGGGGTTTCCGTTATCATGGAAGTGATAACTCTTACTGTAGCACTTTGTAGAGATACTTGTGGGAAAGGTTTCAGAGTACTAAAGAGAGAATCATTCATGGACCCCCATCTAAAACAAATCACAAGTAACAGTCTTGTATTTTCTTTTAGTATTTTTTCCTGTTCATTTAAACAATTGGGATAAGACTGTATAGAAAGTTTTATATTCTTTTTGTTAAGTATTATGACTATTTTCCCATTTGCTATGCACATTACTCCATCTTTTGAATGTTCTCTAATTTATTTAAATAATTACCTATCCTTGGACATTTACTTCCAGTAAGTTCCTGTTAAAAGTAACACTTTAGTGTAGCCCCAGTAAGACGAACCACTAACTGCATTTAATTATTGCATTTTCCTTGAAAGATTATAAAATTTCTCTGTAAATCTAAAGCTTTACAACTTTAACACTGTTAGACTGCACAACCTAGGTGACAAACCGTTTCCATATTAAGCATATACTAATATGCCAGGCACTGGGTACTTTATATTAATATATAGATGAAACCTCAATCATCACAATTATTCTGAAGGTAAAAATTACTTCGTCTGACCCATGAGGAAACCAAAGCCTAGAAAATTTAACACATCTTAGATTGCACAACTGGTAGATACTAAGGGGTAAAATTTGAATTCAACCAATTCTATTATTATTTACCCTTATGTTCCCCTATCCCATGCTAATCTTTGATACTGAGTAGAAATTAGTATCTGGTTGTTTTGTTTTTCCCTTTGATCTATCAGGAGTTGAAGCTACCTTGTGCTTGGGTGGTTGAATCGAGTGGCATCCTTAATGTCCTAATCAAACTCTTGGAAGTGGTTCAGCCCTGCCTCCAGGCAGCCAAGGAGCAGAAGGAAGTCCAGACCCCAAAGTGAGTGACCCTATATCTTTCCTAGTTTCATTTCTATTTCCCTGGGACATGGGCCTGAATCAGGCACTCTTCTGGGGCATGTATGGGGCAAATTTGTGGTACTTCTGTAATTTTAAAATTATAAAGGAAGCACCTAATGAAATTAAGATATATTTTCCCAATTCGTGCAGGTTTCTTGCTTGCCCAAAACAGATCATTTTTCTTTTTTAGGTGGATCACACCAGTGTTGCTCCTGATTGATTTCTATGAAAAGACAGCCATCTCCTCAAAAAGGAGAGCCCAGATGACTAAGGTGTGTAATGTAGTATGTATGATTGCAGGACGGTTTAGCTTCCTGAGGCAAGAGTAGACCAGAAGAGAATATGAGAGAGTAGTGAAGAATGTAGAAGTCTCTGACCAATGTATAAATCTCTTTAGGGATTTTCATAGCTAGGTTTCTCTTCTGAATAATTTACTGTGGAAGTAAATTTTGAAGGAGCGTGCTATCTCCAGAGGAGGAGTGGCTTTTCTGTTATGTAAAGGACTGAGTATACAACAATCCTTCCAAAAAGCAAACACTCCTTAGATCAAGATTATTGTGCCACATCATCTCACTACGTTCTTGGAAACAGGATTTTTGTTTCAGTACATCTCAGGTGGACATTCCCCTTTTAGGGAAAATCAGTGGAAACAAAAGGAAAGTAGAAGATGGCAAGATAAGGGACTGTAGATAGTTTTTTTGTCTAGGAAAAGTACCTTAGTCCGTTTTGCTGTTGCTATAACAATACCACGGACTAATTTATAAACTATAGGCTGGGCACTGTAGGCTCACGCCTATAATCCCAGCACTTTGGGAGGCTGAGACAGGTGGATTACTTGAGTTCAGGAGTTGAAGACCAGCTTGGGCAACACATGGTGAAACCCCATCTCTCCAAAAAATACAAAAATTAGCCAGGCGTAGTGGCGCGCGCCTACAGTCCCAGCTACTCAGGAGGCTGAGGTGGGGCTAGAGCCCGGGAGGCAGAGGTTGTAGTGAACCAAGCCGAGATTGCTTCACTGCACTCCAGCCTAGGTGACAGAGCCAGACCCTGTCTCCAAAAAAAAAAAGATATTTAGTATAAACTGTACAAGTTTATTTGGCTCATAGTTCTAGAGACTGATCTAAGGGACCACATCTGGTGACAACCTTAGTGCTGCATCCTTCTGTTGCGGAAGGTGGAAGAGGAAGAGGTGTCCAAACTCTCTTTTATTTTATTTTATTTTTTGAGACAGAGTTTCACTCTTTTTGCCCAGGCTGGAGTGCAATGGCATGATCTTGGCTCACCACAACCTCTGCCTCCCGGGTTCAAGCGATTCTCCTGCCTCAGCCTCCTGAGTAGCTGGGATTACAGGCATGCGCCACCACCCCAGCTAATTTTGTATTTTTAGTAGAGATGGGGTTTCTCCATGTTGGTCAGGCTGGTCTTGAACTCCCGACCTCAGGCGATCCACCTGCCTCGGCCTCCCAAAGTGCTGGGATTACAGGCGTGAGCCACCGCGCCCGGCCCAAACTCGCTTTTATAACCAACCCAGTCACAATAACTAACCCAGTCCCTGGATAATGACATTAATCCATTCGTGAGGGACAGAGTCCCCATGACCCATGACGTAATTATCTTTTATTAGGCCCCACCTCCCAACACTGTTAAATTAGGGATTAAGTTTTCATCACCTGAACTTTAGAAGACACGATTTTAAACGTGTAGCTGAGAGACTAAGGAATGTGAGAGTAAATGCGTATGAAAATTTTTCTCTTGGTTTTTAAAATTTATTAATTGTCCAGTATATTTCTTTTTCCTGGTTGAGTTTTAGCAGTGAACACTGATGAAGTTACTATTTTTTCTAATAATCAACCTTGAAAGGAATACAAAGAAACTTTATACTTTTATATTCAGTACCTGCAATCCAACAGCAACAACTGGCGCTGGTTTGATGATCGCTCTGGGCGTTGGTGTAGTTACAGTGCAAGCAACAATAGCACTATTGATTCTGCCTGGAAATCTGGAGAGACAAGTGTGCGATTCACTGCAGGCCGAAGAAGATACACTGTCCAGTTCACTACAATGGTGCAGGTACATGCTCACTCACCAAGCTTGTCTAACCCGTGGACCACAGGCCACATGTGGCTCAGGATGGCTTTGAATGCAGCCCAACACCACACATTGAGGTTTTTTTTGTTGTTCTTTTTAGCTTATCAAATATCGTTAGTGTAGTTTTTATGTGTGGCCCAAGACAATTCTTTTTCCAGTGTGGTCCAGGGAAGCCAAAAGATTGGACACCCCTACTGTAAACTTTATCAAAAAGAGGGGTGTTTTGGTTTTCTTCTTTATGAACCAGCATTCCTAACGTGTTATGAGGAGGAGAGTTACCATTACCTACTTAAGTATAGATTTCAGAAAATTGAGTCTTCCTAAGGTCATTGATTAGACCTTGGGTCTGTGGCAATTTGATACTGTCCCTCTTAGAAATGATTTTAAGTGTTTAGTTAAGGGCTAGGGAGTGGTTAAGGATGGTATTTGCTCTGTTGGAAGGTTTACAGTTCATTATAAGGCCTTGTGTATGCCACTTGCCTTCTGGGGACTTTCAGGGTTTTTCTCTGTAAACGATAAAGGTGAGATAAATTGCCAGAGTTCCTTCTGTTGTAGCATTTTATCTGGGAGATGTCCCTCCCCTTCCCCACCTTTATAATTCCTTTTTGGTAGAGGTTTTTTTAATGTCTGTTTGAATTCCTAGGTTAATGAGGAAACAGGGAACAGACGCCCTGTGATGCTGACTCTCCTCAGGGTACCTCGGCTGAATAAAAATTCAAAAAACAGCAATGGACAGGAACTAGAGAAGACGCTGGAAGAAAGCAAAGAAATGGATATCAAACGTAAAGAAAATAAAGGCAACGGTATGTACCAAGAGTGTTTCACCTAAAGCTAATGTGCCTTTGTGGCTTAAGGTCTGGCCAATTTCATTGCGAGTTATTTTCATCAGCTTGATTAACAGATTAAAGATATATAGGCCTCCCTTATGCTTTTTCATCTGGTCTTAAAATTGGTATTTGGCATGCTTCTCTTAATAGGACCCAAGTGCTTGGCCAGTTACTTAGGAGGGAGGCATGGAAGGAAATAAACGTCAAGTTAAACTGTCTTAAACTGTTATTTTCCCATTTCATAGATACCCCTTTGGCCCTAGAGGGTACAAACACTGAAAAGGAGACAAGCCTGGAGGAAACAAAAATCGGGGAGATCCTGATCCAGGGCTTGACAGAAGATATGGTGACTGTTTTAATCCGGGCCTGTGTGAGCATGCTGGGAGTCCCTGTGGACCCAGATACTTTGCATGCCACCCTTCGTCTCTGCCTGAGGCTCACCCGGGACCACAAATATGCCATGATGTTTGCAGAACTGAAGAGTACCCGCATGATCTTGAATTTGACCCAGAGCTCAGGCTTCAATGGGTTTACTCCCCTGGTCACCCTTCTCTTAAGACACATCATTGAGGACCCCTGTACCCTTCGTCATACCATGGAAAAGGTGAGTGTGTTTTGTATCTGGTTTAGCTTTACATCATACCTTTGTTCTCCTTGGTCTGAGAACAAATAGACTTCTGGTTCTTCTTACATGTCTATAGCTGGATATGTATACTGTATACTCCGCCCAACAGAATTTTCCAATTCTGTGCTTGGGAGGGATGATCCTATTGCTAGAAAGTCCTCTCCAGCAATCTGGATTTTTTTTTTTTTTTTTTTTTTTTTAAATCTAGGTTTCAATAACCAAGCCAAAAACTGTTAGTAAAGAACTGGGATACCTTCTCCTAAGTTCATACCTTCAAAATCATTCCTTTGTAGGAGTACCTCTCAGGTGTTCAGCCAAGAGCATATTCTCAAAACAGTGTATTTTGGAATATAAAAGTATAGTTAAAGCTTTTTGAATGTTTGTAATCTGCCAGGCACTGTGATAGACACTTAACAAATACCCATTGTGCAGATCAGAAAACAGGTTATTATATTTTGGGAAACTTATAAAGCAGTGGAAGAAATAGCAACATAATTATAAAAAATAAAAACATTTGTAAAGTTTAGACAACAGGCTGGGCGTGGTAGCTCACACCTCTAATCCCAGCACTTTGGGAGGCCGAGGCAGGTAGATCACCTGAGGTCAGAAGTTCAAGACTAGCTGGGTGTGGTGGCATGGCCTGTAATCCCAGCTACTTGGGAGGCGGAGGTTGCAGTGAGTCGAGATGGCACCACTGCTCCCCAACCTGGGTGACAGAGTGAGACTCTGTCTCAAAAAAAAAAAAAAAAAGACAACAGTGGAGGGGTAAGGGGCAAATGTCCTACTAGTGAGGCTTTTCCTTCTCAGTACTTCTACAAAATCCTTTCTTCTACTGATTCTTTGTCATCAATAATGACTGTTACTAGACTTTGCTCTATTTTCCTCTCTTAGGACATTGTTTCCCGCATTTATAAGTAGTGTTGCAATATGCGTTTTTGTGCCTAACTTTGTTCATGTTTAAGATGGTTACTTAGGGATTTTTAGTAATTGGATCAAAAGGTATTACAAGTATTTTTTTAACTTGCTTGCCAGAAAAGTGGTATCAGTTTTTGTGTATCTGAGTATACATTTTAGATTCTTCAGACAGTTCTTTACACAGCCTGCTTGATTTCACCTCACACGTGCCAAATCAAGAGAAAGAGAGCTGTTTAAGGTAGCTTGTACAGTGATCCACAGTCCAAGAGATAACCCAGCAGGGAAGGAACAACTGTATACAACTCAATTCTGATTTTAGAAACTTGAAATGCTTTCTATAAATAAATGTTTAAAAGTTACAAGTTCAAAGGGCTAGGAGAAAGTGTAAGTCCTCATTGGATGAGGGAAAACTTTTAAAGTTGTAAACTTTAGGTAAATTATAGTTGGGGTGTGGGGAGCAAAGGAACATCAGTGACAGTCTTAATGTATCAAGATGGCAAAATGTAAACTCTTGATACTATTCATTACTAGTATGGGTGTGGAAAACCAGACATACTCTTAACTTTTGGTAGGAGTGGAAATTGGTGTAGCCACATTGGAGGGCAATTTGATACTCTCGGTTTAAGATATCCTTTGACCTAGAAATTCTATGGCTAAGAATTTATCTGATAACTAACATCAAGTATGCCAAGATGCATATGTAAGAGTGTTCACTGTGGAATTGCTTGTAATATCAAGAAACTAGAGGTCTAATGTCCAGCAGTAGGGGATTGGATAAATTATGGCTCATCCTTTATATTGAAATTAAACTTTTCTGTGTTTATTAAATGGAAATTATTTTATAATTACAGCCAGACAGGCAAGATACAGAGGTTATAATACACTAAAGGGCATGATTGATTTGGTTAAAAAAAAAAAAAAGGCATTAAGATACCAAAAGATGTTTTTCATTGTGAGCATGTAGTTTGCGAAATTATAGATAATGGAAAATAATACAATTGAGTTATTTTCTTCATGCTTTCATGGATTTTCCATTATTAACAAGCAATTTTATGAGAAGAGCAAAAGCATAGCTATATGTAAGCCCTATGTTATCAAGGCAAACAATATATAGATAGTTCAGTATCTCCAGTGGCTATCATCTCAGACTGATGGTTGACTTTGAGACGTAAAGAAAATATTTAATTGTGTTCCAGTACACTAAGTGGATTACAGTGTTAACATATTTTTGAACCATTCTGATTTAAAATTGTGACAGTTTGGAGAGGCTCAGGAGCTGACACTTTAATGTGGAAGTTATGTGGGATCTATAGTCTTGACACATCTCCCAGTTTCTGTAAAGATCACATGCAGTCTGGTCTAATACTTGACAGTTTTGAGACATGCTGCAACTTTTTTATAAGCCAGGTTTTTTGAATCAAGAAAAGATGGGACAGTACTTAAAAATGAAATATCATTCTCCCAAAAATCAAAAGCTTTTAGTCTTGGTAACTCTTCCTTGACTGCAGTTGTATTTTTAGAAAGTAGTGTTTAATCGGCGGTATTTCTTTCTCTCTTTACTAGGTTGTTCGCTCAGCAGCTACAAGTGGAGCTGGTAGCACTACCTCTGGTGTTGTGTCTGGCAGCCTCGGCTCTCGGGAGATCAACTACATCCTTCGTGTCCTCGGGCCAGCCGCATGCCGCAATCCAGACATATTCACAGAAGTGGCCAACTGCTGTATCCGCATCGCCCTTCCTGCCCCTCGAGGCTCAGGAACTGGTAAGTTTCACTTGCTCCTGGCCTTTGAGATTAAGTTTGTGGCCTGGTATAAATCCAGAAATTTATCTATGAGGGGGTCTGTGACTTGAAGAGCCTCCTTGGGCAACTATTAGGACATTTGCTAGCTAGTTGATCATTTGGGTCAATTCCATAGGTACTTCAGTAGCTTTTCTGGGCCTTGCCCTGTTGTAATCCCTGCCAGAGACACTGAGGATTCATTCATTCTAGTCCTTCCCTTCAAAGAGCTCATTTTAGTGGGGCAGTAGGCTTTACGTATAGTTAATGGTTTACAAATAAAGTGATAATTGAGGATTAAATGGATGTACATCTCATGTAACACAGTGGGAAATAGACATCATCTGTGTATTCCTGTCAAGAAATGTTTGACCTGTATTTAATTATGAGGAAACAATTAGAAAAATACAAATTGGTGGGATGTTCTATATAAGACAACTGGCCTAGACTCTTCAAAAATACTAATGTTACGAAAGAAAAAAATACAGGATCATTTCTTCTAGAGAAAAGTAGTCTAGAGAGATAATCGCCACCAGCCTTGGTTGGGCTGTGGATGCAGATAAAGGAGATTTGGAGAAAACTGAGTGCTATGTATTAGGTAATATAATTGTATCTGTTAAATTTGGGGAGTATTATAATGGTATTGCAATTTTGTAGAAAAATACCCTTGATCTCCTCTCTGCTGACTTTTTTGGTAATAAAAAAGAAAAAATACGTATGTCCTTGATCTTAGGAGCTACATGTAGATGTATTCAGGAGTAGTCACTTGGTAATTCTGGATGAAAAGTATATAGATGTTTATCATATTACACTATTTGAACTTTTCTGTAGGTTTGTTGGATTTGTTTTGTTTTTTAATAAAAAGTTGGGAAGGAGACGAAATTATTTTGGAAGTTCTAGCTATGTGCCTGCCCCTGTGCTGGGCATTTCTCAATTATATCCTCATTTAATCCTCAAAATAAATTTGAAGAGTGAGAAAATTGAGGTTTGTTGAAGTAACAACTGGATTTCAAAACCAGTTTTCTCTAACACAAGCCTTTACTATTTGATAGTGCTGTATTAAATCCTGTGGAATTTAAGGAAAGTAGAAACCAGGTTTTATAGTAGAGTACTTGAACATTAATTGAAAATGGTCTCCTATCTCAAGCTTATATATTACACATGCCCCCTTCTGAGTCTTTATTAATAACCTAGTTTAGGTACTGGTTCATGATTGACTGGTTTTTCTCTCTCATTTTGGCTTAGCTTCAGATGATGAATTTGAGAATCTTAGAATTAAAGGCCCTAATGCTGTACAGCTGGTGAAGACCACCCCTTTGAAGCCCTCACCTCTGCCTGTCATCCCTGATACTATCAAGGAAGTGATCTATGATATGCTGAATGCTCTGGCTGCATACCATGCTCCAGAGGAAGGTATGTGGCTAGCCTACCTCAGGAGACTGGGCACTAGAGGATATGTTACTTTGCCTGGGTCATTTCAGCCAACTCATGGCTTAGTGAGCACTCACTATGTGCCCATACTCTGGGGCTCAGATGAATAAGATACCCATTGCATGTCTTTGAAGAAGCTACTAGTCATATAGTATGACATACCAGGGTGATGGTAAATCCTTAGGGTGAGGCACCTTACCTAGTGAGGGTGCATAGGTAAGAAAATTTGTTTGTGTACGTGATTTCTAAAATGAACCTTTAATGGATGAGGAGATTGCCAGAGTTCTGTTATATGAGAATACACACCATACAGGGGGAAGAGTGAACAAAGATTTAAAAGGACATAATAGCATTCTGTGAGAGGTTGAAAATAAGACACCAGGAAGTCTCTAATGTTTTCATACTCAAGCAAAACCTTTTTATTGTTGTTTTATTGTTTATTGAGCTGGAGACAATATTAGGAGGTGTGTCTGGGCTTCCTAACTGTTGAGACCACCACACCCATCCACCTTTATTCCTAGTTAAGGTGCATCTTACAAGCACTAGGAAAGTCATGATTGAATTGCTTGGAACATAGGATTTCATTATAGTAAGGTCCTTCTAGATTTTATTCAGGACATACTTATTTGATAGGTAACAACTGCCAAAAATTGATGAATACTGCCTTTAATAAGTAAAAGAAATCTGAGTCTTGACTTTGGTGCTTTTCATCTGTACAGCACCCTGATCCATATAGAATTCCTTGGTTCTCCTACCACCCCAGAATCTTTCCCCTATCTTATCACCTCCTCCCTGAAATAGTTTAGCTATATATCTGTGGCAACCATTTATTGACCTACCACTGCATGAGCAATACTGCCAGCTGTGTTCACTTAAGGTTTGTAGTTACAGCTTAGGAAAGTGAGACTAAGTTAATTGCCTGTGATCACAAGACTAGTTTTTGTAATATTAGGGTGAGGCACTCTAACATTATCTATAATATCACCATGTAAACAGTCATAGCCACTTGATGTGAAATTGACCAAGACTACTAGATAGGCATTAACATTGTCCAATTGTAGAAGAGGTTTATTTTGTTTTTGATGGTTGTTACTGTTTTTCTAGCAGATAAATCTGATCCTAAACCTGGGGGTATGACCCAAGAGGTTGGCCAGCTCCTGCAAGACATGGGTGATGATGTATACCAGCAGTACCGGTCACTTACGCGTCAGAGCAGTGACTTTGATACGCAGTCAGGTTTTTCCATTAATGTAAGTCAATTCCAACAGCATTTTATCTTTCTTCTCATTTTTTAATGCCTGTGTATTGAAATGGCTCAGTATTTAGGGCTATCCCAGGGGAATTTCAAAAGTATTAATTTTGATGTATTTGTAAATTATCTGTTGACTATAAAGACAAAATTGGGGTGTCCCTGGAGATTTTTTTTTTCCTCTCCTAGGATTAGAACTGTTTCCTTAATTTTTTTTCTTTTCCTTTTCCTTCCCCACCTCACCCTGCAGTCTCCCAGTCACTGTATTTATAATAGCTTCCCACAGATTATAGTATAAAGGTGTAAGGTGGTTAAAAGGTTGGCCAAAGAGAATCTGTGGCATTCCAAGCCAGTACCCTGGGAAGGAGTTCTGCCATTTGCAGATGGGTGTTTTTGAAATTCATAATAGCTCAGGAGTTTTCTTCTTCTACAGAGTCAGGTCTTTGCTGCAGATGGTGCCTCCACTGAGACTTCCGCATCTGGGACCTCCCAAGGAGAGGGTAATGATTTCCTTTTCTCCCTCCTGTGTTCTTTTTTTTTTTTTTTTTTTTTTTTTTTTTTTTTTTTTTTTTTTTTTTGAGACGGAGTCTCGCTCTGTCGCCCAGGCTGGAGTGCAGTGGCCAGATCTTAGCTCACTGCAAGCTCCGCCTCCCGGGTTTACGCCATTCTCCTGCCTCAGCCTCCCGAGTAGGTGGGACTACAGGTGCCCGCCGCCTCGCCCGGCTAGTTTTTTGTATTTTTTAGTAGAGACGGGGTTTCACCGTGTTCGCCAGGATGGTCTCGATCTCCTGACCTCGTGATCCGCCCGTCTCGGCCTCCCAAAGTGCTGGGATTATAGGCTTGAGCCACCGCGCCCGGCCCCCTCCTGTGTTCTTATTCCTTAGGAAAACAACTTGAAAAAACTATGGGTGTCCTGTGCAGGGGGGAGGAGAATACATACTTAATTATTAACGTTTACTTGTCTAAGTGAACTTTCTCAGGTGAGCTCAGTGTTCTGTAAATAAAGAGTCTATATGATAAAGGAACTGTAAGTTAACCAACCTAGTAATGGTTGCTATGGTAACATATTTTAGTTTTAACTTTTTAAGTCACCCTATAGTTATTTTGGGGGCTTCTAAAAGCTGACTTATAGAGATTTTGTACCAGCGATACTATTCTAGCTACATGCTTTACATGGTGGATTCCCGCCTTCCAGCAGTGTTAACAGAGCCCGTTGACTACTCACCATGAACTAGAAAAATGTCACGTGGAAGTAAGTCTAATGAGACCCTTAAAGAACTGCTTCTCCTTATATAGGAAAGGTCTTTGTGATCCAAATTAGGAGACATTTTGTTTAAAATCATACTAGTTCCTGGAGATAAATTTAAAAGGCTAATATTAGTGAAATATTGGTTAACTCATTTTACTGGGTGTACTGGCCATATGTAGTGTATAGTATGGATGATGGTGCTGATTCAAGAGAAGCATTGCCCACTATGTGGCAGACTATATTGGACACCAAAATGGATCAGATTTGTTCCCTGTACTTAAAGAACTTTGTCTAGTGACTGAGACCTGCAAGAGTTATAATGCAAGATAACTGCCAGAATGAAGGCATACTTGGATAAGGTATGATGGACACGTAAAGTATCTCACAATGCGTCTAGATGAGAAAGGAAAGCATTTATGGAGGAGGTCAGCATTTGAGCTGAACTAGATAAAAGTGTGCCAGGCAGACGTAAGGGAAGAAAGAAATAAGGGAGTAAGACGTGTTTGAAGAACTGTTAGTAGAGTATTTCTGGAGTATGTAAAAGGAGGGAAATGGAGGGAGATGCACAAAAGTTGGGCAAAGCATCCCTGTTGTACTGTAACCACATACGTCTGAGACCTGAGTTATCCTGGTTCTCTGCTCTTCCACTGCAGTGTCACAAGAGCATTCAGTTTGTACAAGTAGCTTAAAGAGGAGGAGAAATAGCATTCTTCCCATCTAAGACTTGATTTTGCCAGTGTTCCAGTGTGGAATTGAACCGGTGTTTGACTTTTCTCAACAGCTTCAACTCCAGAGGAGTCTCGAGATGGGAAGAAAGATAAAGAAGGGGACCGGGCCTCTGAGGAAGGCAAACTGAAAGGCAAGGGCAGCAAACCTTTAATGCCTACCTCCACTATCCTTCGTCTTCTGGCAGAGTTGGTGAGGTCCTATGTTGGTATTGCTACCCTGATTGCCAACTACAGCTACACTGTGGGCCAGTCTGAACTGATCAAAGAGGTAATATTTCCAACTTCTACTTAAGATGTTATACTGTACTTCCATCATTTGGGTACCGCCTGTGTCAGATACTGCTGGGAAGCTGTGTATGCTAAGTGCTAACCCAAGTAATGTGTGAGAAGAGGCATCTTAAGACATGCAAGGCCGGGTGCGGTGGCTCATGCCTGTAATCCCAGCACTTTGGGAGGCTGAAGCAGGCGGATCACCTGAGGTCAGGAGTTCGAGACCAGCCTGGCCAACATGGCAAAACCCCATCTCTACTCAAAATACAAAAAAAAATTAGCCGGGCGTGGTGGCGGGCGCCTGTAATTCCAGCCATTCGGGAGGCTGAGGTAGGGGAATCACTTGAACCCAGGAGGCACAGAGATTGCAGTGAGCCAAGGTTGCACCATCGCACTCCTGCCTGGGTGACAAGAGTGAAATTCTGTGGCAAAAGAAACTTCAAAGAGCTAGGCCTTTTTTCATCAGGTTCACTGAGAGAGTTAATGAGATTTGTTCTATTGAAAGTCCCTTGTTCTGCATTGTGGAGATTGAAGAGGGAAGACTGCAGTCAGAGAGACCAGTTAGGAATCTGAGTAATCTAGTAATGTATGATCTTGGTGAAGTTGGAGGAAAAGAGTGAGTTGAAGAAACATTTTTACGGTACAAATTGACAAGAAATGGGTTTGGAAGATGAAGAAGGAAAAACTCAAGGATGTTTCTTGATTTGTGGGGTTTTTTTTTTATTGCTTTTATGGGTTGGCATCTAACAAGAAAATAGAAGGGGAGGGGAAGGTTTGAAGAGAAAATGTGGAGTTTTGAGAGGTATCTGTGGGGCATCTAAGTAAAAGTGTCTAAAGGACAGTGGAATAAACCTTATAAATAAGAATGTAGGTGTTTATCTTCCAGATGTACTCACACGTGCAAAGACACCAGATGTGGTAGCAGTATTGGTAATAAAAATATAGGAAAAGCCTAAATATTCATTAGTAGAGCTGTGGAAAAGAATGAAGTGTCCTGATGCGAGATTATCCTCAGGTTAGATTTTTTTAAGTTGAGTGGGCCACTTTGAGAAACTATATCATGTTCCCACATATGTAAAATGGGTGCCCAGATATTTTTTCCCATAAGGGTGCCTTGTTTTGTGGATCACATTGTAATTTTATAGTTAGTAAGTGGCAAAAGGGTCTGAGAGTGAGGAGGGGCACTAGTGTTGCAGTCTTTGAAAGCAACTGCCATTTTTAAAGCTATTCTTACTTTAATCCAAGTTTAATATATATAGAAAAATACACAAATCTTTAAAATAGTCTATTTTTCCTAGGTAACCACTGGCCAAGTTAAATAAAGCATTACAAGCTCCCCAGAAGCTGCCCTCCTTGTTCTTTAGTGCATTTCCTCCCAACCATTTCACCTTCACTCAACCATTATCTTGAGTTCTAGTGCCATAACTTGGTTTTGTAGTTCATATAAATGGAATCGCATAGAATGTACTCTTTTTTTTTTTTTTTTTTTTTTTGCCTGGATTCTTCTGCTTAACATAGTCGCAAGATTCATTTTGCGTGCAGGTGAAGTTTATTTTCATCTGTATAAAATTCCACTGTGAAATGTACCATGTACCAAAACAAATACATCTTTTACCCATTCTACTGCTAATAAATATTTGGGTAATTTTCCCTTTGGAGCTATCACAAATAGTGCTGCTATGAGCATTCTTATGAATATGTCTAAGTTGGTGAACTACCCAATTTCTGTTGGGTAGTATATGCTTAAGAGTAAGAATTGCTGAGCTCTAGAGTATGATAGTTGTTCTGCTAATGCCAAAAGTTTTCCGGAGTTGCCAGGTCAGTTTATATTATTACCAGCAGCATATGGGAGATCAACAGTTGATGTTTTTTCATTTTACTAATTTTAGTGGGTTTGTAGTGGTATTGTATTATAGTTAAAATTTGCATTTCCCTGTTGACCATTTTTTTCATGTCTTTATTGGCCATTTGTTTATTCTCTTTTGGGAAATGTCTGTTCAACTCTTTTATTCTATTTTCTTATTGAGTTTTTTAATGTATTCTGGACATAAGTCCTATAAATACATAAATAGGCTTCCTTTTTTTTTTTTTTTTTTTTTTTTTGAGACAGAGTCTCGCTCTGTTGCCCAGGCTGGACTGCAGTGGGGTGATCTTGGCTCACTGCAAGCTCCGCCTCCTGGGTTCACGCCATTCTCCTGCCTCAGCCTCCCACGTAGCTGGGACTACAGGCGCGCACCACTACACCCGGCTAATTTTTTGTATTTTTAGTTGAGACGGGGTTTCACCGTATTAGCCAGGGTGGTCTCGATCTCCTGACCTCATGATCTGCCCGCCTCTGCCTCCCAAAGTGCTGGGATTACAGGCGTGAGACACTGCGCCCGGCCAGGCTTCCTTTTTTTGAGAGAGTCTCACTTTGTCTCCCAGGCTAGAATGCACAATCATAGCTCACTGCAACGTTGAACTCCTAGGCTCAAGTGATCCTCACACCTTAGCCTCTCAAGTAGCTGGGACCTATAGGTACATGCTACCATGCCCAGCTAATTTTATTTTTTGAGATCTTGCTATATTGCACGGGCTGGTCTCAAACTTCTGGCCTCAAGTCATCCTCCTGCCTCAGCCTCCCAAAGTGCTAGGGTTACAGGCATGAGCCATCACACCTAGCCAGGCTTTATTCCAAAGCTTTAACTCATTTATGCCAGTTGTATTCATAATGTATAATAGCATTACCTGTGGATTAAGACATTTAATTACAAATTTATTAAGTATCTGCCTAATATGTGTCCAGTGACCTACCAGTACTGGGTACTGGTAAGTGCTTTATAAATACTATTGTTAATCCTCACCTCCACACTGCAAGGTTGTTGATACTGATCTCTTTAATAGAGGAGAGTAACTTGCCTGGGACCATACTACAGAGTAGCAGAGCTAAAATTGGAAGCTAGGGCTGTGATTCTAAAGCTAAGTCCTTTCTATGTGGTTATTCAGAAAACAGTTTTAACTTTGTATGTATTCACCACTGGGAAATTAATGGTTATTTCTAATTGTTTTGTTTTAACAAGGTCACTTTATTCAGTTTCCCAGACTCGAATTATTCAATGCATTTTCTTTATTGAGGTAAAAGTTACAAATCAAACATTTTAAAGTGTACTGTTGAGTGGCATTTAGTACATTCACAGTGTTGTGCAACTGTCACCTATCTAGTTCCAAAATATTCAGTGTATTTTCATCCAAAATTTGCTTGAATGACAACAGAATTTGTTTCTAAGATACGGAATTGTCTAGGCAGGAATTATAGTTAGGGAAAAAAGAAGAGTCTGACTTAATTTCCTTCCTCTATTGAGCCTTTTTCATTCTTTTAAATAACCTTGCATTAAATATTTTTGCATATTAGTTTCTGTGACTTTGCTGTCTCTTGCTCAGCTCTTACCAGCTTCTATTGTAGCACAGGGTCCTGGGCACATTGTGTCAGTAAATAATTTCAATTTAATTGAACACTGAAGGGTTTATACCACTTAATTAGGAATCAAGGTTTGAATCCTCAGCGCTTGACTAAATTCTTTTGTGCAAGCCACTTTTTTACGGGGCTTCAGATTACTGCTTATCAGATGAGAAAATACTTACCTATTTATAGATTTGCTGTAAGTAGTTCTATTAAATAACACATGTAAAACTATTTTAAGATTGGTGCAATAGCACATACCTGTAGTCTCAGCTACTTGGGAGGCTGAGGTGTGAGAACAAACGCCCAGGAGTTTGAGGCTGTGGTGTGAGATGATCATGCCTATGAATAGCCACTGTACTCTGGCCTGGGCAATCTAGCGAGACCTCATCTCCTTAAAAACATTTTAATAAAAATAAAGTTTTTCAAAAATGGTTTTAAAAATACATGACATCTACATAACAGTGTATAAGCTGTGTAGTGGGAAATGGGTGGCGTTTGGAAGTTTTCTGAAATCCGGATTTGCTCCTTACTTGCTTGTATCTTTGAGCCTTGGCTTCTTCATCTATAAAGTGGACATCATAATCACTCATTGGGTGACTTAAGGAAATACTATGTGTGTGTGTATCTTTGGTCCTGTGCAAATGATATGGCAAAATTGTGCTTGTAAGTAAATGTCATGATTCATGACTTTTCAGGACTGCAGTGTGCTAGCTTTTGTTCTGGACCACCTGCTCCCACATACCCAGAATGCAGAAGACAAGGACACCCCTGCCCTGGCCCGCCTGTTCCTCGCAAGCCTGGCTGCAGCAGGGAGTGGCACAGATGCCCAGGTGGCCCTAGTGAATGAAGTAAAAGCAGCCCTGGGACGGGCACTGGCTATGGCTGAGAGTACAGAGAAGCATGCCAGGTAAGATTCGTACCTGATCCAGGGCTAATAGCTAAGAACATCCCCTTACTCTTTTCTTAGTCCATGGGTGGTTTTGCATTTGAACAAAACTTCTTGTCATACTGGCATCATACACTCTCTGGTCCGCTCAAATAGTTCTGGTGCTTGAAAATACCCAGAGCACTGATTGCCATTAGAGTAAGTGGGTAAACATAGAGAAAACAAAGGGAAATGTTAAGTGTATTTTTAGGATCTTCAAGGAAGTTGAGCAGGTTATTTGATCTTATATTTTAAATTTTATTTAAAATGGGGGCTGAGCGCGGTGGCTCACGTCTGTAATCCCAGCACTTTGGGAGGCCGAGGCTGGTGGATTGCTTGAGCCCAGGAGTAGGAGTTGAAGACCAGCCTGGGCAACATGGCGAAACCCCATCTCTACAAAAAATTAGCTGGGCATAGTAGCACCTGCCCGTAGTCCCAGCTACTTGGGAGGCTGAGGTGGAAGTGTCACTTCAGCCCAGGAGTCGGAGGTTGCAGTGAGCCAAGATTTCACCACTGTACTCCACCCTGGGCTACAGAGTGAGACCCTGTCTAAAAAAGAGAAAATGAATGCTATCACGTAGGGAGTGTGTTTTCACCTGTTTGTTTAGGTGTTATTTCCAGAAGGAAGCACAGAAGTTACAGGAGGGTTATCTGAGGCTATTTTGTAAAGACTTGGCCTAAGAAATGGCTATATTCATATGATAGAGATGTCAAACTTCTCTCCCAGGCTTCAGGCAGTAATGTGTATCATCAGTACTATCATGGAGTCCTGCCCCTCCACCTCCAGCTTCTACAGCAGTGCCACAGCGAAGACCCAGCACAATGGCATGAACAACATCATTCGGCTCTTCCTGAAGAAGGGACTGGTTAATGACCTGGCTAGAGTACCTCACAGCTTAGATTTGTCCAGGTAAAATCATGCCCCAACCCCAGGCTTTCCTTCTCTTCAGCCTCACTATATGAAGGATGTGGAGGTAGCTGGTGTGGTGCAAAAACTTTGGGTACAAGTGGGAGACCCGAGTCTTTCTTATTGTGGCTTTTAGCACTTGTCTTTCTTAAAGTCTTGATTCTTACTTGCTATAAACTCAAGAGTTGAACTATTAGAGTGATTTTTTTTTTCAAGTTTCCCCCATTTTAATTAAAAATAACCACTTATTAGAAGATTATATGTATATTATAAGATATACAGATGAGTAAAAATAAGAAGTATTCCTACCACCCAGATACCATAATGACCTTATTGGTTTATTATTCAGTGTTTTTCTTTGCATGCATAAATAATGTATTTTTTACTAAAATTATATTATATGATACATGCTATTGTGTTGGGGGAAATTTGGGGCATTTTCCTTTTTATTTTCAGTTACCGATCACTTCCTTGCTATGAAAATAAATTTCATCCTACCTAATGCCCAAATCCATAATTAAGCATTTTTCTCCAAACCAGAATCCAACTAAGGACTTGTTTTACATCTGGCTATGTCTTCTGAATCTCTCTTATTCTAATACAAAATTTTTTTAAAAATTATTTCGATCTTTATTTTGTTTTTGTTTTTCATGATTCTAGCTTGTTGAAGCGACTATGTTTTTGCCTTCTAAATTTGGTGCAGTTGCTTCCTTGCAGTGTAGTTTAACTTGATCCTTTACTTCCTGTTATTTTCTGTAAACTTCTAGTTAGATCTAGAGGCTTTAGAGGCTTATTGAAGCAGTTTAAACATTTTGGGCTGAAATGTGTAGCCTAGGTAATGTATAGCTCATATTGTATCATGGGAGACACATGGTAATTGCACTTTTTATTCTTAATAGAAAGTCATCTTTGTTGTTATTTTGGCACTTTACAGATGTCTGCACTGTCAATCATATACCTAAATAATAGCCTTAACATCAGTTGATAATTCTTGCCTGGGTCAATTATTTGAGGCTTATGAATAACAGCTTTCTAATTTCTCATTTCGAATACATTATTAACTGGCATTTTTCTGTGTTAGCCCCAAAGGGAATGTCTGGTTGTGCTAAAATACAAGTTCTATTAGGCAGTATAAAAACTTAATTTCTTAATTCTTTTCTATTTACATTTGAGATTCATATGTAGATTTTTTTCTGGCTTTCTGTTTTTTAAGTCATATTATGGACTCAACTTTTCATTGTTTTTTTTTTTGTTTTGTTTTTAAACTGGTGATTGAATTTATTTGGATCATTGCAGTCACTTTTTCATGCTCAAATTATTATACCTTTGACCTATATGACCCCTTCAAGGTGACTAAATTGTCCTTTTGCTACAAACGTATCAATTTTTTGAAACATTTATAAATCTCAAACTCACAGTACTGTAATGAACACCGTGTGTCTACCTAGATTAACCACTGCTGAACATTTTGCTTTATTTCTTCCCTTTCTGTCCTTTCAGGAGCTGAATCATTTGAAATTAGTTGCAAATAGTATAAATCTTTACCTCTGAGTACTTGATCATCTGTCTCCTAAGAACAGACATTTCCTTATATGGCTACAGTTCCATTGTCATATCCAAGAAATTTACCAATAATATAATAATACTAAATTTATATAATTTTATATTGACATACTTCCAGTTATTTCAATTATGTCTTTGTACTCTGGGGGAGAGTGTTTTGATCCAGGCTTCAGTGAGCTATCACATGTTGCATTTGGTTGTCACATTTTTCTTTTTTATGACATTTTCCTGTTTTGATGAATCCAGGCTTGATGTCTTATAGAACATCTCACAGTCTACATTGGTGTAATTGCTCCCTTAACGGTTAGGGTCAGGTTAAACACTTTTGGCAAAAATACTACATGGGTTATATTTGCCCTTCTCACATCACTTCAGGAGACAGGTAAATACTACTTGGTCCCATTACTTGTGATACCTAATTTGATCACAGCTGAGGCTGTTGGACACTTGAACCTAGGAGTTCGAGGCTAACCTGGGTAACATAGTGGGACCCTGTCTCTGCAAAAAATACGATAATTAGCTGGGCGTGTACGCCTGTAGTCCCAGCTACTTGGGAGGCTAAGGTGGGAGGGTGGTTTTTGTTAGATTTCCACTTTGCAATGAATAATTCCATTACTATCATTATTCTTTTTGATACTCACTGGGCCTGTGGTAATGATCCCATTAATTTTTTTCTCCCCATTTTTGTTGTTGTTTTTCCTCTTAATAGAAACAGTGTCACTATGTTGCTCAGGCTAGGCTCAAGCAATCCTCCCATCTCAGCCTCCCACAGTGCTGGGATTACAGGTGTGAGCCATCACACCCAGCTGTCCCATTAATTTTTGAAAGCTTTTTGGCACAATATACCTTCCTTGCCCTATTCCTGGGATCACTTGTTCTGATGAGTCTTGGTTACTTTTAGTGTGATATGGTATCAGAGACTGCTATCTTGGTACTAGTGGGTATACACACATACACACACACACATATATATACATACATAGGCTCACACATAAATGCACACATAAAGCAGATAAAAGCAGAGCTGCTCTTGTTTTAGTGGGCACCTAGTTGGTCTCGCACACCTTATTACACTTAGAAATCACACCACACCTTCAACTGCAGCCCGTTGTACTTTTATTTAACTTTAGGAAGCCCTACAGAGTGTAATTTGAAATTCACAGAACTTCAAACTGTTATCAGCTGGGCGAGGAGGGCAGGTTGCCTGAGCTCACGAGTTCGAGACCAGCATGAGCAACATGGCGAAACCCCATCTCTACAAAAAAATAGAAAAATTAGATGGGCATGGTGGCTCACGCCTGTAGTCCAGCAACTTGGGAACCTGAGGTGGGAGGATCACTTGAACCTGGGAGGTGGAGGTTGCAGTGAGCCGAGATCATGCCACTGCACCCCAGCCTGGGTGACACAGCGAGACCCTGTCTCCAAAATAAAAGAAAGAAAGAACTTTTATCATGTTCCTTCCTTTGAGCTCTTAGGGTTTGGGGATTAAATGCTGATAGTTTTAAAAAAAAAAAATCCTGAGTACGTCTGAGAAGTGCCTTGCTTGCATATGGTCATCCAGAATACATTCTGACTTCCAGTCAAGAATTTTTTACTTATGTGCTTTCCATGGCCCCATGAAATATGGCATTGATTTAACTCTTGCTTTTAGGGTGGGTCCCTTAAAGACATTTAAGTCAGATTTTTTTTTTCTAAACAAAAGTAGAATGTTAGCTGTATGACCTTATGCCCCTTTTCTCTTAGTAGATTCCATTGTAAGAAGCTTAGTGTCACTTAGAAGATAGATACCTAGTATTTCTGTGCTCAGTCCATCTCTTTATCTTCCCTTATCTCAGTCCCAACATGGCCAACACAGTCAATGCTGCTCTGAAGCCTTTGGAAACACTTTCCCGGATTGTGAACCAGCCCAGTAGCCTTTTTGGCAGTAAGAGTGCTTCTAGCAAGAACAAGTCTGAGCAGGATGCCCAAGGAGCCTCTCAAGATTCCAATAGCAACCAGCAGGACCCAGGTAGGGAATCAGAGCCAATGGACTGGAGAGCTGGAGGGGTGGGAGTAGTTGTTTTATGGGCCTGGGATCACAAAACTGTTCTGGCTTGGTGGTGTTTCCCTGGGAACTTGCTGGCCTTCCAGAGATCTGTCATAGTGGCGTGGGAATCTGCCCCACAAAGAATTCCTTCAAAATGCAGCCTTGTTTGGCTATCCTCACACGTAGCCTTGTCTTTTCCTTTGTCACCCATTCGTTTATTCTCTGAGAACTTGTAAACTTGCCCAAGGAAGGGACCTTATTGTCTTTGCGCTTGCCTCGTGGTGCCCAGCACATAGGCACTCTTTGATTATTTTGCTGGTTGGTTGATTGTTTCAGGCGAGCCTGGGGAAGCAGAAGTGCAGGAGGAGGATCATGATGTCACTCAGACAGAGGTGGCAGATGGGGATATCATGGATGGGGAGGCTGAAACCGACTCAGTGGTGATTGCTGGGCAGCCTGAGGTGCTCAGTTCACAAGAGATGCAGGTAGGGAGGCAGATCACCCAGCATTTCCCTGTTGCGGCGCTGAATCAAACCCTTGCCAGGTGGTGTGGGTGGGTGAGTACTTTAGATCCTTGCCTCAATGCTGGCTGCTTTGCAGAGGAGCATGGGTGGTGATATGCTTAGTAGATGCTCAGTAAATGTGTTTGTATTGTATTAAAAGAGGGGTGGGGGCAGGGTCAGGATGCCATGTACTATGAAATGATGAAGATCCCAACCAGAAAACAGGCACAGGTGAAATGTTGAAGTAGAAAGCTGGCCTGAGACCGTTGGGCCCAGGGTCTTTGATTTACTTTGGCTCTGGTTATTAATGGAAGCTCCTTAACACCACCTTCTACCTATAGCACCAGCTCTTGCTGGAGCATTAAAACAGCAGTCTTCTAAAGACCCTAAAGGAAAGCATTGTAATTTCTGGAGCTGGTAGCATTGGGTAAGAAATTGGGCCTGTGGTCCTAAGCTGCTGGCTTTAAAGAGATCTATTATGTCTTCCTGGACAGTATAAAGACAACCCAGTATCAGATAACTGGGATGGACCCATTTGAAGGACAGTCTGATTGTGGATTGGCAGCACGTGGTAGTTTCTGTGCTAATTAGCACCGAATGTGTGGTTTCATGTAACATCCTCTGTCACATGTTATCCTAGAAATGTATGCTCCTTTGCTGGCCTTTTTTAGGGTTTCAGTGCTAGCACAATGATAGACTTGTGTGCATCCATATATATGTTCTATTTCTCTCCAGGTTGAGAATGAGCTGGAGGACCTGATAGATGAGTTGCTTGAGAGGGATGGCGGATCTGGGAACAGTACAATTATAGGTGAGAGCCCCAGAACTGAGTATAGCCTCTTCCTTTGCCTCAGTCTCTCTTGGGAGGACCCTTTTTCTCATCATCTGCTTGCTCAGCTCTGCCTAAGGGCTCATAGCCAACCTAGATCGCTACTTGTCTTGATGTTGACAGTCTTACAGATGAGAAATTCACAAGACATCTACAGGCCTGTGGCAGTCTGAAGTGTTGCCTGTGTGGGGGAGGTGGTGGGAGTGGCCATTGATACAGATGTTACATCAAGCACATCAAAAGAGTGTTTATTCATGGAGGCCTAGAGGAGGCTGTAGGGTGAGAAAGCGCTTCCTTTCAGTTCTTCAATGAAGTCCAGGGGCTTTCTGCCTCTGAGTCTCAGTAGTGTAAAAAGAATGATCATTCCCTGAGGGTGGCCCTTTATAAATCTCAGAGGGAAAATGGCAAAGGTACCCTACTGTCACCTGGCTCTGAGGGTGTATGTGTTACTTGTTTTTACTTTGTTGATCAAGGAAATCAAAGGATAAATGGAAGTAGACATGTATTCTTAAGTGTTACAAAGCTTTTTCACACCCAGTATCCTCTGTGGTTTCACAATTAGTGGGATTGGCAGGGCAGATGTAATCATCCCGTTTTACAGATGAGGAAACTGAGACTCTGACAGGTAAAGTGACTGGCCAAGCTCACCTAGCTATCTGACAGCCGACAATCCAGGTCTTCTCCCTCATCCAAAAAAAATGGATATCTGCTAGGTGTACATAGCTACTTTAGACGCACCCAGTCTGGAAAGGGAAGTCCTCTGTTGTTCAGTGAAGGCTCTGCTCTGTAACCTTCAGTGAGCAGAAGTGGAGAGGATGAATCACAAGAGGACGTGCTGATGGATGAAGCTCCTTCCAACCTCAGCCAAGCTTCCACCTTGCAGGCCAACCGAGAAGGTGAGAGTGCCGAGGCCAGAAAGGCCTCCCTTCTTGCCCTGCACGTCTGACAGACACTACACTAGGGTTTTCCTGGAGGCAGCTGCCCACATGTGCAGAATAAGGAAGCATCTGTCTGCATGCGCTGACATACACCATCCACTTTATCCTCAGCCAGTTTTTCAAATAACATGTTACTACTGCTTGCCCAAAGTTTGTCACTTCTTACTTGGTTCGCTTTCTTCTCACCCGCCTGCTATCATCGCTGCAGGTTCCCTCTTGCCAACAGGATATAGTCAGTAGCAAAGTAGGGCTGAAAAGGCAAGGGGGCACCAGCAGACTTGGCCAAGTCCTAGACCATGGCTCCTCAAGCACCACCCTCTAGCCAGCCTCCACATTCAGCCACCCTGCTCAGTGTGTTGATGCATTGATTGGCACTCTCAGGAAATCGGGTCTGGCTCAGTAAGTCTGTACATCACCCCAGATCTGGTTCTTCCTCTCATAGAGTCAGATATCCCATCACCTTCCCACTCAGCCTGCTGGCCTGCACAGTAGCCTGTTTTCTAGCTACTCAGTTTAGTCCTGCAATGTGCTCCCTTTGTTTTAGATTCCATGAATATCCTGGACCCTGAGGATGAGGAGGAGCACACTCAGGAAGAGGACAGCAGTGGCAGTAACGAGGATGAGGATGATAGTCAGGATGAAGAGGAGGAGGAGGAGGAAGATGAGGAAGATGATCAGGTGAGGGGGGACTGCGTTTGGGTTGGTTCAGATGACCTCTTCCATGGGAACATAGAGCTGCAGAAAACCAACAGTCTGGGTTGCTAGCCTCAACGTCTCCCTCCCTCATGTGCACATGTGGCCATGGCACCAGGCTTCAGAAAACCCTTACCTCCAGCAATTCTCCATCTCCTATTTTCCCTTAAGGAGGATGATGAAGGTGAAGAGGGAGATGAAGACGATGACGACGATGGCTCTGAGATGGAATTGGATGAGGATTATCCTGATATGAACGCTTCTCCCTTGGTCCGATTTGAGCGCTTTGACCGGGAGGATGATCTCATCATTGAGTTTGACAACATGTTCTCCAGTGCTAGTAAGATACAGGGGCTCAGCTGGGTTTTCTCTCTTGATTCTTATACCCTTCTCTAGGGTAAGCCAAGCAGTGGACCAAACCGATCTGATACAGACAGCACTTCTTTTCCTATGCTGACTTCCTGGGGCAAGGGATATCTGAATCCATCTGTCTCATTAGTGTATACTTAGGAGAAGGAATAGTGAGAGGCTGCTTTTGTTCCCTTCACCTCAGTAAATAGGCAGCCATTTTAGAGCCTGGACAACTTGATGATTTGCTTGATTAAAAAAAAAATGAGACCAAGGCTGACTGCATCAGGCACCCATGTGCACACCACAGTGGCAGGGTAATCAATAATCCTTATGTCCATAACACAAGATCTTGAGGATTTGAATGGTCACCTTTGAGCTTGGCATTAGGGAGCAGATTTGAACATACTCACTCTATTCATCCAGGATGCATCTTTTCGGGAGAACGAGTGAATCTCTTCCTCCCCCATCAGCGTCAAAGTTCCCTTTTAGCGTCAAGTTAGAATCAAGTTCTTAGAATCAAGCTGTCTTGATAGGGCAGGTCTTGACAACTTAAATCACAAGCATGATGTAGCAGAAAACACTGAACTATTCTGGTCTGTTATCTTGGCCAATTAATCTCTTACCTCTTTGAGCCTCAGTTTGTCACCTGTAAATGAAAAGTTTGAGAAAAAAAATGGGTTGGATTAGATAACTTTCAAGATAACGTCTATGATTCTCTTTGCATTTTTGTGATTTTCATCAGTTTCCCTTAGAGTTGAGCCTCTGTCCATTCAGCAAATTGAACAATATTTGAGGAGTGCCTACTGTATCCTAGGTACTAGGGATACAGCAGTAAAGAAGAAAACAGTCCTCGTTCCTCATAGGAGTGGTCTGTTAGGAATTATAGCTAAGCAGGCATTACATTGCAGTATGGTAAGAGAGCACAGAGGTAAAGAGTTATCTAACCCAATCTGTAGAAGTCAGGCTTCACAGAGAAAGTGACGTCTTAGGCCAAGAACAGAAGAGCAGGTAAAGAAGCGGGAGAGGAGTCTTCAAGGTGGAGGGAGCAGCATGTATCTGAGGGGCCTAGAAGCATCACTGTGACTGTAGTGTGGAAAATGGATTGGGAGAAGGTACTATTTAGGAGGCTGTTGCAGTATCTAAGTGAGAGATGATGGCGTAAGCTATGGTAGTGTCAGTGATTGTAGATGAGTTGTGGGAATGAGGGAGAAAGGACAAAGCTCAGGTTTCCGTGTGAGGAAGTAAGGCCCAGGAGACATGATTCTGCTTGAACAAACATGGAAGAAATTTCTTTTTGACACTGACCCTTTTACATATTGTCCTTGCAGCAGACATCCCCCCATCCCCAGGAAATATCCCTACCACCCATCCACTGATGGTGCGCCATGCAGACCACAGTTCTCTGACACTGGGCAGTGGCTCTTCAACAACTCGTCTCACCCAGGGCATCGGGCGCAGTCAGAGGACCCTAAGGCAGCTGACAGCCAATACTGGCCACACCATTCATGTTCACTACCCTGGGAATCGCCAGCCCAACCCTCCTCTTATACTCCAGAGGTGAGTTACAGAGATCTGTTGGATTCATCGGAGCTCTTGTAAGAATTTTCACTGTGCTTCAGCGTTGTCTTAACCTTGGGGGAAATAGTCCGTCACTTAATGTTCTTGTCACACACACAAATAAAATATTTGTTCCATTTCTTTGTGGATTACATGTGCAACCTTTTGGGGAGTGCAGCCTTTTGGGGAATACCAAATTATGTCAATAGTTCTGTGCATGTATTTAGCAATTATTAAGTGTCTCCTGCCAAGCACTTAACACTTTAGATATAGACGGGACAAGAGCCCTGCCCTCCGGCTTAGAGTGTAGTGAAACAAACAATCTTAAGAAGTAAAAGAAAGGCATTTAAGTGTTGTAATGGTTGGTGTACAGACAACACAGAGGGTGTAGTGGAGGCAATGTGACCTGATGCAGTGCCTGGCACGTGGTAGCTTATTGACACCCACTTGGTGCCAGAAACTATGGAATAATATACAACTTAAGTACAAAACCAGGGTGGTATTCAGAAAAATAACTTAGACTTGTGTGCATATCGTAAGGTTTATAGTGTTCTGCATTTAATAGAGGATGCGTGAAGAGGATCTCACAGTAACAGATTGCAGGGCACCTCTGGACTTAACAGTGATCATGGTACCCACCATTACCCTACAGGTTGCTTGGTCCCTCAGCTGCTGCTGACATCCTTCAGCTGAGCAGCAGCCTTCCCCTACAAAGCCGGGGTCGGGCCCGCCTCCTGGTAGGCAACGATGACGTCCACATCATCGCCCGTTCTGATGATGAGCTGCTGGATGACTTTTTCCATGATCAGAGCACAGCTACCAGCCAAGCAGGCAAGTTTGTGTGGTGAAAGGGAGGGTAGAATTTGTCAGATTCTACTTTTTACCTGTTGAGGAAAAGCAAGACAGTGTCTGCCTTATCGAAAACCCCCATTTTATAGGAGCCAGAACCACTCAGTGACTTAGCCATGTGCAACAAAAACTTTATTGTCTCTAGGTACTTGTTATGTGCTAAACATTGTGATAGACCTTGGATCCTTTTAGGGAAATACTACAATTTTTGGATCGGTGGATCAGTTAATGCTTGACAAGGTCAAGAATCTCATTCCCCTTTGTTCTCCCTACAGGAACCCTGTCCAGCATCCCCACAGCCCTGACCCGCTGGACAGAAGAATGCAAAGTTCTCGATGCTGAGAGCATGCACGACTGTGTTTCAGGTGCGTGGCAGCTTGGTTTTCAGGGCAGCAGTGAGCCTTCTAGGGCTAAGACAAGCGTGTGGAGAGTTGTTTCCCTGGCTCTCTGTGGCTACAAGCTCTGGCTCTTGGCTTCCTCCCTGACCCCACCAGAGCAGCCTTTGATTTTTGCCTCTTTGGAACAGTGGTTAAAGTGTCCATTGTCAATCACCTGGAATTCCTGAGGGATGAGGAGCTGGAAGAAAGGCGCGAGAAGCGCAGGAAACAACTGGCTGAGGAAGAAACAAAGATAACTGATAAAGGCAAAGAAGATAAGGAGAACAGGGATCAGAGTGCACAGGTGATTCCCAAGGGCTGGGAGGATTCATCTTTGACTGTGTCTGCCGTAATGTGGTTTTGGCATACACATAGCACCAAGAATCACTGAAGAATCCTAGAACGTTCATGTTGAACCTGGGAAATGTTTTATTTCAAATTCACCGTACATTCACCTGGTTTGTAGGGGAAAGAGTTTAAACCTAGAGGGGAGATTTCTCCAGTGTCTCACTGGGAAAAAAGAGCCAGAGGCAGAATGGCTTCTCACTTAACAGTCACACTGCGTAGTCTCTACCGCCAAGGACAGCATCGAGACAAGGAGAATAACCTTGTCTAAGTCCATGCTCTTGGTTGCCCATTTCCGTTTCTGTTGGTGGACTGCCAGTGTGGGGAATCTTACCAAGATGACCCCATTCCATCATTTAAGTAAGATCAGCCTAGGTGTCAGATCAGAGAAAATGTTGTACTCAGAACCCCGTCACCATATGTCATTTTTTCTAGGGCTCACATGTATAAAATCACTAATATAATTTTGATTTAGAAGGAAGTTACCTATTTTTTTCTGAAACTTCTGGGACCTCAGACAGAGGTCTTTTAAATGTCCGAGTAAATGAGGATAGAATGATACATTACAGTGTATCACTTGATATAAAAGGGGGGAAATCTGATAGAAATACAAAGAAATAAGACTTGAGAGTGAAAGACTTCAGTATACCCTACTCAGCAGTTAGGGAATCAGGTAGATTAAAAATAAGGGTAGTGAAGTGTTCAGTTAAAATAACAAGCTTGATGTAACAAGTATCTTTATATAGAACTTTTTACCTAATACACAGTTACATTGTTTCAAACATGATATAGGATGGAAAATAAGTGAACCTAGCATATGACTGAAAAGGCTAGAGTGGACAAAATAAAAAATAAGCCCCATGAAGGGAAAGATACATAGATGAAACCAAGAAATTCTTGATAGAGTGATCATGATCGTGCCTATTCCTAAGGGGGTTTTTATTATCCTTTCCTTCCATGTTTATTTCCCCCTCACCCTGAAGCCATTCTTGAACCTGAGTATGTGTAGAGAAATTGGACATATATTTGCACAGTGAAATGTTCACCTTCCTTTGGTCACATGGCCAAAGCATTCTCCATTAGATCACTGAACTCCTAGATGGTCTGGGTGGAGGATGGTGACTATTACAGTTGACCTCTATCTTAGGTGCCTGCAAAGTTCCACATTGGTCTATCCCTTCTTTTTGCAGTGTACTGCATCTAAGACAAATGACTCTACTGAACAGAATCTCTCAGGTAACTCTCCTTCCCTTTCTCCCTTCTTACTAATTGATTGGTTGCTTTCTCCTGATAGTTCCGAGTAGCTGGCCCACATAGGCTGAAGATGGACACTGGTGCTCTGTGGGATGAGGTAGTAGATTGTATAGTTTTAGGGTCATACCCCATCTTGGAGATAACTATACAGTCTACTGTCTTTCCCACGGTAGTACACTTCTTCTCCGACTGGCTCTGTTCAGGTTCTTGTTCTGGTTATTATCTACTTCATTCTGACATGAGTAATGAGATCATGTGTCTTGTTTATTTCCTGACTGCAACTCTGTCCTCTGAAACTGCATGTTCATGTACATCTTTGAAGTGGCTGGTCCTTTGATGACCACCATGGTGTGGCACTTCATGAGAATTCTCAAATGCCAGTCCTCTGTGGAAACGAACAAAATCAAGGAGCTGTAATGCCTTTTTCATAAAGCTGAATTTATTCCCTTTAAAAGACTCTTTTTCTATTTAGAGATTATATTCCTAATTCTGTGGTATCAAAATATTTTTATTAAACGATGTTGATTGGATGTTTTTTTCTTACATGACTGAACTAAAAGTTGGCAACCCCTACATTAGTCTCTAATTTTTGTTCTTTTTTTAATTAAATTTTATTGGTCCATGGAATCTAAAAGTCTTGGATAGTGTGCTATTCAGGAAGGTAGCTCTGTGGGCTTAGTGGTATGACTGCCATATGCTCCCTATTCCCTCTGATCTTCTTAACAATGGTCAGTAGCCATTTTGTGATTCTATCAGTTGGGTCATGTGATATCATATGTCTCCTCCACCCATATTTCCTCAGAACATTGTTCTGCCTCCCTACACCTGTCTCCTTTGGCACTTGAGTTGGAAAATCATTGTACTAAAGCCTGCACAATATTTTTTAAAGCGGTGAAGTAGGGTAGATGCCTTGGTACCCTTAATCTAGCAAAAGATCTTTAAAAGAGTCTGTCACCACGTAAAAGGGCCTTTTGCCTGCTGTCCTTATTAGAGGATTGTGCTCATGCCAGGGTGAGGTAGTAAGTTGTATTGTTGTGGGGTAGGGATATTAGGCCCCAATTAGAAGATAACTATACAACTTACTACTTTCCCTGGTGTGTGGCATATTCACACTTAGCCTTAGCAGTGTTGCCTCCATCAGACAAAGTTGTAGATGATCCTTGGATAATTAGGACTGGAAGAAAAGAGACATGGAAGGGGACAGATAGTGTTTAGGGTGAGGCAGATGTCATTATAAAGTGACTTGTCTTTCATTAATTGGAGCATATAATTATTTTATCTTTGGGCATGAACTCAAACATTTTGCTTTTCTTCAACTGTGTAATGAGTGCATTTTCTTAGTAATAGAACAGGAACGTGCACAAGGGAATGGAAAGCATACTTTAAGAATTTTGGGCTGGGCGCAGTGGTTCATGCCTGTAATCCCAGCACTTTTGGGAGGCCAAGGCAGGTGGATCACCTGAGGTCAGGAGTTTGAGACCAGTCTGGCCAACACTGAAACCTCGCCTCTACTCAAAATACAAAAATTAGCTGGACGTGGTGACACTCGCCTGTAGTCCCAGCTACTCAGGAGGCTGAAGCAGAATTGCTTGAACCCAGGAAGCAGAGGCTTCAGTGAGCTGATAACACGCCACTGCCCTCCAGCCTGGGCAACAGAGCAAGACTCTGTCTCAGAAGAAAAAAAAAAAAAAGGTTTTGAAAGGCTGGACGCGGTGGCTCACGCCTGTAATCCCAGCACTTTGGGAGGCCGAGGCAGGTGGATTGCTTGAGCTTAGGAGTTTGAGACCAGCCTGGGCAACATGGCAAGACCCTGTCTCTACTAAATATACAAAAAATTATTCAGGTGTGGTGGCACATGCCTATAGTCTCAGCTACTTGGGAGACCAAGGTGGGAGGATCACCTGAGCCCGGGAGGTGAAGGCTGCAGTGAGCCATGATTGTGCCACTACACTCCAGCCTGGGCAACAGTGAGACCCTGTCTCCAATAAAAAAACAAAAAGAGTTTTGAAATAAATTCTCACCATTTCTTGCTCCAAACAGATGAAGTGGGAGGATCAATCGGATTTTGGTAGTTAGATTTTCTGTGTACCTACAGAGACGTTTAGCCTCACCCTATATGGCCTGAAATCTTCTCCCTTCCACCTGGAGGGCACAGAAAGGATTTTATTCTTAGGATCCACAGAGTCAGAGCTCCAGTTCTTGCATTCTTGGGACAGAGATAGCACTGTGCCTTAGCCTTCATCCTTAGTATACCAGACCAGAGATGTTCCTTTGTGGGGGAACATCTTTAGGGGGGAGCATTTTCACTGTGGGGGTAATCACTGGCTGGGTGGGATACTTGTCAGGCCACATTTGCTGATTGGGGTGGCCTCCATTATCATTGGCTGGTTGCCTCTTAACCACTATTGTTGTTCTTTCCGAGAAAGATGGGACGCCTATGCCTGACAGCTACCCAACAACCCCATCTTCAACTGATGCAGCTACATCTGAGTCCAAGGAGACCCTTGGCACTCTGCAGTCCTCACAACAGCAACCAACACTCCCAACCCCACCAGCTTTGGGAGAGGTTCCTCAGGAGCTGCAGTCCCCAGCTGGAGAAGGGGGCAGCTCTACACAGCTATTGATGCCTGTAGAGCCAGAGGAATTGGGTCCCACAAGGCCAAGTGGGGAAGCAGAAACAACGCAGATGGAGTTATCCCCAGCTCCCACTATAAGTGAGTAGAATTTCAACATTTGGGAAGGATGGAACAAGAGGGAAGAAAGGATGTCTTTGTAGCTTCTCTTTGCTCTCTTGCTTGAGAGAAAAAGTCGGAGCTCAACTTCTCAAATAATAAGATCTCATCTTGCACATTCACTTTCTTAAGTGAAGTTGAGGTCCTGAACTGGTGATAGTTCAATGTCTAACGATATTGGTGATGATACCAACAGTTCATTGAGGCAATTACTCTGTTCCTGGGCTATCACCCCAGGCTTATTATTTAAAAACAACTCCCCAGCTTTGCATGGTGGCTCATAATCCCAGCACTTTGGGAGGCCGAGGCAGGGGGGATCATTTGAGCTCTCAGGAGTTTGAGACCAGCCTGGGCAACATAGTGAGACCCCATCTCTATTGGGGGGAGGACTCCAAAATCGATGGTGTTATTTACATGAGTAAACTGAAACTCAGAAATGAAATAATTAACCCAAGTCACTCTATAAGTGGTTGAACTGGAATTAAAATCCAGATCTGTCTGACTTTAAAACTTACTCTGCTTTCACAGTTTCCAGGATGGCAAGCATGTCACCCCACAGTTAGAGCTCTCCCATTCTCCTGGCAGACACTGTTTATCTCATTACACTATTTCTCACTGGTTTGAAATGGGGCCTCAAAAGTCTTCTCAGCAGTATTTCAACAGGATAATTTGATACCTGCTTGCCATCCCTGTTCTATACCATCTTGCTTGTGAAGTTCTCTAGAGAGACCTTAAGGTGTCAGTCTTTTCTTTCAAGGAACCTTGTTTATTTTATTTTATTTTACTTTATTTTTATTTATTTATTTATTTTTTGAGAAAGAGTCTCGCTGTGTCACCCAGGCTGGAGTGCAGTGGTGTGGTCTTGGCTCACTGCAACCTCCGCCACCCGAGTTCAAGTGATTGTCCTGCCTCAGCCTCCCAAGTAACTGGGACTACAGGTGCACGCCACCATGCCCGGTTGATTTTTGTATTTTTAGTAGAGACAAAGTTTTGCCATGTTGGCCAGGCTGATCTGGAACTCCTGACCTCAGGTGATCAACACACCTCAGCCTCACAGAGTGCTGGGATTACAGGCATGAGCCACCATGCCCTACTGAAACCTTGTTTCTTTAGAGAACCACAGGATATACACGTGCAGGTGGTGCCTGCAGTCAATCAAAGTGAAAAAAATCCCTTACCCAGGCTGGGCACGGTGGCTAACACCTGTAATCCAAGCACTTTGGGAGGCCGAGGCAGGTGGGTGATGAGGTCAGGAGTTCAAGATCAGCCTGGCCAAGATGGTGAAACCCCATCTCTACTAAAAACACAAAAGATTAGCCGGGTGTGGTAGCAGGTGCCTGTAATCGCAGCTACTGGGGAGACTGACGCAGAGAATTGCTTGAACCCGGGAGACAGAGGTTGCAGTGAGGCAAGATTGTGCCATTGCACTCCAGCTGGGCCACAGAACGAGACCCCATCTCCAAAAAAAAAAAAAATCCCTTACCTGGGTTGCCTAGGGAAGATGTTTCACAGGCATGCCTGGAACACAGTGAATGTTCAAAAATTGATAGAAAGGGCTTGAGCTGGCCGGGCGCGGTGGCTCAAGCCTGTAATCCCAGCACTTTGGGAGGCCGAGACGGGCGGATCACGAGGTCAGGAGATCGAGACCATCCTGGCTAACACGGTGAAACCCCGTCTCTACTAAAAAAAAATACAAAAAACTAGCCGGGCGAGGTGGCGGGCGCCTGTAGTCCCAGCTACTCCGGAGGCTGAGGCAGGAGAATGGCGTAAACCCGGGAGGCGGAGCTTGCAGTGAGCTGAGATCCGGCCACTGCAGTCCAGCCCGGGCTACAGAGCAAGACTCCGTCTCAAAAAAAAAAAAAAGAAAGAAAGGGCTTGAGCTGAATCTTAAAAAACTCAAAGTGAGATTGAGAGGGAGACAGCAAGGGAGAAGTGAGAAGTCTGAGCTGAGATGCCCCTAAGGAAGCAGCCCTATCAAAGACCTTGTCTGTCATTTTGCCCCGTTTCCAGATAGAAGCCTAACTTCTCCCTATGACTTTTTCCTAGCCTCTCTTTCCCCAGAGAGAGCTGAGGATTCTGATGCACTGACGGCTGTCAGCAGTCAGCTGGAAGGCTCTCCTATGGATACAAGCAGCCTGGCTTCCTGTACCCTAGAGGAGGCTGTGGGTGATGCTTCAGCAACTGGCAGTTCTGAGCAGCCCAGAGCAGGCAGCTCCACTCCTGGGGATGCCCCACCAGCTGTGGCGGAAGTGCAAGGCAGGAGTGATGGGTCAGGGGAATCTGCCCAGCCACCTGAGGACAGGTAAGCATGTGTGGGCAAAAGAAGGGTAGGATATATTGGAGGGTTTTTCAAAGCACATTTCATACTTGTCAACTAATGGACATGCTTGTTATGCTGGGGAGATAAACCTGGTTTCTGTGAGAAAGGGGTATTGTAGGACTGTTTTATAAACGAGAAGACATAATACAACAACCTGAGCGTGATTTCCCTCAGCTCCCCCCCTGCATCCTCTGAGAGCTCTTCCACCAGAGATTCTGCCGTGGCCATTTCTGGAGCAGATTCTCGAGGAATCCTGGAAGAGCCGTTGCCTTCAACAAGCAGTGAAGAAGAAGATCCCCTTGCAGGTGAGCTCCATGTATGCCCAGGTCATCCTGGGATTGTTTTGGCTTCTAGTGGCCCTTGGCATGGAAATGCCCACCAGCCAAACAGTTCCATTCAGGTGGAGGGCATGTATGTGGGAGGACTGACAATAAGGGGGGTGCTGGTGTGGCATAATGAAATGGGTCCAGCCTTAGGAGTCAGACTGATCTTGGCTCACTCAAATTCCCCCACTCTGCCACTTCTACCTTTTACAACCTAGGGTCATTATTTAATTTCTGTGATCATGAATGATACCGAGGGGGTGATGATATCTGCGTGGTAGGTTATTTATAAAGGGTAAGTAACAGTGCATGCAGTCTAGCAAATAACAAAAGCTATTCTGAGCCCAGGGAAAGTGGGGTGGGCCTTCTCTGCGTCCCATGTCTTGCAAGCAGTGAAGACATACACACTGGTTTCCCTCAAGCAGTGACATAGGTTTATTTTCTCAAAGTACATATTAGGCACCAATAGAGGTGTGAGAGGCTGGGCACGGTGGCTCCTGCCTATAATCCTGAAAATTTGGGAAGCAGAGGTCAGAGGATCACTTGAAGTCAAGAGGTTAAGACCAGCCTGGGCAACACAGGGAGACCCCATCTCTACGAAAATATATATGTAAATTAGCCAGGCATTTTGGTGCATGCCTGTAGTCCCAGCTACTCAAGAGGCTGAGGCAGGAAGACTTGAGCCCAGGAGCTCAACACTGCAGTGAGTCAAGGGTTGCACCACTACACTCCAGCCTGGGCAACAGACCAAGACCCCATCTCAAAAATTTAATAAGGCATGAATCCCTTTACATGTTATATCCCCCCTCAGGTATCAGTCTCCCTGAAGGCGTGGACCCCTCTTTTCTGGCTGCCCTGCCTGATGACATCCGTCGGGAAGTTCTACAGAACCAGCTAGGCATTCGTCCACCAACCCGGACTGCCCCCTCCACAAATAGCTCAGCGCCTGCAGTGGTGGGGAATCCTGGTGTGACTGAAGTGAGCCCTGAGTTTCTGGCTGCCCTGCCTCCAGCTATTCAGGAGGAAGTATGTGAGCGGGAAGGTGGTGGGGCCAGCCTGCCTGGCAGGAGAAATGCCCTCATTGACTTCTTGTGCTCCATAGGTACTGGCACAGCAGAGAGCTGAGCAGCAGCGACGAGAACTGGCACAGAATGCCAGCTCAGACACCCCTATGGACCCTGTGACCTTCATCCAGACTCTGCCCTCAGACCTGCGCCGTAGTGTCCTAGAGGATATGGAGGACAGCGTGTTAGCTGTGATGCCACCTGACATTGCAGCTGAGGCTCAAGCCCTGAGACGAGAGCAGGAAGCCCGGCAGCGACAGCTCATGCATGAGCGTCTGTTTGGGCACAGTAGCACCTCCGCACTCTCTGCTATTCTCCGAAGCCCGGGTACAGAGGGAGGCAAGTGGGAGGGCTCTCAAAAGCTTTAGCTAGATGAGGCTATATTTTCTTACCTTTGTATTACCTGTATCCAATTTACACCCTCTCCACAATCTCAGTTTTCTTTTTCTTTTCCTTCCAGCTTTCACCAGTCGCCTAAGTGGCAACCGTGGGGTCCAATATACTCGCCTTGCTGTGCAGAGAGGTGGCACCTTCCAGATGGGGGGTGGCAGCAGCCATAACAGGTACCTTTGTCTATTTTTACCTTACTATATCACCACTCAAGTCTACTAGCCCAACTCCCTTAGCTTTATAGGTGGAGAAGCTAAAATCCTGACAGGCAGGCAGGATGGTCTCTCTAAGCCATTTCCTTGAATAAGTGAGAGAGCCAGATCCTTGGACTCCCCATTCAGAAAACTACACCTTTTGGTTAGTCTTGCTACTGAAGACCACAATCGCAAAAGCAGGCTGGCAGCAGGTGCTAACTATGGTTTTAACGAGAAGGAACACCACTTGTCTCTCATGCAAGTAGTAAAACAACTAACACCTGCCTTGAGTTTATAACACCTAGGCTAGGGAAGTATAGAGGAGTGAGTTAGCCAGGCTAAAACAGAGTGGGCCTGACATGGCAAAATGTGAAAAGAGTGATTGGTTCCTATAAGGCCACAAACTCCTGGTAGTCTAGAGAAGGCAGAAACTAGCATTGTCTCCTAGACTTAGGTACAGTCAGATTTTACCAGTCTATGGATGACACCTCTGCTGTCTTCTCAGTTGCCGTGTGATGTAGGGCAAGTCACTTAACCTGTTTGAGCCTCTTGTTTATCATCTCAAAAATGGGTGGTTCTCGGCCAGGTGTCGTGGCTCACGCCTATAATCCCAGCACTTTGGGAGGCTGAGGCAGGTGGATCACTTGAGTCCAGGTGTTCAAGACCAGCCTAGGCAACATGGCAAACCTGATCTCTACTAAAAATACAATAAGTAGTCGGGTGTGGTGGCGCACACTAGTAATCCCAGCTACTCGGGAGGCTGAGGCATGAGAATCACTTGAACCCCAGCGGGTAGAGGTTGCAATGAGCCGATACCGTGCCACTGCACTCCAGCCTGGGTGACAGAGTGAGACTCCATCTCATCATAAAGCTGTTGGGGGTGGGGGTTGATTCTCTAAGCTGTACAGCAGCCCTGAAAGGATGATGTACAGTCATTGTAAAGTGCGTGGTACATAGTAGACACCTAAGAGGGCAGCTGTTACTATGAAGAGCCCTTGGACTGGACACCCTCCTTTCTCAAGCTTCCATGGAGATACCCAGCTCATTCCCCTCTCCCATTCTTATGCCTAATCCCAGAGCTCTAGCCACTGAAGTGTTACCCAAAAACCATGTTCTGTTTCCAGGCCTTCTGGCAGTAATGTAGATACTCTCCTCCGCCTCCGAGGACGGCTCCTTCTGGACCACGAAGCCCTTTCTTGTCTCCTGGTCCTACTTTTTGTGGATGAGCCAAAGCTCAATACTAGCCGTCTACACCGAGTACTGAGAAATCTCTGCTACCATGCCCAGACCCGCCACTGGGTCATCCGCAGTCTGCTCTCCATCTTGCAGCGCAGCAGTGAGAGTGAGCTATGCATTGAAACACCCAAACTCACTACAAGTGAGGAAAAGGGCAAAAAGTCGAGCAAGAGCTGTGGGTCAAGTAGCCATGAGAACCGTCCCCTGGACCTGCTACACAAGATGGAGTCGAAGAGCTCCAACCAGCTTTCCTGGCTCTCAGTATCCATGGATGCGGCCCTAGGCTGCAGGACTAATATATTTCAGATCCAGCGTTCAGGGGGGCGTAAACATACAGAGAAGCATGCAAGTGGTGGCTCCACCGTCCACATCCACCCCCAAGCTGCTCCTGTTGTCTGCAGACACGTTTTGGACACACTCATTCAACTGGCCAAGGTGAGGGTTTCGAACCCAACTCCTGGGGATGGAAGAAGGGTGGCAGCAAGAGCCTGGGTGAAAGTTGAACACTAAGCAGGCTAAACACTAAGCAGGCTAGCGTGTCTTTTTGCTCTTATTTTAAGTGTTGAGCCCTGTATTGTTTCTGGGGGATTGTCCTATATATTCTTGGGGTTTTTTCATTCTTTTCCATTTTTATGTATTAATCATCAAAACAACTGGGCTATATGATTCCTGTTTTACAGATGAAGAACCTGGGATTCAGAACATTTTATTCATTTTATCATATGATTAGAAAGTGATGGAGCTGGACCTAGAATTTAGTGTTCTTTCGATAATAAGCATTGCTGCCATCTATCAAAGGCCTGCCTTATGCCAGGCACTGTGCAATACATCATGTCGTTTAATCTCCAACAACTTTGCAAGGAAGTGTAGTTATCCTCTCCATTTTATGAGTGCAGAGACTAAAACTCAGGAAAAGTTTGCTCATGAGTCTGTATTGCTACAAAGCCCTCATTCATTTCTCTAGGCTGCTTTACTATCTGTTGGATAAAACTCTTATATGACATATCCCCCAATATTTACCAAAATTGTCCGAAGGAGAGTCTGGGAACAGTTGTCTTTTCCCTATCAGGAAGGCTCATCCTCTGTGAAGACGTCCTAGACCAAGCCTGTCCTCCTTTTCCCGGCAGGTATTTCCCAGCCACTTCACACAGCAGCGGACCAAAGAAACAAACTGTGAGAGTGATCGGGAAAGGGGCAGTAAGGCCTGTAGCCCATGCTCCTCACAGTCCTCCAGCAGTGGCATTTGCACAGACTTCTGGGACTTACTGGTAAAACTGGACAACATGAATGTCAGCCGGAAAGGCAAGAACTCCGTGAAGTCAGTGCCAGTGAGCGCTGGCGGTGAGGGGGAAACCTCTCCATATAGCCTTGAGGCCTCTCCACTGGGGCAGCTCATGAACATGTTGTCACACCCAGTCATCCGCCGGAGCTCTCTCTTAACTGAGAAACTCCTCAGACTCCTTTCTCTCATCTCAATTGCTCTCCCAGAAAACAAGGTGTCAGAAGCACAGGCTAATTCTGGCAGCGGTGCTTCCTCCACCACTACTGCCACCTCAACCACATCTACCACCACCACCACTGCCGCCTCTACCACGCCCACACCCCCTACTGCACCCACCCCTGTCACTTCTGCTCCAGCCCTGGTTGCTGCCACGGCTATTTCCACCATTGCCGTAGCTGCTTCGACCACAGTGACTACCCCCACGACTGCTACCACTACTGTTTCAAGTAAGTGTGGATGTAGACTGGGAGCTGTAGGGTATATACTGTTGCACCCACTTCACCCCCTTTTCCATCCAGATAGTTCTCCCTCAGTGATAGTAATCAGCTTGGTTTGTGTTTGTGAGAGCAGGATGTGTCCATTCTCAACCTCATCTGTCCCAGTTCTCTCACTCTCCCTTCCTCCATCCCTGTCTCTCTTTCTCTCTCGCTCTCTCCCCTGCCTCTCATACACACACACCTTTGAAGGTCAGCAGGCATTCACTGAATGTGGCTTCCCTAGGCTAGGCACCAAAAGGAGGAAAGAAAGTTCCATCCTCAGGGAATTCCCAGCCTTTGCAGTCTTGTTGAGGGAGCCAGTTCTCATGGGAAATAGTTAAAGGGCAGGCAGGATACAGTGTGATTCAGAGTAACCAGATCATCCCCGGAAATAAATGGAAATCTGTCCCTGCTACAAATTAGTAAGAATTATCTGAAGAAGTAGGTTTTAAAGAATAGAGGGGGCCATAATGGTGGGGGAATAGTTGGAAGAAATGCCTGGGGTTGTTGATCAGCTTAGAAGTTACAGTCATAGGAGTCCTCTTTGAGTTTATGGTGAGACCTGATTGCACCACTGCATTCTAGCTTGGGCAACAGAGCGAGACCCTGTCTCTAATAAAAAATAAAAAGCCTTTAGCATCCCAAGTCATTTAGATTTGCCTTTGGTGGGTGGGTTTTCCTTTTCAGTACTTTCCCATTTTGAAGCCCTGGGCAATTCAGTGATTCCTTGGTTTTGTCACTTAGTCCCTGGCTTGTGAGTTTCACAGAGGCTTAAAGTGTTCTGTCTGTTTTCTCAAAGTTTCTGCCACTACTAAGGGCAGCAAATCTCCAGCGAAGGTGGGTGATGGGGGCAGCAGCAGTACAGACTTTAAGATGGTGTCCTCTGGCCTCACTGAAAACCAGCTACAGCTCTCTGTAGAGGTGAGTCCAAGCTCTTCTGACCTGCTAAGACTTGGGGAGAAAGGATAAACAGGGTAGATAATGATTTTGTTCTCAGGCTGGAGCTTACTCCTCCTGTCTTCTTTTTCTCAGGTGTTGACATCCCACTCTTGTTCTGAGGAAGGCTTAGAGGATGCAGCCAACGTACTACTGCAGCTCTCCCGGGGGGACTCTGGGACCCGGGACACTGTTCTCAAGCTGCTACTGAATGGAGCCCGCCATCTGGGTTATACCCTTTGTAAACAAATAGGTAATAGCAGGAGTAAAGCATTCTTCTCTCTTTCTGAAAGTTTCCATTTAGGTGCTTCCTCTTTCTGGAATCCTTTCCTGAATCCCCAAGCTGAATCAGATACCTCCATGTCCCTATAACACAGCCTCCATGCTCCTTCTGTCTGTCGTAACACAGATTACCCTGGGTTATCATCTGTTTTCCTCTGCTCAGTTATTTGAAAGCAAGGCTGGGTTTGTCTCCTCATCCCCGCTGCCGGCACACATTGGTGCTTAATAAAGGGAAAAAAGAACATGTGGGAACAGCAGTGCCTGTCTTCTCCATGCTGGGCACTCGTAATAACCCTGTGATAAGACTGCTGAGGCAACTTCACCCCTTCAAAGTATGTGTCTACACTGCATTCAGCCTCAGGAATTACAGAGTCAGAATAGTACTCTCTGCTCTTGTGTAATTTTGAAGATAAAAAATTCTAAGAACAGTTACAAATTACCTAGTTTCTATCATCTTCCTCCCTGTTTTACTGAGAAGAAAGCCAAAACCCAGGGTGATAAAGTGATTGGACCAAGGAGTACAGCCAGGTTTTCTTTCAACATAGAGTCTCTCTACCCTGTCCCACCCTCATCCCAATCATGAGTCTCCCTAGATCTTGGCTACATACTTAGTTCTGTCTCTCCTTCACTCCCATGTCCCTAAGTCTGGGGTGATAGGAGAGTTGGTTGGCCTGTATAACTCAGGGTGTTCTTTGCTGCATGAAAATTACAACATTCTTCCAGAAAGAATTTGGCCTCTGACCTTTCTCTCTTGGCTGCCACCATCTATTCCACACCTATGGGCCAGGCACTGTCTAGGCAGTCTACCATGTATTTATCTCTTAATTCTTATAGCAACCTTGTGAGGTTAGGCAGTAATATTCCCAATATTAATATTGGTAAGCAAATTGGGCAAGGGGTCAAGAAATTTGCCTGAAACCACCACAGAACCTCAGTAATTTTGAGAGATATATGGGATTTCAATCAGGATCTGTCTAGCTCCAGAGGAGATACTGTTTCTCTTCTACATGAAACTCATTTCATACAGATTAAGCAGATCCCTGTGGCCATAGGTAAATTGATAGTCCCAGGTGACGATCCATGGACACACATAAAAAGCTGAACAGAGCACAATTCCAGCTCACTCTAGGTTCTTTGCAACTGAGCAACGAAGAGTGGCCTAAGCAGGTGTCTTAGAGAGATTTGGCTTTTAGCCACTTTACCAGGGGAGTCTCTGAACACTTGCTGACTCCTCTGCCTGCTCAGGTACCCTGCTGGCCGAGCTGCGGGAATACAACCTCGAGCAGCAGCGGCGAGCCCAATGTGAAACCCTCTCTCCTGATGGCCTGCCCGAGGAGCAGCCACAGACCACCAAGCTGAAGGGCAAAATGCAGAGCAGGTGGGTGGTAGCCACCCTTTGACTGGGGGCTTGAATCTGGGATATTCTGGAAGATGGCTCTTGCTGGTTTCCTGGTCTTTTTTATTTCTCTGGGTGATTTTCGTATCTTTCCTATACACACTTGACCCATTTTTTTCTACTTTCTACTTGGAAGATTTCCTTCTGAGTTTCCTTACCCCTCTGGTTGACACCAGGAAGCCTTGCTTGCTTTGGGTGTTTATACTTTGATGCTGTCAATATACGCAAGCCACCTCTACACTATCCAGGTTTGACATGGCTGAGAATGTGGTAATTGTGGCATCTCAGAAGCGACCTTTGGGTGGCCGGGAGCTCCAGCTGCCTTCTATGTCCATGTTGACATCCAAGACATCTACCCAGAAGTTCTTCTTGAGGGTACTACAGGTCATCATCCAGCTCCGGGACGACACGCGCCGGGCTAACAAGAAAGCCAAGCAGACAGGCAGGCTAGGTATGGAACTAGAGTGTCCAGTTGAGGGGAAGGGTTGGTGGCGGTAAAGCCAGAGTCCTTGGAGGTGCAGGACTTAATGGCCTGTCTCCTTCCTGTTTGACCTTTCCAAAAGGAAAATGATTATCCTTTTTTCAGAATGTTGATGGCTGCATTCTACATCTCATTCAAGCTATCTGCGTAGGAAATTCATTAGGGGGAGCGGGAATTAAGGGGGAGTGGAAATCTGGCAGGGAAGTTGGGGGCCAACCTTTTGCTGAACAAGACTTAACTCACTAGGTGCATCTCCTTTCTGCTTCCTTGGTCATTTCTAACTAAGCCGTGGCTTGACAAATCATTTTCCCTGCCTCTTTCCTCCTGTCCCACAGAACCCTCTCGCACAAAACCATCCGTCTGTCTAGCATCATGCCCCCTGCCCTTATCTGTAATGGTAAATCTTAGCGCCTGATGATGAGTGCTCTGAAGCTTCCTGAGCTAAAGCTCAAAAGACCTCAGCAAGATGCCCTGTGGCAGCCCAGGAGATAGGAGAGAGAATATTGGGCTTTCCCTCTTCCTATATTTTATATCTTGCCTTCCTCTTTCTCTTTCTCCCAGGTTCCTCCGGTTTAGGCTCAGCTAGCAGCATCCAGGCAGCTGTTCGGCAGCTGGAGGCTGAGGCTGATGCCATTATACAAATGGTACGTGAGGGTCAAAGGGCGCGGAGACAGCAACAAGCAGCAACGGTTAGCATGATGCCTGTGGCCCCTCATTCATTTGTCTCTCCACTCATCCCCCCACCATGTCATCAGTGGGGTTTCATTGCCTTTACCTTGTATGCTTTTGCATTAAGTTTGCTATATGAATGCTTCTGGACAAAAGGGTTACTTTCTGTTGGTGTTTTCCTATTTGTTGATTGGTTTGTTGGTTTGATTTGATTTAAAGCTTGGCCATCATACCCCACTCCCAGCTATCCAGTCAACAGTGGCGCTTTTGCAAACTGCCTGATGCTAAGTGTTGTCTGGGTTCTGAGGGGATATGGGGTGAAGTTTTTTTTCAGTCTCATGGAACAATGCAGGTACATCAGAAACATCTCAGGAATCCTACCATTGAAAGTCCCCCAAGTTTGGTACATATCCCACACAGCCACTTCTGTCTGTGGCTGCTCCCTCCACCCTGCCCTCTGCCTTTATTCTCTGTAATCCCTTGGTACGTAGGCACTCAGGCACTTTTAGGAGGAAACCTTCAGGTACTTAAATAGCCAACTCAGTGTTGGGGTCCCGGCATTGAGTGGCTGCAGTAAAAGCCTGGCATCACATATGTATGCTGTGGCACTCCCTCATTGTTTTCCTGTCCTTGCAACATGTAAGTTACCTTTCCAAGGTCCAAGAAAGGTATCCTAAGACCTGATATTTCTTTGCATATAATTACTGTTACACAGTATGGTTTTATTGAATAGGCAGGGAAAAGCCTTGAACTTAAGGGAAGTGACTCTAGGAAGGTAGAAAGGGAAAATAAAGCTGTTATTCTGGAGTATTTTTTCTGCCTAGTCTCTTTCCCATTACCCAAAAAGATGTTGGCTTTTTAAATTATCCCACTCATGAGAGGTTGCTCTAATTCTCCTGTTATTTCCCCTTTTGTGAGCAAACAGAAACAAAGAGCAAACCTACCTTCCACCCATCTGAATCTTTTATACATACATACATACATACACACACACACACACACACACACACACACACACACACACCCCAGAAGACGACGAAGTTTGTATACAGGAGGCTAGTTCTGACTGGTCACAGATCTGGATTGTAGACTGTAGGAAATGTAGGCATCTGAGGAGCTGTTGGGAAAAGCTTGGAAAACTTACACTGGAGAAAAGCAGAAGAGTTGAGAAAGGCATCCTTTTGTCCTGGATAGCTACAATTTCCCCACCCAAATATGGGAAGTTTCTTTGCAAGCTCAATGTGTGAGAAGTGGAAGGGCCAACCTCTAGCCTACCTCTAAGGAAAGCAGAGTTGCACCCTTATGTGATTTTTGTCTCCCTTTTATCCAGTCGGAGTCTAGCCAGTCAGAGGCATCTGTCCGGAGGGAGGAATCACCCATGGATGTGGACCAGCCATCTCCCAGTGCTCAAGATACTCAATCCATTGGTCAGTACTACTTCCTGTTTCCAGCTGAGCAAAAGTCTTCTGGAATGTCTGCTGAATCCTCTGCTCCCAGCATATATAAGCCCAGTGTTTTCCCATTTCTTCCAGTAAACCCTGGTTTCTGTAAATGATAACAGGTGTTTGACAACCAAGGCACACTTTTCTTTCCTGTAGTAAAGAAACTATATGTTGGGATATTATGCATTCAGACAGCATGTTTTTGTGGGGTTTTTTGTTATTGTGGTGGTGGTTTTTGAGACAGTCTCCCTCTGTTGCCAGGCTAGAATGCCGTGGCACGATCTCACTGCAACCTCTGCCTCCTGGGTTCAAGCAATTCTCATGTCTCAGTCTCCCAAGTAGCTGGGATTACAGGCACGCACCACCACACCTGGCCAGTTTTTGTATTTTTTTTTTAGTAGAGACGGAGTTTTGCCATGTTGTCCAGGCTGGTCTCAAACTCCTGACCTCAGGTGATCCACCTGCCTTGGCCTCCCGAAGTGTTAGAATTACAGGCGTGAGCCACCGCGCCCAGCCCAGCATGTGTTTTAAAACTTTTGTTTTATTATTGAGGCAGGGTCTTTCTCCGTCACCTAAGCTAGGATGCAGTAACGCAGTCATAGCTCACTGCAATCTCAAACTTCTGGGCTCAGTCAATCCTCCTGCCTCGGCTATGAGTAGCTGGGACTATAAGGGACAGGCCACCATGCCCAGCTATTTTTTTTTATTTTTGTAGAAATGGAGTCTCACTATGTTGCCCGGGCTGGTCTTGAACTCCTGGCCTCAAGCCATCCTCTCACTTCAGTCTCCCATGTTTTATTTATTTATTTATTTATTTATTTATTTATTTATTTATTTTTGAGTCGTAGTCTCGCTGTGTCGCCCAGAGTGGAGTGCAGTGGTGCCATCTTGGCTCACTGCAACCTCCGCCTCCTGGGTTAAAGTGATTGTCCTGCCTCAGCCTCCCAAGTAGATGGGATTACAGGCATCCGCCACCATGCCCGGCTATTTTTTTTTTTTTTTTTTTTTTTTTTGTATTTTTAGTAGAGACAGGGTTTCGCCATATTGGCCCGGCTGGTTTCGGACTCCTGACCTCAGGTAATCCACCCGCCTCGGCCTCCCAAAGTGCTGGGATTACAGGTATGAGCCACGGCCGACCAGCCTTAGTCTCCCATGTTTTAAATCTTGGCTCCCCCATTTACTGGCTCTGGGACCTGAGGCAAACCTCTTCATTAGGTTTCCTTGTTTAAAATAGGAATGTTCAGTTCTTAGGATTAAATGAGTTAACACATGTATAGTGGTTACAGAAGCCTTGTAGGACAACCATTGTTGAAATGCTGTATTAAGTCATTTACTTTTCATCAGGATTTGGGGAGATAGATGTTATTCCTGTGTTCTGTATTCACCTTCTTTTACCTAAGGTAATATGATTTGCAAGTACCAGAGCCAGGATTCAAACCTAAGGCTGTCAGAACCTTGAAGAATAGTCAGGATTTGGGTAAAGAATGAACAGCAAAGGTCAAGAAGAAACCTAAGCAGGGCAGGTGTATGGGGGTCGGGAGTTGATGAGGAAACAGTCACTCCCCACCCAGAAGATGGGGCTGGGTCTTGCTGCTGAGCAGAGGTTAGAATAAGCCCCCAGTGAATATCAGGAAAAGTACCAGCCATGGGGTTCCATCAGTCACACCATGGCTTCTCAGGGTTTTAAACTGCCCCAGGACAAGATGACTAATTTAGAAGGCATTAGACAGCTGGGCGTGGTGGCTCAGGCCTGTAATCCCAGCACTTTGGGAGGCCAAGGCAAGTGGATCACAAGGGCAGGAGTTCAAGACCAGCCTGACCAACATGATGAAACCAAGTCTCTACTAAAAATACAAAAATTAGTTGGGCATGGTGGCTTGCGCCTGTAATTCCAGCTACTCAGGAGGCTGAGGCTGGAGAATCACTTGAACCTGGGAGGTAGAGGTTGCAGTGAGCCAAGATCACACCACTGCACTGCAGCCTAGGCAGCAGAACGAGACTCTGTCTCAGAAAAAAAAAAAAAAAGGCATTAGACTTAGGGTTAGTTAGAAAGATCTAGTTTGATGTCCTGGTGCTGTCCTCCTCGGAAACCAAAATGAGGAAAAGACAGCCTACTTTCCAAGGCCAGCTGTCAGAATTCAATGACGATAGTGTCCTAAAACGTCCTGTGTAAACTGGACAGCAACCATCCAAAACTCCACTGTTGTCACATTACCCTGAGGTAATCCACAGATTCTCTTGAAACTAGTGAGGCGGTGACTAGACTAGCACTGTCTGGAACTGCAGTAGCACCTGTGGCTTTTGAGCACCTTAAATGTGGCTAGTGCACCTGAGGAGCCAGATTCATTATTTTATTTATTCTATTCAATGTAAATGCCATACAGTACAGTCCTAGACCTTGTTTCAGATGTTGCTCGGTGAGTACCACTGAGTGGCCAATGATCCCCTCTACTTGCTCTGTATATTAGTTGGTGTGTTTGGTCTAGAAAAAGCTAAGTAGAAGGGAAATTTTGAAAACTTTGACTCTCCTCTGTGTGCCCTCCAGCCTCCGATGGAACCCCACAGGGGGAGAAGGAAAAGGAAGAAAGACCACCTGAGTTACCCCTGCTCAGTGAGCAGTTGAGCTTGGACGAGCTGTGGGACATGCTGGGGGAGTGTCTAAAGGAACTAGAGGAATCCCATGACCAGCATGCTGTGCTAGGTAAGTTGTGGGCTAAAGGCCCAGGTCCTTACCCACTGGTCTGCTCTGGGGACCTTCCTGCCAGCTTGTTTTTCTTCCTTCCAGGTTATTCCTCTCAGTGTCTCTGTAATGAGAATTCAAAAGAGAAGCGTTTTTTCTCTGACCTCAGTATAAAAAAGATTGACCTTTTCTTTTAATAGCTGGTGTCTTGCACTTTGTAGAGAAGGTGAATCTTTATAACTGGTTACCTATCCTATTTTTCTTTGGCATCAAGGAAGTTCCTCTGTGACTTGGTTCTACTATCATATTTCCTTGCAAGTTCTCATTGTTTCTACTTTTTTTTTTTTTTTTTTTTTTAATCAGAAATGAAGTTTCACTATGTTGCCCAGGGTGATCTCAAACTCCTGGGCTCAAGCAATTTTCCCACCTCGGCCTCCCAGATTGCTGGGATCATAGGTGTGAGCCACCACACCTAGCCTAGTTTTCATTATTTCTTCTTCCATATTTATTTTTATAATTTGTTTTTGAGGGCAAACAGGTTTGCATGTTGAAGTTTGCAAAGTAAAATGTTACTTTCCCATCATTCCTACCCCTAGTGCTACAGCCTGCCGTCGAGGCCTTCTTTCTGGTCCATGCCACAGAGCGGGAGAGCAAGCCTCCTGTCCGAGACACCCGTGAGAGTCAGCTGGCACACATCAAGGACGAGCCTCCTCCACTCTCCCCTGCCCCCTTAACCCCAGCCACGCCTTCCTCCCTTGACCCATTCTTCTCCCGGGAGCCCTCATCTATGCACATCTCCTCAAGCCTGCCCCCTGACACACAGAAGTTCCTTCGCTTTGCAGGTACAGGGAACTTTTAGGCTGCCAGGTGTAGAAGGCTTCATTTTAAACAGTGTTGTTCCATACAATTAATCCTTAGCGATTCCAGAGAGAGAGAGAGAGAGAGAGAGTGTGTGTGTGTGTGTACACACCTGTGTATGTAAACCCTGCATGGTTTCCCATGGCCTCAGGATACTAGCCTCAGATTTAGAATAGAAATACTCAGATTCACATTCACACCTCAAGGGTTGGCCCTTGGTTTTCATTAGTCCTTTTAGAGCCCTGAAATAGGGAAGAGGAAGGAAGAGAGAGTTACTAGCTGGTTGGCTGTCTTACAGCTTCTGGGGCCCATGATGTACTTAATTCTCGCTGTCACTTCTCCCCTCAGAGACTCACCGCACTGTGTTAAACCAGATCCTACGGCAGTCCACGACCCACCTTGCTGATGGGCCTTTTGCTGTCCTGGTAGACTACATTCGTGTCCTCGACTTTGATGTCAAGCGCAAGTATGTGTCCTGGATATTGGGGGGTGGAGGGGTGGTGAGAACTCCTCAAATGGTAACTCACCTCTGAAGCTACTCTTGAGGCCACAAGTTTCCTTTGGTGGCAGCACTTGGAATATAGTGGTGGTGGGGAGGGAAGAGACAGGTGTACCATTGATGGCCATACCTAAATACTCCTTGGGCTTCTCCACCCCATCTGCATTTTTCATCAGCAAAGCAGAGTCACATGATTTTTGAACCACACGATTTCTAAAGTTCTGTTTCATCCTTTGGGGGTAGTACAGGAGGCACAGGTGGCCGTAGTACATGCACAGCAGGGTTCCAGGGCTTACACAACACTCCTGGAGTCTTCCCTATGCCTCTCCTCCTCGTGCATGTGTACATGCTTACCTGCTTGTGGGAGAAATCACATGTCACAATCTTTGTGGGTCCTTACTCAGTGGAGGTAAGAAAAATTTAGTGTTGGTAATGAGTGATCTACCTCTCCCAACTACTGGGCATTTCCCAAACAGTGGGGAGCAGAGATCAAAGTGTTTGGAGGATAGAGGAAGCATCATTGTGGAAGGTCTTCTTCCTAATCACACAAACAAATTTGTTCTGCCACCCTTAATCCTGTCTTCCTTCCTTTTCTACCTCCCAAGATATTTTCGCCAAGAGCTGGAGCGTTTAGATGAGGGGCTCCGGAAAGAAGACATGGCTGTGCATGTCCGTCGTGACCATGTGTTTGAAGACTCCTATCGTGAGCTGCATCGCAAATCCCCTGAAGAAATGAAGAATCGATTGTAAGGGCCCAGGAATGGAGAAAAGATGGCGGGTGGGAGGTGGGGCCTCCTGCGCAGTAGTGATGGCTTGCTTTAGCCTCAAATTTAGGGAGGTGCTGCCTAAATTTGAGACAGGAAAGTCTTTAGTGTTTATAAAGATATACCTGCTGGCTTTGCAATGAGAGCTTTACCATTGCTGTACTAGGAATGCCCATGTATGAGTGGCCTCCACCAAACTGGTAACTGCTCACCGGTGATTCTGAAGCCACCTAGAGGAGATCAGCAGTTTTTGATACTGAGCATAGGAGCTGATGAGATGAAAGACCTATTCGAGTCATTTAATGATTCCTCCCCATCTCTTGTGTGGGCTCACCATCTGTGTAATCACAAGAGGTCAGGGAGTCTCCCTAGACAGACTATATGCCATGTTCTTCCACCAAATACCTTCAAAGAATTTGGACTCTGGGCTTATCCCTCTCTAATACCACTTTTCTCCCCTCCCGACTTAACCTAAGCAAGCCTTCATTTATTCCTCTGATACCTTTCCTATTGGTGTTTTCCGGAATATCTGTTAACCTTGACTATTTTGGGACATCTCTGTCAGTGGTGCTTTTGTTTGGTCCCAGATCTCCACCCCACTTCTGGGCTGTCCTGGCACTCTCTGTTCACCTCTTCATCTGACACTGCACCCCCAGACACTGCTTCACAGTCTCTCACTCGCACAAATGACTGGATGTATCCTGGGTTTTCTGCACAGCTCTTTTCTGCTTCTGCTTTCTTATGCAGGTATATAGTGTTTGAAGGAGAAGAAGGGCAGGATGCTGGCGGGCTCCTGCGGGAGTGGTACATGATCATCTCTCGAGAGATGTTTAACCCTATGTATGCCTTGTTCCGTACCTCACCTGGTGATCGAGTCACCTACACCATCAATCCATCTTCCCACTGCAACCCCAACCACCTCAGCTACTTCAAGTTTGTCGGACGCATTGTGGCCAAAGCTGTATATGACAACCGTCTTCTGGAGTGCTACTTTACTCGATCCTTTTACAAACACATCTTGGGCAAGTCAGTCAGGTGAGAATGAGGCATAGTCCTGGGACTATCCTCAGTCCTGGGGGTCTTGTATTTTTGTGTCCCATCCTTGTGCTCCCTCTTCCCCCAACCCACAAACCATGACCCTGTATAATTGTGTTTTTCTAGATATACAGATATGGAGAGTGAAGATTACCACTTCTACCAGGGTCTGGTTTATCTGCTGGAAAATGATGTCTCCACACTAGGCTATGACCTCACCTTCAGCACTGAGGTAGGTCAAGAAATCCTAATCACAGCACATTCCAGCCAATATAGAAGATCCATTCCAGGTTCACCTTAGAACTAGCACTGCGTGACTTTCTCATAGTTCTAGGGAAGCATCTTGACTTCTTAAAGCTGCAGCAGGTGTTTGTGAGTGACATCACAAACAGGAAAACCAGGATTTGCAGGCCACTCCCTAGTTTCACCTTTATTTAAAAAATAAATAAATGAATAAAATGCTCTAGTACATAATTCTTCATCACCAAGGGTGAATGTAGAAATTTTGTACACCAGCTATTGATTGTAGAAAAATTGTACAAATATAAGTGGGGGGTAAATGAAGGTAATTAAGGTTACTCTTCTCCCAAATTGTTTTCGTAAGAGATTACATTCCGTTATGTATGTTAGCCATTTCCTTTTCCCTTTTACCACTGACAGTTGCCTTACTCTCTTCTGGCTTCTTTGTGGGTCTTAGAGCCAAAGAGTATTTTCCTCTTTCCTACCCAAAGCCTTTCCCTATCAGGCGAGTTGCTAGCTGTGAGTAGTGAAAAAAGTCACTGTTTTGTATGGACTTGCCTCATCTCTCTGCCCAGGACATGGCAAGGAGTTTAGGGTGTGTTCCTCGGTATCTAATCCCATCCTAGACTAAGTCTGATATGTATGATTGGTGTTTTGGTTGTTCTAGGTCCAAGAGTTTGGAGTGTGTGAAGTTCGTGACCTCAAACCCAATGGGGCCAACATCTTGGTAACAGAGGAGAATAAGAAGGAGTATGTACACCTGGTATGCCAGATGAGAATGACAGGTAGGGGAAATGTTCCTAGTCCTCTAGTTGCTCAATATGAGAAGAGGTCAGACTTGATTCATTTGATAGGCATATTTTGTTTTCCTCCACTATGACAAAGCCACAAATACCTTGTACAAAAGACAAAACACTTGATCACAAATACTTAACTTTGGGCGTGGTGGCTCATGCCTGTAATCCCAGCACTTTGGGAGGCCAAGGTGGGTGGATCAGTTGAGGTCAGGAGTTTGAGACCAGCCTGGCCAACATGGTGAAACTCCGTCTCTACTAAAATAAAAAATTAGCCGGGTGTGGCAGCGTGTGCCTGTAGTCCCAGCTACTTGGGAGGCTGAGGCAGAAGAATTGCTTGAACCTGGGAGGTGGAGGTTGCAGTGAGCTGAGATTGCACCACTCTACTCCAGCCTGGGTGACAGAGTGAGACACCGTCTCAAAAACAAAACAAAACAAACAAAAAAACACCACTGGGCACAGTGGCTCACACTTGTAATCCTAGCACTTTGGGAGGCTGAGGCAGGAGGATAGCTTGAGTCCAGGGAGTTGAGACTAGCCTGGGCAAAATCAACCAGGCGTGGTGGTGCATGCCTGTAGTCCCAGCTAACAGTGGTAGATGGGAGCCAGACTGGGGATCTCTGACCTCTACAGTTGTGTGAGTTTAGAAATCATGTGGCTTTTTGGTTATCTCACCAGGAGCCATCCGCAAGCAGCTGGCGGCTTTCTTAGAAGGCTTCTATGAGATCATTCCAAAGCGCCTCATTTCCATCTTCACTGAGCAGGAGTTAGAGCTGCTTATATCAGGACTGCCCACCATTGACATCGATGATCTGAAATCCAACACTGAATACCACAAGTACCAGTCCAACTCTATTCAGGTGAGCTGCTGCTGGCATCCCTCTTCATATGGTCCTCTCATATGGTCTTCTAGGCAACGCTAGTTTGTGTGATAACAAATAAACCCGTAGTACTCTTAGAGGACGGTGCATGTAGAAGACAGTCTACCTATATCTAACTCTGTTCTCCTGGAGCATAGCCGACTTCTCTTGGCCATCTTATGAATGAAAGGGACTGAAGCTCGTCCCACAGAAGGGACTTGCCTCAGATACCAAGTCCAGTCCTATTTCCCAGATTCCATCCCCCTACCCTGCTTCTAGGAGCTTTCTGCCTAACACTGGCTTCATGGGTCCTTTCTTACAGATCCAGTGGTTCTGGAGAGCATTGCGTTCTTTCGACCAAGCTGACCGTGCCAAGTTCCTCCAGTTTGTCACGGGTACTTCCAAGGTACCCCTGCAAGGCTTTGCTGCCCTCGAAGGCATGAATGGCATTCAGAAGTTTCAGATCCATCGAGATGACAGGTCCACAGATCGCCTGCCTTCAGCTCACACATGGTAAAAGGAAGGGTTTGTTTCTCCTTTTCAGCGCTTAGATTGAGCTTGCATACTTGATGTTTTCAGGACCCTACCCAAGATTGGGAACGCAAATGTGGCTGAGTCCTGGACCTTGGGTAACTCACAATTTGGTGTTTCTATGGAGGTGATGTTTGAGATGAGATGTGCTAGACACAGCGGGGGTTGGGGAGACACTGGCAGGTAAACAGCACCACAAGAAAGCATGGTGTATTCCAGGACCAGCGTGACTGGAGCAAGGAGGAGTTGCAGGGAGCAGAAGTCTAAAGAGCTCAACAGAGTGACTCTGAAAACCTCCTTCAAGTTTGCACTTTAGCCTGTGGGCGAGTGAGGCCAGGGTGTTTAAGGAGGAGTGACAGGGTCAGATTTTTGGTTTGGTGCCCGATTGCCAGTTTGGGAGCCAGATAAAGGAGGGCAGACTGGGCTGAGACAAGATTGGGAGTCATCAAGAAGCAGGGAGTTGGTTTCTTCAGGGAGGGGAGGGGCTGGTGGGCACCATGGGAGCACACAGGTTTGGTTATCTGTCATCCCTCACCACGAACTGATCTTTCTTCTTTCCTTAGTTTTAATCAGCTGGATCTGCCTGCCTATGAGAGCTTTGAGAAGCTCCGCCACATGCTACTATTGGCTATCCAGGAGTGCTCTGAAGGCTTTGGGCTGGCCTAATAAGGCCCTGCCCACCTCTGTGGGTTTTTTTTACCATTGTTGGACCTGGGGAGGGGGGAGTTAAAAAAAGAACCAGAAAGAAATTGTCAAAAACCAATAAATGAAATCCACCAACTCACCGTGTGTGTCCCAGCTGCCCCATCTTCCCCAGCGCATACCTATTCCTCTTCTCATTCTCTCCCCGCCACCTGTTTCCTCACCTTCTCTCCCCTTTCCATGCCGTCCATGATCCCCGCCCCATGTGTTTAAAAGGCAGTAGCCTTTGCAGGGACCTGTCTGTCCCAACTGTTTGAACAGTGTGCTCCTCAGATTCTGTGTTCAGAAGGATTTGCTGCATTGAGACTTGAAACCTTTGGATAGGGGAAAAAATTATATATATATATATTTTTTTGTTCTGTTTGCATTTCTTAATTTGTGCTTGGAATGTGTTGATGTGCACAGCTAATGATTCAATGCGAGACAAGATTGGCGTCTGTGTTGTGGAGGTTTCAAATAAAGAGCACTCTTCATAACTTACTTTTCACAATGGAGTTTTTTTCAAACTTTAAAAAAAAAAAAAAAACTCTTAAGCACATGCTAGGCATCTGGAGAAAAGATCCGAATGGATTCTCCAGGAAACCATCCCTGCCCGACCCACTTGTCCACCTACCTCCACCACTGGTGCAACTTCATCCTTCAGAGTCAGTTTCTGCAGTCAGGAGAGATTGGCAGTTCACCAGAAATTGGGGGTGGGGGCATCTGTTTTTTTTAGAATGGGAGCTGCACTTGGGGATGGTGATGGTGTTAAGAGATTGCAGCCCAGGACAAAGCATCACCTTGCTCAAGGGGAACAAACTGCAGCAGGTTGTACAAAACAGAGCTCACTTGACCCAGCCCAGGGTTTTACTTGGTGAGCCTTTCCAGTAGTCTTGAGTCTGGGGCTCAGTTTTAGGTTTTTATTTCATTAATGTTTGTTTGTTTCTAATAAATTTTAATAAGCAAGTAATTTAGGTCACCAGAAGACCATTCTTTTTGTTTGTCTATTTTTGTTGTCACTCCCTCTCTCATCATCTGTCTGCCAGTCTGTTCACAGATCACCTTGTAGTCCCTCGTGGTTTTTACTCCAGTGCTTAAAGCTGATCTAAGGACTTCGATGGTTCCAGCCTTCAAAGAAAAAAATAATTTAATAAAAATTTAGTTAGAAAAAATATCCCCAAGTGGTGCTTGCCTTGTGTGGTTTTTCTCATTCCCTGAGGGTGCTACTTCTGAACAGATTGTCCCCTTGACCTTGTCCCAAAGCGTGAGTCTAGGAAAGCAAGGGTGTGTCTTTAAGCTGATCCCCTGGTCCTGGAGCCAAGGCTGCTAGCCATTTCCCCCTTTTTTAGTGTTTCCACTCTTGTACCTGGCCCTTCTGAGAAGGCAGAGGAATCGCCCCGTCCCTGTTACTGAGCTTCTAGTAGGGAGGTGAAGACAGTGATTGGTTTTGTGACACATAGAAGTGCCTGGCCTAGCCTCGAGAGTCAGGGAAAGCTTTCCATCGTCAGTGCACTTGGATTGCAGCCTAAAGCTGTGTAGGAGTTGAGGTTAAGCACGGAGGGGTCATACAATTCAAGGCAGCAGGAGTTTAGTTGCTTAGAGTCCAGAGGGACTTTAAAATGGAAGAGAGAGACCAGGTGCAGTGGCTCACACCTGTATTTCCCAGCACTTTGGGAGGCTGAGGCGGGTGGGTCACCTGAGATAAGGAGTTCAAGACCAGCCTGGCCAAAACGGCAAAACCCTGTCTCTACTGAAAATACAAAAATTAGCCGGGCGTGCTGGCGGTCCTAGCCACCGCGCCAATCCCAGCCAGGCGCTGTGACACATGCCTGTAATCCCAGCTACTCGGGAGGCTGAGGCAGGAGAATTGCTTGAACCCAGGAGGCGAAGGTTGCAGTGAGCTGAGATCACGCCATTGCACTCCAGCCTGGGTGACCGAGTGAGACTCGGTCTCAAAAAGAAAAAAAGAAATAAGCAGAAAGAGTAGAATTTGTCAATAAGCAATAAGATTAACTGGTTCTTTGAAATAAAGGTCTGGCAGGTAATTTAAATTTGAAAGTAAAGGGGATTCCTGGGTTGGAGGTTGGGGGTTGGATGTGGAAGCTGGGAGTACACATCAAATAATCCTGTGGGAAATGGAAGCAAATCTCATTCAGTGGGATACTACAGAAACAGAACATGATCAAGTATGATTTGCCCCTGGGATATGTGTAATGTGATATTAATCACCTGTCAGATGAGAAACATTGTCCATAGATGGCAAGGCATTTGTTCACATTCAAGAACCATTCCTGGCAACCTTTAAAGGTAAAGTTCCTAGCTCGATAGGTAGTTTCAGACCAACAGCCAACATCACACTTGAAAGATAAGGTGGCTAATTATCACCATTAGTGCTGCTCTGCTATTCTGCAGTTTTCGATTTCAGTAAAACAGGAAACAAATGGTATAACTGTTAAAGAGAAACCATTTGCTAACAGAGTCAAAAGTTATTGGAGCGGGGCGTGGTGGTTCATGCTTTGTAATCCCAAGGCTTTCAGAGGCCAAGGTGGGAGGATTGCTTGGGTTCAGGAATTCAAGGCCAGCCTGGGCAACATAGCAAGACCTCCCCTCTACTAAAATTTTTTAAATAAATCTAGGCATGGTGGCACACACCTGTAGTCCCAGCTACTCAGGAAGCTGAGGTGGGATGATCACTTGAGCCCCAAAAATTAAGGCTGCTATGAGCTATGATCACGCCATTGCACTCCGGCCTGGGAGACAGCAAGACCCCGTCTAAAAAAAAAAAAAAAAGTATTGGAACTTAAAACAGTCTAGCAAGAAACTTGGCTATAATGAACAAACTATTCACATAAACTTATTATCTAACATAAATGTGAATTGTAACAAATTCCTACAATGGAGTCCTACACAGTAGTAAAAATATCAATTGCATACATCACATGCACAATCTCAATGATAAAGTTTCAGGCTGGGCGTGGTGGTGCGTGCCTGTAGTCCCAGCTACTTGGGAAGCTGAGGCGGAATTATCACTTGATCCTGGGAGGGAGGTCAAGGCTGCAGTGAGCTGAGATCGTACCGCTGCACTCTAGCCTGGGCAGCAAAGTGAGACCCTATCTCAAAAAAAAAAAAAAAGAAAAAGTTTCAGGAGGGTACATACATATGAGACCTGCTTAAAAGTTGCAAAATCATGCAATACGTGTAAAGAGTATGAAAAACCATGAGGATGATAAAATCTTGCACAATGTTCAGGATAAGTTATGGGACAATGCAGGGGTAGACAGAAGGGGATGTGACTGGGAAGAGGCACATTACACAGGGCTTCAACTACATTGATGATGTTTTCTCTTTTTTTTTTTTTTTTTTTGAGACAGTCTCGCTTTGTCACCCAGGCTGGAGTGCGGTGGCACATGATCAGCTCACTGCAACCTCCACCTCCCAGGTTCAAAAGATTCTCTGCCTCAGCCTCCCGAGTAGCTGGGACTTCGGGCGTGCACCACCACGCCTGGCTAATTTTTTTAAGTTTTAGTGGAGTCAGAGTTCATCATGTTGGCCAGGCTAGTCTCCAACTCCTGACCTCATGCGATCTGCCCACCTCAGCCTCTAAAAGTGCTGGGATTACAGATGTGAGCCACTGCACCTGGCCTTTTTCTTTCTTTTCATTTCTTTCTTTCTTTCTTTTTTTTTTTTTTTTTTTTTTTTTTTTTTTTTTTTTGAGTAATTTTTTTTGTCTTTGTTACAGAGTCAGAGTCTCAACTCTGTTGCCCAGGCTGGAGTGCAGTGGTGCAATCCCGGCTCACTGCAACCTCTACCATCAGGGCTCAAGCCATCCTCCCACCTCAGTCTCCCAAGTAGCTGGGGCTACAGGCACATGCCACCACACCTGGCTGATTTTTGTGTTTTTTGTAGAGACATGGTTTCACCATGTTGGCCAGGCTGGTCTCAAACTCCTGACCTCAGGTGATCCACCCACCTTGGTCTCCCAGAGTTCTGGGATTACAAGCGGGAGCCACCGCGCCCCCTGATGTTTTGTTTCTTAAGCTGGGTTGTGCTGGGTACGTGAGTGAATGTTCCTTGTAATAGTATGTACTATGAAACTTCTTAACTTTTATACATCTGAAATGTTTCATAACACCCTTTTTGAGATATAAAATTTATTAAATTTTACAATGCATTTGAGGTAGGTAGCAGGAAGATATCAGTCCTGTTCAGTAAAAATTATAGGAGACCATTGGTTTGAACTAAGCTTCTGCACTAGGCTCCAACAGACCAAACAAAATAAAAATGGAGTCACCCATACTAAAGTTCCACTTCACCAAACCTAAACTAAGTTATTACCTGACCTTCCAACAAATCAGGAGAAAGAGATAATATCCAATTTCCCCAGCAAGTCAGTTTAAATCTTCAATCAGCATGATAATAAAGCTCCCTCTGCTTTAATCCTTACACAAAAAAGCCTGAAGTTACCTGATGCTAACTACAACTGACCCTTGAACAACGTGGGGGATAGGAGACTGACCAACCATCCGTGCCACTGAAAGTCCACATATGATTTTGGACTCCCCCAAAACTAGCCAGGCGCAGTTGACTCACACCTGTCATCCCAACATTTTGGGAGGCCAAGGCAGAAGGATCACTTAAGCCCAGGAGTTCAAGACCTGCTTGGACAATACAGTGAGACCACGTCTCTACAAAAAGTATAATAATTAAAAAAAAAAAAAACTGGCCGGGCTCGGTGGCTCACCCCTGTAATTCCAGTACTTTGGGAGACTGAAGTGGGCAAATCATGTGAGTCCAGGAGTTTGAGACCAGCCCGGGCAACATGGTTAAACCCCGTTTCAACAAAAAATACAAAAAAAAATTAGCTGGGTATGGTGGTGCACACCTGTAGTCCCAGCTACTCAAGAGGCTGAGGTGGGAGGATTGCTTGTGCTGGGAGGCAGAGGTTGCAGTGAGCCAAGATCATGCCACTGCACTCCAGCCTGGGTGACAGAGTGAAACACCATTTAAAAAAAAAAAAAAAACTTAAATAACTAATAGCCTACTCTTGACCAGAAGCCTTACTAATAACATAAACAGTCTGTATTAGTCTGTTTTCACATCGCTATAAAGAACTGTCTGAGATTGGGTAATTTCTAAAGGAAAGAGGTTTAATTGACTCACAGTTCTGCCTGGCTGGGGAGGCCACAGGATACTTACAATCATGGCAGAAAGCAAAGGAGAAGCAAGGCACCTTCTTTGCAAGATGGCAGGAGAGAGCACAGGGGAAACTGCCACTTTTAAGCCATCGGATGTCATGAGAACTTCCTCACTGTCATGAGAACAGCATGGAGGAACCACCCCCATCATCCAATCACCTCCCACCAGGTCCCGCCCTCGACACATGGGATTACAATTCAAGATGAGATTTGGGTGGGGACACAGGGCCAAACCATATCATTCCACCCCTGGCCCCTCCAAATCTCATGTCCTGTTCACATTTCAAAACAAGTTATGGCTTCCCG